TTGCAGAGAAACCAATATTGAAATAGTCTATTTTTTGTGACTGTTTACTTATCAAAATGCAAATTGATTCTGTTTAACTTCCTCTACTTCTACTTTACGAAATGTTATGTCTGCCTACTGGCCACTGTTCATGACATCTCATCCATTTATATGGTCATAAATGTTTTCTTTCTGAAAAACATCCATCTTTTCGTAAGCAGTAATACGATTCCAAACTTAGATCGTAATTCTCTCTCAGCAAATTACCTTAGAGGTGTTCTTCCTTGATCGTTTGGCAGGCAGATTCAGCTCTTTTTCAGTAAGCGAGTCCTTTAGGCTATCCAGTATATTTCCTGTATTAACGAGACGATACAATCTGGGTTAGATATACCCCTACATGGAAAACTTAACCAAGTTACGATGAAAAAACATTAATTTTAAAATCAAGCCATGTAAGACACGCGGGACTAGTGCCAAGCACTATCACACTTAAACAGTTTTGGCCTGCAGACAATTATATATATTTTTTTAACTAAAGTGTCACCATTCACTATTATGCACTATTTTCTATTCAATAAGCTTTTATACCTCTTCTTGTTTTTTTTTTAGAGCCAGTTGGTTTGTTTTGTTTGTCCATGGTTTCTGCTTCTACAGGAAAAAATGATACAAAAGAACTAAGGAAGGGTGGATAAAGAGAAAAAAAGGAAGAAAAGATTGAAGAAATTTAAATTAAAGTAACAAACACGGTGATTAAAATATCGTGGAAGCAAATAACATAAATGTCACCGTAATAATTGAGTGACTGGAACCTACAAATGAAGCTTTTCGTAGTATTATGTAAATTAATAATGTCATAACTCTATTCTCACCTTTTACTGCATTTACTAACAAGATATCATCAAGCTCCTAAAACAGACAGAAATTTATTGCAAGAACTCGCGTTGAAAGGACCCTTTTTAACTCAAACAGGAAACGCGATGCAAACTTACCATCTATAGGTGACATGCTCATAAACAGTAGAAAGAAGATTCTGTTAACAGGAGTACCGCAATCGAGCAGAGCCCTTGACGAAACCAATAACAAAGTTCACGAAATAAATTTCCATGTGATGACAAATGCTACAGAGGATAAAAAAATAAATTTGAAAACAACATCTATAGAGAATATTTCTCACATACAAACCCGTCTTAAATCATTAATCGATAGCAATGACGAGAGTTCTACGTGTAGTGATGGTGAAAACGTGGAGAACAGTTTAAAGGCGAATGTCGAAAACTTTGTCATTCTTAGAAACGCTTTACAGTGGTGGAAAATGAGCAAGATCGTTGAGGAAAAAACGGGGCCAAAACTATTCAATTTCAAGAAGATAGTGACTTATGTTAGCCCGTTAAAAACAAAGGCATTAATGGAAAATAAAACAGTAGCTGGAGACCCAACAAAAAGTGACAGAAAAAGGCTTACTGAACTAGCCTCGACTTGGGGATTTGACATTGTTGAGGTAACGGGTGACGGCAATTGCCTTTTTACGGCAGTCGCAATGCAATTGCAACAAATGATGAGCTTGAATGCACATAATGAATCATTGTTAATGTCGCACCTTGCGGAACAGATGGGAATAGACACATCTACATCCATCAACGATATTGGTAGCATTCTCAGGAGTAAAGTCGTCCAAGAATTGAAGGGAGAACGAGTAGATTTTTATCAGTCATTTCTGCCCAGTGATGTAAACTTTTTTTCGGAGGCAGATCGTTTTATCCAATCGGGAACGTTTTCAGGTCCGCTAGGCGATCTTATACCTCTAGCAATCGCAAACGTTATTCAAATACCTTTATTTGTCTTAAATCCAAGTTTTTGACTCCTTTTGTGATGATTTCTCCTGAAGGGATGGTGCCAGCCTCAAACGTCGTCTATCTCGCGTATAATGCAAGTGGTCCAGGACACTATGATGCGCTAATTATCTCCCAACGTGATCAGCAGGAGCGATTCACTTCTGAAACAAACAGCAATCTCGATGCTCTCGAGAGTCAGTCCACGCTTTCCACGGAGAAAGTGCCAATCTCAACTCCAAGAAAACCATGTCGATGCGGAGAAAAAATAAATACAAATCAAAAGCAAAAGCGTCAAGGAACTACAAAGGCAGGTGCAAGTGCATCAACGAATACGGTACCTGTATGAGCGCATGCAGTTGTTGTGGATGGTGCCAAGGCAAACAATGTGGGGAAACAAAAGGCTTCCTCGAGACAAAAAATGTAGAACACCGAGAAAGCGAAGTAAAAATACAGGCATACCGTGAAAGCGAAGCGATCAAGACTTTCACTGGAAGAAAATGACGAGAAAATCAAAGATCCTGGATTGAATGAGCTCGAGTTCTTTGTCATGCATGCTATTATCCAGCATGTCAACTCAAAGAATGATGTCAAAAATGACAACAGTCATTTTTGTGACATGTTTAGCAAAATAGTCAAAGTCGTAAATAGTTTCGCTTTTCTAATGGTTCTTCCCATATTTCACCATTCCTTACGGGTGCTTTACGATGAAAAAGAAAGTATGATAAGCTAAGGAAACGTTAGATACTAGATAGTATGTGGCTCTGTACCGTGCATGGACGTAATAGTAAGAAAACACCATATGATCGATAATGAGAACCGTATAATTTTATGCAAAGAATATCAATATAGTGTGCTTACTCTCACCAGATCTATATGAGATTCCCAAGAGATTCTAAACTCATAGTTGTTAAATTCGCTGTAAAGTTTTATTTATGTTTTGAACGCGAACCTGGGAAATGTTACGTTGTAATATTTGTAGAAGTTAATGTTCACACCTTTCCTGTAACTAAACCAATACCTCCCTTTGCAGAGTACTATACTGTTTTGAGGTCTATGTAAGTTATGTATGTTTTATGTAATTTGCATCCTTCAAAGTCAAACCCTGTTTCCTCTTTTGATGTCCAAACCACCCCTGCGCAGAAATTTTAAGAGTTATAAGAAGTTGATATTATGCAGTAAACATCTAAAGTCGGTGGCCTTGGTAAATCACAATAAATTGAGCGATGAAGTTATTGTGTATTACCTAATTGTTTATCAGTTTAGCCTACTTCGGAATTTACATTGCCTTAGCCAATAATGTAACGCCGGACGAAATAATGAGTAATTAAAATAATAAGTAATTAAAAGTTTCATCTGATGAGGATAAAGGCTGTCCTTAATCAAAAATGCGAAAACTGTGTACTCGGCAATGGTTGAATGAGCTCATTCAAGCAATTTCTTTCGGACTCAAAGGGGAGTTAGGCAAGCCTGTCCCCTTTCCCCATATTTGTTTATTCTTGCTGCGGAGATCTTGGCCAAGACCGTCCGAAACAACAAGGGCATAACAGGTTTTTCTCTGGGTAATGACGAAGTTAAGATAAGCCAACACGCTGATGATACCACTCTTGTGTTAGACGGTTGAGAGAAATCCCTTATACCAGCAATACAAAGTTTAGATGATTTTTGTCAGATCTCCGGCCTCAAGTTAAACGATAGCACAACGGAAGCCCTTTGGATCGGTTCTAAGACAGCACATGAACAAATTCTTGTTTCAGGAAAGAAGTTTAAATGGCCAAAATATAAAGTCAAACACTTGGTCTGTGGCTGTCAACCGATCCGGACATGGCTTTGACGTTGAATTACAACGAAAAAACTGAAAACATTAGGAAGCTTTTGAGTTGCTGGAAATATTGCAGGCTCACGTTGTTAGGGAAAATTACTGTCCTTAAACTCACTGACCGCATCACAACTGGTATACTTGCTCTTCCCTTTTACGCTCAAATCATTACGCTACAAAGGAAATAAATGACATGTTTTACCATTTTCTATGGAATGGTGAAGGTGACAAAATCAAGAGAAAAGTTATGATCAATGAACCTGAGTATGGAGGTCTGAAGATGATTGAACTTTATCCTTTCAACAAATGTCTTAAAACAACATGGGTTAAAAAGTACTTGGACGCTACTTAAAACGGAAAATGGAACGTTATCTTTGATCTATAACTGGAGAACTACGGCCGCAATCTCATTTTCCGTGGTAATCTCAACCGTTGAGACTCAACGTCTCTGACACTATGAAAGAGATTAGGGCAACGGACCCCGTAACTAAAGAAAAATTGGAATATTGGAAAGAAATAAACTTTGTGGATAAAGTAAGTTCTGATATCGCTTGTCAAGAACAGGTTCTGTGGTTCAACTCTTTGATAAGGATAGATAATGAAAAATTTCTTTTTTAAAGAGTGGTTTGAAATAAGTATCTCCAAAGTTAAGCACGTCCAAACGGGAAACGATAATTTTCTGACTCTCAAAGATTTTGCCTCCAAACATGATTTAAGAGTACGCCCGCTCAGTTTTTACGGTTTACTATCAGCTGTTCAACTAATTCGCAAAAATGTTACCGATACTGCTGAGACAAAAGACTATAACTCTGAAACACCGAGTGAAAACTGAATTGTTAAAAGAGAAAAGCTTGGTCCATTAATTTACCAAAAGCTGACCAGAGCCAATAGTTTAACCGCACGTAAAAGCCAACTAAAATGACTTCAAGACTGTAACTACTCAGACGAAGAAGGAACATATAACTAAGAACTTGCCTATTTTATGGCGCAAAGTAGCACCAAACTGAGTTCCAATTTATACTATCACATAGGCGCATACCAACCAATGATTTCTGACTTAAAAAGGACGAAAAGAAAATGACATATATGCCTTTTGCAACAATTCCTCAGACACGCTAATTCATCTTTTTTGGTCTTGCCATGTTACATGAGTATACAGGGTATAAAGGGTATACATGGGTATACAGGGTATACATGAGTATACAGGGGTATACATGGGTATCCAGGGTATACAAGGTATACATGGGTATACAGGGTATACATGGGTATACAGGGTATACATGGGTATCCAGGGTATACATGAGTATACAGGGTATACAGGGTATACAGGGTATACAAGGTATACAGGGTATACAGGGTATACTGGGAGCACATGGGTATACAGGGGTATACAGGGTATACAGGGTATACAGGGTATACAAGGTATACAAGGTATACAAGGTATACAGGGTATACAGGGTATACATGGGTATACAGGGTATACATGAGTATACAGGGTATACAGGGTATACATGAGTATACAGGGGTATACGGGGTATACAGGGTATACAGGGTATACAAGGTATACATGGGTATACAGGATATACATGAGTATACAAGGTATACATGGGGCACAGGGGTATACATGGGTATACAGGGTATACAGGGTATACAAGGTATACATGGGTATACAGGGTATACTGGGAGTACATGGGTATACAGGGGTATACAGGGTATACAGGGTATACATGGTATACAGGGTATACAAGGTACACAAGGTATACAGGGTATACATGGGTATACAGGGTATACAGGGGATACATGGGTATACAGGGTATACAGGGGTATACAAGGGTATACAAGGTATACATGGGTATACAGGGTATACAGGGTATACAGGGTATACAGGGTATACAGGGATACATGGGTATACAGGGTATACAGGGGTATACTGGGAGTACATGGGTATACAGGGTATACAGGGTATACAGGGGTATACTGGGAGTACATGGGTATACATGGGTATACAGGGTATACAGGGTATACTGGGAGTACATGGGTATACATGGGTATACAGGGTATACAGGGTATACTGGGAGTATACAAGGGTATACATGGGTATACAGGGTATACAGGGTATACAGGGTATACAGGGAGTACATGGGATATACATGGGTATACAGGGTATACAGGGTATACAAGGTATACATGGGTATACAGGGTATACAGGGTATACAGGGTATACTGGGAGTACATGGGTATACATGGGTATACAGGGTATACAGGGTATGGGGGCATACATGGGTATACATGGGTATACAGGGTATACAGGGTATACAGGGTATACATGGGTATACAGGGTATACATGGGTATATAGGTATACAGGGTATACAGGGTATACATGGGTATACAAGGTATACAGGGTATACATGGGTATACAGGGTATACATGGGTATACAGGGTATACAGGGTATACAGGGAGCATGGGTATACATGGGTATACAGGGTATACAGGGTATACAGGGTATACTGGGATACATGGGTATACATGGGTATACAGGGTATACAAGGTATACAAGGTATACATGGGTATACAGGGTATACATGGGTATACATGGGTATACAGGGTATACATGGGTATACAGGGTATACAGGGTATACATGGGTATACAGGGTATACAGGGTATACATGGGTATACAGGGTATACTGGGAGTACATGGGTATACATGGGTATACAGGGTATACAGGGTATACTGGGAGTACATGGGTATACAGGGTATACAGGGTATACAAGGTATACAAGGTATACATGGGTATACAGGGTATACATGGGTATACAGGGTATACATGGGTATACAGGGTATACAGGGTATACAGGGTATACAAGGTATACATGGGTATACAGGGTATACATGGGTATACAGGGTATACAGGGTATACAGGGTATACAAGGTATACATGGGTATACAGGGTATACAGGGTATACATGGGTATACAGGGTATACAAGGTATACATGGGTATACAGGGTATACAGGGTATACAGGGTATACTGGGAGTACATGGGTATACATGGGTATACAGGGTATACAGGGTATACAAGGTATACATGGGTATACAGGGTATACAGGGTATGCATGGGTATACAAGGTATACAGGGTATACATGGGTATACAGGGTATACATGGGTATACAGGGTATACATGGGTATACAGGGTATACATGGGTATACAGGGTATACAGGGTATACAGGGTATACAGGGTATACAGGGTATACATGGGTATACAGGGTATACAGAGTATACAAGGTATACAAGGTATACATGGGTATACAGGGTATACAGGGTATACAGGGTATACTGGGAGTACATGGGTATACATGGGTATACAGGGTATACAGGGTATACAGGGTATACAGGGTATACTGGGAGTACATGGGTATACATGGGTATACAGGGTATACAGGGTATACAAGGTATACAAGGTATACATGGGTATACAGGGTATACATGGGTATACAGGGTATACAGGGTATACTGGGAGTACATGGGTATACATGGGTATACAAGGTATACAGGGTATACATGGGTATACAGGGTATACATGGGTATACAGGGTATACAGGGTATACAGGGTATACATGGGTATACAGGGTATACAGGGTATACATAGGTATACAGGGTATACAGGGTATACATGGGTATACAGGAGAATGGACATTCTATTACTGTTATATGAAACACTAGGTCTATTTGGCGTAAGCGTAACATGAAAGAATAACCTTAGTAAATGAAGGAAGAAAGTCCTCCGATCGAACAGGAATCTTCACAGCTGTCTTCAGCTGTTCCTTCACCAACAGAGAAAAGCAGGAAAGTCGAAAGAAGCAGTTTTTTAAGCATGGTACATATAGTCGCTGTGGGACTCCCTTTATTGGTGATATGGTTTGCCCAACCTGGAACAAGTAAGTGATCTTTACATCGTTCATGTTTGTTTTTCATGTAAAATCTTATAAGCTGAAAGAGGCTAAACGCTTTTTTACATATAGAAACCTTTCACTAAAGTCGCCCTTTTGAAAGAAGTCAGTCTAAAAGTTTAAGAAAATTGTTTAGTACTAATCTAAAGATTTTTCTTAAATTTTTAGCTAACTTAAACAAAATACCCGGACGATCAAACTCAACCTACTTTTGAAATGACTCCTGGGTTCAAACCTTTCTCAGTTTTGAACAAAATATTAGTGCAAGTAAATAGATTCCCTACTATTAGAGGTGAGACTCTAAAAAATCCCTGAACCAAAATTAAAGTTCAATAAGCTTAAGCTTATTATTTTACCTCATCCTTTTTTACCAGTGTACTATATACATAAACAAAGTACTTGAAAATTTGGTGCTCTTTGCTCTGTTGGTGAGGAATTTGGTTTCATCATGGGAGTTGAGAATGTAAACTGAGTACCTTAATAAAGTGATTTAAAAGCTGACCTCAGGCAACGTGCTATCACCAAAAACATCAGCTTTTAGATCTGTGTACAGACCACAGTATAATTCTCCCCCAAAATCCTAAACATGTGAATTTTGGTAGAATCCAGAGTATTCCCTTGTCTCCACTGGTAACATGAAACAAAACTGAATAAATTTTTCAAACCATACATCTTGTGGTTTTCTTGTGTTTTTGAAATTTGTTTTGTTCTTCGTCACAATCCATTTAGGTCTGTTTTCGTGGCATCCTACCCTTATGACGTTGAGTGTGAGTATGTTGGACATGAATGTATATTTTGTTAGATTCCGAGAGTAAATAAATCAAAATTCAGGGGAAAAAAATTTGTAAATACTGAAGGATGAATCTTTCACCAAGTGAAGAAATAATAGGATCAACTTATTTAACACATGATCTTATACCTGCATTAACTCCGTCAATCAATTTATTGCCTAAAAAATAAATGACAAACAGTTTGCTTTCACTGGCATGAAACAATGACATATTTATGACTTCACCTTGCGATCTCTGGGTCTTATTGGCTATGACTTTTGTTGGTCACTTCCTTTGAGAATCCTGTGGAGATGAGGCTGTATAGTTACTTAAAACATCTGATCAGGACTTGAAAAATCTGTTTTTGGCCATTGCTGTTTACTGCTCCTGTTTGTATTCTATGTGCTTTAAAATATGTTGACCAAGCCGTGGTTGTTTTGACTCCTCTGAACTTATTTTGGCTGTCCACAAATAACTTCATTTCCTTTTTATTTCAGTTTGGTTTCCTGATGTTTGAGGCAATCCTGATGTTTTCACCACAAAGTTCACTTATCTTGTCATTCCCTCGTGCAACCAAGATCAAATTCCACTGGATTCTACAAACTGCAGCTGTGATCTTTGCACTAGGGGGCTTTGCAGCTATCTATATCAACAAGAATATGCACAACAAACCACATTTTCAAAGCTGGCATGGACTTTTTGGTTTCTGCACCGTTATCCTCATCTGTCTTCAGTCTCTCCAGGGTGTAGCTGTTTTGTACCCAAAGTGGCCTCTTGCAAGAAAGATGAAACCACGCCAGTTGAAACAGTTGCATGCTGTTTGTGGATCTCTTGTGTTTCTTGTTGCCTGTGCTACTCTTGGTCTTGGCTTTTACTCAAACTGGTTTACAAAGAATGTTCACGTTTATGTTCAGTTCTGTAGTGTTTTGTCTTGTATAGCATTTGCGGGCATTGTTACTGGCCAGGTATATACTGAGTATGGCTTAAAGAGGCCTCTTGGAACGTAATAGTTGTTTGAATATGTAGTCTTTTTTTGTTCTTCCCAATTATATGAACTGCTTTTTCGGAAGCTTTTGCCTTGGATAAAAATTTTACAAATCTAAAAAATAATGTATTCATTTTATTAAATACTTATTTAACAGCAGTGACTAACATGAGGTAGAACTACATGCTGGTTACATTAAGTGTAGTTCCAAGCATTTTAAATTTCAGACTCGTTTTTTTTTTTTGCTGGGGCTCATGATAATGTTTGGTTGGTTTGATTGATTTCCTTTTTTGAACCATCTCAGACTATAGTTGAAATGCTAGTGAAAAGCAGTATGCAGGAATTAGCAGACCTCAATTTTGCAAAAATTAATATAAATTATGCTTGTTTGATAAACTTTACTTGCATGTGATGTGTAGCGGTTGTGTGTGTGTTGAGGAATAGGAACCAAATATTAGTATAGCCAGCACTATCACGTTTTTAGCCAAAAATGGTTGAACTTATCTCATACCTTTATCTTTATGCCAATTACAATGCTGTCATTAACACAGAGGGGTAGAAGGACATAGAAAGCTTTTAGGAAGGCAGACAAAAGCAGGAAAACAAAAGGAATGAAAAGTTTAATTTGTTATGTAACAAGGAAGTCAACTTGGAATAGTTACAAAATTCTCTACTTCTACAGTTTTCTGCTTGCACATAGGGGTAGGGGGGTAGAAGGACATAGAAAGCTTTTAGGAAGGCAGACAAAAGCAGGAAAACAAAAGGAATGAAAAGTTTAATTTGTTGTTTAACAAGGAAGTCAACTTGGAATAGTTACAAAATTCTCTACTTCTACAGTTTTCTGCTTGCACATAGGGGTAGGGGGGTAGAAGGACATAGAAAGCTTTTAGGAAGGCAGACAAAAGCAGGAAAACAAAAGGAATGAAAAGTTTAATTTGTTGTTTAACAAGGAAGTCAACTTGGAATAGTTACAAAATTCTCTATTTCTACAGTTTTCTGCTTGCACTAGACAGATACATTATCAGTTCATATTAAATTCAAATCATGTGAAACTATTAAACTGAATACCAAAGATTTTTACCAATAGGACAATTGCATGATAAACATCATTTTACAACACTGTACAACTACCAGAATGCTTTGGTTTGTTGTTTTCTTGTGCAAACTAAGGCTATTGTTCTTTACACCTCAGCAGGATCACCAATTTTAAACAGCAAAGCAAAACCGAAATGAATTCTGGTAGTTGTAGTCAATAATATTGCTGTCATCGTGAAAATGGCCTTTTGAGTACACACTGTAAATCACCTAACTTATCAATATTATCATACTAGACAACATGTATATCTGTAGTTTGAATAAATACAATCCGCTGGTAACAAGCCTAGCTGTTATAAGCTGTATGTTACAATTTGCACATTATTATTCATTCAAAAATTTTGCAGTTCCTGATTAGCATTAATCCCTTGGCTAAAACAACTTTGTTTCCAAGCAGCAGTGAGACCACCCTATGAGTAGAGCCTTTGAGGTTGCCCAGCGCAAACTTCTGGACTGGTCAATCTTGTTTTTTCTTGAGTCAAAATGGTTTTTTCAAGTGTGAGCATCCATTTGTTAATTAGTAAAGGGATGGTCATAACTGAGCCCACTGTACCAAGCGCAAGAGTAAGGATAAGGATCTTACGATCTTAGAAATATTTTGAATGTATACTAAAACACAAGTATTAAATTCAGCTTTTGTATCATTTGAGGAATCAAGCAGATCTTTGAGGCTGTCATCCACCTCGGCTAATAACAACCTCCTAATGTCCTTGAACTGCATCATTAATTTTATATTATTAATACTTCACTGCTTGCTTACCCTTAGGCATATTCAGTGATTCTATGTTTTTTTTCTGGATAAAATAATTAACAGTCACTGGTAAGAAATCTAAAGGACAGTTTGTTGTGCACTTTTAAGCAAATCCTCACATTACTTTTTTACTTTAGTTTTTTGGATGAAACAACAAAGGGGTGATATATGAATAAGCTGCACTTTCTTTTGGCACTGTATCTCCTGCTATCACTTGTAAAAATGCAATTTGTGATATTAATCATGGTATTCCAGAAGACAAAAACAGAACATTGTACTTTTGATGGTGATTACAATAAGCTAGCTTCCAGCACAGTGAGTCTCTTCAGTAATCTTCTCCTCTGCTGATCACTTCTTTGCAAGTGGGTCTCAGTAATATTGTGTGTTCAAACTGAGCTGTGTAACATCCTTTGATGTCACACAGTGGTGGATATGGGTCCACAATGCCAGCATCACACAAGTTCTTTAAGGCTAGAAGGTACTTTGTCTGTGATTATTGAAACAAAAAAACCTGATTTTAGTGATGTACATGGAGAAGCCTTTTTGACATGCAGTGAAATTTTTAGCGAAAAATTCTTTGATCAATCGCTATAATAATAAAAATATTATTTTGGGATTAAATTTAAAATGATATCTATAATGTCGTAACCTTCATGAATCAGTAGGATGCCCAAAATGTGTAAAATCCCCATTTGGTTTTGGCTCCATTAAATCCTATACCAATAAATAAAAACTATTGTAGAACATTTTAAGAGCTAGGAGCCACCCACGTGAGAAATAAATTTTAAAACTCTGTAATTTCTATTGCATTGAACAAGCTCACACATTACCCATGGTAAATTCTTCCTATACTTAAATGGCATTGGTCTGCACATTCTATTTGGAAGTGGAAGAATGGCTCTTTTCGCCATAGTACACAGCAGCAGCAAATTTTTTCTAATGCTGTCCACTGCTTTCCCATGCTTGGCACAGTTGCCCATGCAATTGATTTGTTTTTTTTTTTACTTTTTCATCACTGCCATCAAGATGCTAATAATGTTCCCTTTTTAACATAAAATAATGTAGTACCTGTCCTAAGCGATCCAACCATCGTCTACAAAATGCAAGAGTCCCAAAGTTCTCATTGATGACATTGAGAAGCTGTTTGGCTCTAGGCAACCTAAAAGAAAGAATGCAAAAAGGTTATCCGCCATGCGACCATTCCTAAACCATAAACAGCTTCAACATTGTAATTTATTCTTCAAAAAAGTTTGTTAAAAAAATTATCATGTGAACACTCCATATTACAGCAGAGTTCTAACGTACCTCAAAGGAACATGTCCAACCTCAAAGTTCTTCATGTAGTGTGAACATTCCATATCATCATGAACCACACCCTTACCAGTACTGCCAAATGTCTCAATGGCAAAAAATTCATTTTCCTTATTTAAAATCAAAATAAATATAAAAACAAAGTCTTAGTGTTGAGTAAAGTCTTTAACTTTTTGAGATACTATGTTAAAACATGGAGTCCAGTTTTTGTTTTGAAAGAGGACTTAAGTCAAGATTCTTTTCTTGCCTGAAAAGACAAGCTTCTTTCTGAACAATATACTTCAGAATATTTTTTAAAGGGTGTCAGGTGTTTTGAAAGCCACGAAAGAGGTTTCCTGAAATTGAAGCTCTTTCAAAACCACAAGTAACTTATTTACACACCTTGAATAACTAAACAAAACAAAACAACAAATTATCCAGGTCAACTTTAATGAGCAAACCTAGTGATAGAGTTGGTCAGTATCATGGGCATTTCAGTGAAAACAGGGTAAATTTTCCTGTGATGTTAAGATACATTCTTTACTTAGGAAGCAGAGGTAAAGAAGTACATACAGGGTCAGTGATATGTCTATCACAGAACAAACATGTAAAGATTTCAAACCTCCATTTTTGTTCCTTCTCCTCCTTTGACAATCGGCACAGTCTTCCCAGCATGAATTCTGTAGGGTGCTATGGAGTGTCCATTCAGGTTTCTGATAGGTTTCACAGTGTATGTTTTTCCATCAAGCTCAACTTCATAGGATTCCATAACCTCTTGAATAGCTTCCCCAACATCACACAATCTCACATCAATTCCTGCTTCCTTTGGGTCATAAACAAAAACAAAAAAACACAAATAAACTTGTTCACAAAAAGGAGGCCAGTGTTGTAGTGAAGACAATGAAATCTATCATAATCATATGCAGATAGAGTAACAAATATGCAATAATTTTCCTTTTTGCACTTGCTACATTTTCTCCATGAAACATTTTACATGCTGAGGAGAGGCACGAAGACCTACTCCTTGCTGCCACGTTTTAATTAGCCGGCTCACTTAATAAATAACACAGGTGATGACTGTTCAATTGGATGTAACAAAATGGACATTTCAAATATTTTACCTTGATTCCAGTGTTTGTTGCATCTTTTACTGCTGCAAGAAGGTTGTCATATCTTGGGTTAAATGATACTGTGAATGCACAGTCAATTATCCGGCCTGAAATAAAATAACACAGTCTAAGTTATGATTCTGAGGATATAGAAACAATTGAAATAATAGAACAAAGTGAATGGTACAATACACTGTAAACCATTCCTGAAGATTACAAGATCATAGAATTTCCTACTGTTATCAAGGCTGACTGTTTATTGAAAATAATAGTCAAAAGTAGGTTGAGTTTGATTGTCCGGGTGAACGTAGTCCTGAAAAACTGTTGTTGTTGACAGTGACTGACGTTTCGACAACCTGTGCAGTAGTCATGTTCAGAGTCAAAGTGAGTTGTATCACGTCAGTTGATGGTATTATACTCTGGTTATGGATATTGTTAGTAAAGGGAGACATAAATGATGTAGTTTTGTCATCATTGTTGTTGTTGTCATTACCATCATCATCATCATCATCATCATCCATCTTCTCTCATCACTGTCATCAGATGAGACCTATGTCCCTTTTAAGGGAGTCTATGGAAGTTAACCCTAATTTGTCCCACATGTGAATCCCAGCCTTACCATTGATATGGGTTCCAAAGTCAATCTTGCAGACATCGTCATACTGAAGCACTGTCTTGTCACCAGCATTAGGTGTGTAGTGAGCAGCACAGTGGTTTAGAGAGCATCCAGTAGGAAATGCCAAACCTACAGAGATCCATCACAGTAAATCAGTTAGATCATTTAATTTGTACAGGCATGGACCATTCAAATTCTCCCATACTTGTGATGGATGAATCATTGCCAAGCTAAGGTCAAATCATTTTACCCTTCTTCTTGGGTGACCAGAATGAAGCCTGAGCAACACAAACACACAGTTTTTATGGCAACTAATAGTTACTTAAATTACTGTATCGGCAGCGCATCACTGGGTTTAACAATAAGTACCATCTTCTTTGTTGCTAGTACCAAATTCAATCCTTATGAAAGAGAAATAATTTTCGGTGAAGTAACCAATGCATTGTTTGCTGAACCAAAATCCGTGACAACATTAACACAAGTACCTGCTTTGAGTTTGTTCTCATTGATCAGAGCACGTGAGGCTGCTTCCAGTTTTTCACTGATAAAAGAAAACAAGAAATTATGAGCTACACGTATTGACATTAATTTGTTAAGAATATCATAGTGTTAAAGGGCTTGCTATACCACTTATAAATTAGAGTACATCAAAATGGTAAACAAGTGATGCATAACATTAATAGGAGAATATAAGTCCCAATGGTGACCAACATCAATTTTCTCCCAAGAATATCCATACATTATCAAAAGAAAAGGTTATGAGAATTAATAAAATGATCACCAAAGTGAAAATGCCTTGATCTTTTTTCAAATTCTCTCAACTAATTCTTTATGGAAATGTATAGAGATCAGTATGGAGAATTTGTAAGTGGATATCAGGGCTTAAAGGGTTAATACTTTACCATATTTCTATCATAGTTAATCCAGGCTTGATAAAACCCTGCACATACTTTCTGACCTGAAAACAAAATAGTAACCATATAATTAGCAATATGATTAAATGAAGCTGAGTAGGATGTGAGGAATTATGCAGATTGTGGATAACATTCTCCCCAACATCATAATTATTATGTTACCACATTCTGGTTGTTTGATTGTTTAATAGTGCCATATGCTGGATATATCACTATCCAGTGGATAAGAATTAATTAGGGAGACCAACAATGTTATCCACTGGAAAAGGATTTATACAGTGCATAGTGATATCTACCTTTCATACAACTTGACCCTGGTGGATAAGTGCTATTATTATTCATTCAAAATATTTCCCTGTTTCTGATTGGGTAAAACCACATGCACAATTCACCATAACCAGCGGCTGAACTGTCATGTATATTGAACCAATGACGCCAGTTCAATGACGTCATCGAGAAACTTATCCACCTCCGCCTTCAGCTTTGGTGGATAACACCCTCCTCGATCTGCAGAATTCTTCATATCCTACTCAGCCTCATTCAATAATAATTGCTAATTCTACTTTTGAGCAACCTGGGCATGGTGTGCTCATAGACAAATATTTGAATGTCTGTGTCTCCACTGGATCCTGTCATTTGGAGTCACCATGATTATGAAGACATAAAAAGTTCAACATTATATTTTGTACCTGTCTGTGGGCTTCAGCAGCCTGTCTGACATCACTGTAAATATCATTATGCAGTCGATCCAAGGCCCTTTTCTCTTCATTGGTTTCACGCCACAAATTACTGATAAAAATCCAAACATTGATTACTATGAGTGAAAATTATCACTCACTGGATATTCCAAAAGTTTTAAGCAACACTGACACAAGACTTTCAGAAACCCAAAGCAGGTTCCAAGCTTTTTTTGATAGACAATAAGAACATTGAAGTATGTTAAGGTAGTGTCCATTTACTTAATGAGATCAAAATGTCACATAAATAAATAACCAGCTCATTGTCTAGCTAAAGATTAGTGATAGTTTAAACAGTTACGTATTTCGCCATGATCTCTTTCTGAATGTAGTACATTGTGTACAAGACAAAACAAGACAATACTGTTACAACTTGGAAAACTAATTAACACCCCATACATGCATGCAAAGTCCTTTCATTAGAACACATCAAAATAACATGTGAGCAATCTGAACACCATAATACTTACTCATCTTTATAGCTCATGATCTGTCCCTCAGGGAAGTCACCATTTGGAAAGAGTTGTGATATCGGCACAGTGGGTGGATCGGTTTGTTGTCTGCCTGTCGACTTAGAACAGTCTGCAAATATGAACACGACAACAACCCCTTAAAAAATTTAAATACTGAAGGAAAAGCAATGCAGATGATTATTTAATAACAGCTTTCCACATGAATTGATTTTTCAATCAGGATAATTTTATTTAAGGTTAATTCACATTTTATATTTATGTACAGTTCAGGACCTCCTGATCGTAATGTAACTGTATCAAAAGTTTTTGACAGCACCCTAACCACTGACAGGCTTACCTTGAGCCTCTTCAGTTTTGGCTCCTGCTGGCTTTTTCTTCTTTTTCTTCTTCTTTTTACCCGTAGTTCCAGAATCATTTTCTCCTTCTTGTGTATCTGGGCAATCTGATAAAAGCCACAACAAATCAAAACCATAAATAATATTGTTAAAGTTATCAGGTTAGAATTAGTCCAAAAATTATTTTATTGATTCGTGTTTAACACCTATTGAAGATATCAGATTTGAGAAGGATAGGTGACAGCTAAGGAGATGATCAAGGTCACCAGAACTAATTTTCAAAGAATCTGTGTAATAATGTCTCCTTATTATCATTCTGTTATAATGGCTCGATCAGTGACAGTCTTACAGTGACGTGTATATGTTAGGCCTTGGCCAAACATCGAACTTTTCATGAGACAATCCAAACTTTAATGAGTTACATTCATGAAAAGTTTGACATCTGACTCAGCTAAGTTCATCTGAATGAGTTTGGATCATCAACATGTTCTATCCATCTGCTTCACATGGATACAACATCTGCAGATAATCTATGGAACAAACGTCAATCTTCACATGCAATGAACTAAACAAATAAATTAAAAATTTATATGATGATGTATATTGAGCTTCGTTCAGGAGAAACTTTATTGATGCCTGGCTAAAAGATGATCTTAACTTTATTTAGGTTGACCCAAATTAGAGAAAAGTTTGACGATGGCTAGGCCTTGCAGGTCAAAATAAAATTCAGGTTAAAATGTTTTTAACCTCTGTTGACTGTCAATTTCCTTTGTCTCCTATTCCTAGTTGTTCATGAATTAGGACAAGGAGACATGAAAAACTGAAAATCAAGCTAGCTTAAACTGAATTTAGTTTTGACCTGTAACACATAAGAAAGACATGACTGCAAATTCTTTATTGATTTACGATAAGAAATTTCTGTCACAAAATATTTCAGTTAAATGATAGTATTCTAAGTTCCCTGTCTTCTTTTGAGTTGGTAGACAAAAATAATTCAGAGATGTTAACTCTTCAAACAGAAACTAACTTTACTATATTCCAGTTAATTATTGTTAGGTCTTTAATAAGGGCTGTCATTAAGAGCTGGGCACTGCGGATTTCCCTGGCTACTACAATCGTGGCCCCCAGGTCACTTTCATAGGAAACTAGAAGAAAAGTAAACCCAAAAGAAATCCCTAGCTGTTTGATTCCCTGACTATTTGTTGTATTTACTTGGTGGCTTAAAATCTTAGTGACAACCCTGTTAATGTTAAGTTGAAGGAACTCAAAATAATGCAACCCTGTCCCCTGGAAATATAAAACTGATCAGTTAACTTAGTCAGTATATACCTGCATCTATAGTTTGGATACCATTTGTCATTTCAGTGACAGCTTCATCAGCTTTGCCATTCACTCCATTGACCTCTCCATTCATTACTTCTGTGATTTGTTCTCCACCTCCTATATAATTATTATGCATAAGTTATTACACAATGTACCATTAATTAATAGTGTAATCCAGTAATATGATATTTTGATAAACTTATCTACATCAACCCCTCCCCCCCCCAAAAAGGAAATTTTGCACCATTTGCTTGTCAATCAAACTCAAGTGCCAGTCTGTAGGGGATGGCAGAACGTGAAAAGATCTTGTGCATGCACGACAGGCATTGTACGCAACAAGCAGCACATGCAAACTGAACATCTGGATTCCAAATTCAACTATAGACACTAATAAACTCTCCTTGTTTACAAATTGAGTTGTAAAGTATTTTGCATCTGTAATCACAAAAATATAGTGTCTCAGTGTCACGCATTTTGAATAGGCTTTCAGCTGAGTGTAAATATGTAATACTTAGATTTTGGTGAGCACAGCGAAATGCAGTTCAACCTCAAGATGCAAGCAAGTGGTTTCATTGCAAGTATCTGACAATTTTGACATCATTTTTTTATACATAACAAAAAAGGAAGTTTTAAACTTATGCGGCTGTGCGGAAACCTTCCCAAATATTAAAAGTCTTCCATTTTCTTGTAAAAAGGTTCTGACAAACCAACTGAATCTTTTCTTAGGCGATTTACTAGGTCTTTAAGCAGGTGTATGGTACTTTATATGCATGGTAAGATGGGAGCGAAAATTTAATATTGCGTACACGCTGATGACATCTGTAGAAATGACTTTAAATAATTTTACGCATTTTTAATTTCGGTTTTTGTAAGCTCATGTGCAAACAAAATACCATATTTGAAGTACATTCATCAGGTAGAATCTTAATACATAAGTCCAAGAAAGACTAGTTCTTAACGAGGTAGGGAAGAAAACCTTAAACTTTAAAGCAATTCATAGAGAAGAAAACATTCTTAATATCTGTTACGACATACAAGCCTTCAAGGAACTAATTAATCGGCAATATTTTTTACTGGCCAAACAAATGAAGCCCACCTTTCTTCTTTTTCTTCTTCTTCTTTTTTTTCTTACTCGAAGAATCTACACCGTTTTCTTGAAGCTCCTCAGCTTCCTCATCGACTTCAACAGAAGCATCATCAACTTTCTCTTCCAAACGTGGTTCTTCTGTGATAACAGCCGCCATCTTGGAAAGTGCAACCATGTAAATACGGACAATACGGATAAGTACTGGGTACGAACAATTTTTTTTCGGTCCCAGTCTATGCTCTTATCCAGACTCGTACTTGAGACTTGTACGCCTGGTGAAATTTAGCTCATAGAAGTTTACAAGATTACATGTCACGTGCTTGCGATAATGGCTTCTCTTTCTTTACGTGATCAGGCTCTGCGGTTGATGCGAATCATTGGAACATCATGGTGAGTATCAAAGATTTTTATGTTTCCATTCTAGTGCCTGAATTGCGAGTTTAAACGTTTACTGAACACTTGAAATGTTACAATTACAAATGTACAACTATTTTCTACGAAATTCCTCGTCAGCAACTGATTTGTTATTCTTCGCTTTTTCGTTGAAGATGCAGATGCCCGGCCCATTCATATACATTTTCCGCAGGTTCGTTTATAAAGCATTGGAAAATTTAAAGTGATCGTTTCCATCCACCAGAACCAGAGATGCCATTACCTCTGGAGATCTAAAATCTGGAGACTCTCTCTTTTTCGCTACCCCACGGAAATTCAATGAACCCCGACCCCTCCCCACCCCTAACAAATATGGGCATGACTAAGGACATTATATGAAGCTTTACATCAATTATATACTATCAAACTTTGCGATTATCGTTTTGATGCCAGAAATATAGGTGCAAAAATGCCCCAGAAGCCGTACTATGAATAAGAAAAATTCAAGTTTTGAGCTTAAAATGGGCTAAATCTCAAACTAAGGCACAGAAAAGCTCAAATGATGATCCATATCTGGGAGATATGGTGACCCGTACGGGAGACTGGCAGATTGGTGTCGTATGCGGGACACTCCCGGATAACCTGGAAGAGTTGGCACGTATGCAGAACTAACCTCACATTTCATGCTTGGGGTGGTTCCTGGGGGAGGAGATGGGGGTGGGTACCGACTAGGAATCTGCAATCCTCACCACGGACTCCCTAAAATGCCCTGCACTTGTACGGGGAGGGGCTGGGAGGCTGTGCCCTAAAGGGGTACCTTTTATGTGGAAGGGGAGGGATTTCACAAGTTGAATTGTTTGAAAGAGTAGGGAAATCTGCTACTGTGAATAAAAAGTATATGAAACGAATAAAAAATGATTTTAAAAAGTACTTTGACTGTAAATATTCTAAAGTTGCCTGTTTTTCTGTATTATTCTTAGGATCTAGATCATCTTCAGCTGCTAAGGACCACATTGAACCAGAATGTGCTTTTGAGGTTTGTTCAGACAGTTGCACTGAATAGTTTGGCTAACTGTGATACATGACATATGCTCGGGTTGGTCATGTTTATGTTGTGGTTCAATTTCATCTTTGGTTTAAATTTTATTTGCTTTTGGTTTTGGGTATGGTAATGTAGGGTAATGAGTTTAAAACAAAAGAAAATAAATTTTAAACCAAGGATAAAATTGAACCACAACAAATATACTGGCAGCATATTCATGAGACATGCCTACATATTCATGTTCGCATCAACAGTATAAGTCAAATCATTTTGGAAGATGTTCCAGATGAGAGGTCCAAATGCAGAACCCTGTGGGCATCCCTTGGTCACCCTCTGCCACTCAGTCACTACAGATCCTAACTTGACCCTGTTATAACGGTCTGTGAAGAAGGAGCCCATCAATCGCAGACTTCTTTCCTCAACACCATAAGCTTTAAGTTTTGCAAGTGTAAGTGGATGGTAAAGTGAATCGAAGGCTTTGCTCATGTCCGTGGAGAGAACACTCACAACGTTATGCTCATCAAAAGCGAATTTCCAATTCTCAGTCAAAGACAAGAGAGTTGTCTCACAACTATTGCTTTTTTCTGTAAGCTGTTAGTTTTTCACACAGTTTGTTATTAAAACTATAACTGAGTTGTTTGCTGAGTAATTGTTCAAAGAGTTTGTTTACAGTATTATGTCCTTATTGCCTTTATTATTTTTTTATTTTAGTTTTTTGGATGAAACAACAAAGGGGTGATATATAAATGAGCTGCACTTCCTTTTGACACTGTATCTTCTGCTATCACTGGTAAAATGCAATTTGTGATATTAATCATGGTATTGCAGAAGTCAAAAACAGAATATTGTACTTTTGATGGTGATTACAATAAGCTAGCTTCTAGCACAGTGAGTCTCTTCAGTAGTCTTCTCCTCTGCTGATCACTTCTTTGCAAGTGGGTCTCAGTAATATTGTGTGTTCAAACTGAGCTGTGTAAGAGCCTTTGACATCACACAGCGGTGGACATGGGTCCACAATGCCAGCATCACACAAGTTCTTTAAGGCTAGAAGGTACTTTGTCTGTGACAATTGAAAAAAAAAACCTGATTTTAGTGATGTACATGGAGAAACCTTTTTTGACATGCTGTGAAATTTTTATTGGTGAGAAATTCTATGATCAATCAGGGTAAAAATAAAAATAATAGTTTGGGTTTAAATTTAAAATAATATCTACAATGTCGTAACTTTCGATCAGAAATCAGTAGGATGCCTAAAATGTGTGTAATTCCACAATTGGTTTTGGCTCCATTAAATCCTATACCAATAAATAAAAACTATTGTAGAACATTTTAAGAGCTAGGAGCCACCCATGTGAGAAATAATATATCAAACATGAGACACAGTGTTTCATCACCAGATGAAACACCGAGAAGAGAGTTGAAAATACGACGCGTAGCGGAGTATTTGTGACAAACTTCGAGGTGTTTCATCTGGTGATGAAACACTGTGTCGAATGTTTGATATTTCTTCTCAAACAAAATCATTTTTGAAGGAGAAATTAAGGATGCAAAAATGAGCAGTTTTTCATCCGATATCCAAACACTCATTAAACATTAATTTCCTTTGAATTTTCTTTATGAATTATTAATGAGTTTGAGAAATAAATTTTAAAACTCTGTATTTTCTAATGCACTGAACAAGCTCACACATTACCCATGGTAAACTCTTCCTCTACTTGAATGGCATTAGTCTGCACATTCTATTTGTCCACTGCTTTCCCACACTTGGCACAGTTGCCCATGCTAATGATTTTTTTTTTCCTTTTTCATCACTACCATCAAGATGCTAATAATGCTCCCTTTTAAACATAAAATAATGTAGTACCTGTCCTAAGCGATCCAACCATCGTCTACAAAATGCAAGAGTCCCAAAGTTCTCATTGATGACATTGAGAAGTTGTTTGGCTCTGGGCAACCTAACAGAAAGAATATAACAAGTTATCTGAGATATGACTATTCCTAAACCATACACAGCTTCAACATTGTAATTGATTCTTAAAAGAAGTTTGCGTGTTTGCATGTGAACACAGTCACTCCATATTACTGCAGAGTTTTAACCTACCTCAAAGGAACATGTCCAACCTCAAAGTTCTTCATGTAGTGTGAACATTCCATATCATCATGAACCACACCTTTACCAGTACTGCCAAATGTCTCAATGGCAAAAAATTCATTTTCCTTATTTAAAATCAAAATAAATATAAAAACAAGGTCTTAGTATTGAGTAACGTCTCTAACTTTTTGAGGTACTATGTTAAAACATGGAGTCCAGTTTTTGCTTTGAAAGAGGACTTAAGTCAAGGTTCTTTTCTTGCCTGAAAAGATGAGCTTCTTCCTGAAGAATAGGAAGTTCAGAATATTTTTTAAAGGGTGTCAGGTGTTTTGAAAGCCACGAAAGAGGTTTCCTGAAATTGAAGCTCTTTCAAAAGGACCAGAAACTTGTTTACACACTTTGAATAACTAAACTAAACAAAACAACAAATTATCCAGATCAACTTTAATGAGCAAACCTAAGGATAGAGTCGGTCAGTGTCATGGGCAGTTTAATGAAAACAGGGTAAATTTTCCTGTGATGTTACAGTGAGATGTACCGGGAAATGCAAACTAATTAATGTTCTTGCTTGCAGTTTAGTTTTCTCACGCCTGATTGGCTTTTTTCTCGCACCAGAATAACATTCCAGAAATATTTCTGGTGTTCATGGTTTTCCCGGGTTTGACTGTCAAGATCCATTCTTCAACTCAGGAAGCAGAAGTAAAGAAGTATATACAGGCTGAGTGATATGTCTGTCACAGAAGAAACATGTAAAGATTTCAAACCTCCATTTTAGTTCCTGGTCCTCCTTTGACACTTGGCACAGATTTACTAGCATGAATTCTGTAGGGTGCTATGGAATGTCCATTCAGGTTTCTGATAGGTTTCACAGTGTATGTTTTTCCATCAAGCTCAACTTCATAGGATTCCATAACTTCTTGAATAGCTTCTCCAACATCACACAATCTCACATCAATTCCCGCTTCCTTTGTGTCATAAACAAAAACAGAAAAAAACATGCAATAATTAAACTTGTTCACAAAAAGGAGGCCAGTGTTGTAGTGAAGACAATGAAACCTATTATCATCATATGCAAATAGAGTAATAAATATGCAATAATTTTCATTTTTGCACTTGCTACATTTTCTCTCTGAAACATTGAGAGGCACGAAGACCTACTCCTTGCTGCCATGTTTTAATTAGCCGGCTCACTTAAAAAATAACACAGGTAATGACTGTTCACTTGGATGTACTAAAAAGAGAGTTTTCAATTTTTTTACCTTGATTCCAGTGTTTGTTGCATCTTTCACTGCTGCAAGAAGGTTGTCATATCTTGGGTTAAATGATACTGTGAATGCAGAGTCAATTATTCGGCCTGAAATAAAATAACACAGTCTAAGTTATGATTCTGAGGATGTATAAGCAATTGAAATAATGGAACAAAGTGAAATGGTACAATACACTGTAAACCATTCCTGAACATTACAAGATCATAGAATTTCCTACTGTTATCAAGGCTGACTGTTTATTGAAAATAAAATTGTTAGTAAGGGAAACCATGGATGGTGCAGTTTTGTCATCATTGTCATTGTTGTCATCACTGTCATCAACATCATCATCATCATCATCCATCTTCAATCGTCATTGTCATCATCATTGTCCTCCTCCTCATCACCATCATCATCATCATAATCTTTTCCATTATCATTGACATCAGCATTATCCATCATCATCATCATCATCATCATCATCAGCAGGCATGCTTTTAATTTTTCCAATGAGATGAGACCTGTGTCCCTTTTAAGGGAGTCTATGGAAGTTGACATTACTTGTCCTACATGTGAGGCCCAGCCTTACCATTGATATGGGTTCCAAAGTCAATCTTGCAGACATCGTCATACTGAAGCACTGTCTTGTCGCCAGCATTAGGTGTGTAGTGAGCAGCACAGTGGTTCAGAGAGCATCCGGTAGGAAATGCCAAACCTACAGAGATCCATCACAGTCCATGTTAGATCATTTACAGTCGACTCTCTCTTAACAGACACCTCTATGAGATGGACACCTCCCTAAAACAGACACCTAGAGTTGGTCCCTGCCTTTCTTTACTCCCTTTATTTGACTCTCTATAAGACGGACATCTCTCTAAGACGGACACTTACTGCCCGTCCCAAAGGTGTCCATCTTAGAGGGAGTTGACTGTAATTTGTACATGCATGGACCATTCACATTCTCCCATACTTGTGATGGGTGAATCATTGCCAACCTAAGGTCAAATCATCTTACCCTTCTTCTTGAGTGACCAGAATGAGCCTGAGCAACACATACATGCAGTTTTTATGGCGACTAATAGTTACTTAAATTACTGTGCCAGCAGCTCATCACTGGGTTTAACAATAAGTCCTCACTTCTTTGTTGCTGGTACCAAATTAAATCCTTATGAAAGAGAAATAATTTTTGGTGAAGCAACCAATCCATTATTTGCTGAACCAAAATCCGAGACAACATTAACCCAAGTACCTGCTTTGAGTTTGTTCTCATTGATCAGAGCACGTGAGGCTGCTTCCAGTTTTTCACTGATAAAAGAAAACAAGAAATTATGAGCTACACATAATTGACACTTGTTAAGAATATCATAGTGTTAAAGGGCTGGCTCTACCACTTATAAATTAATTAGAGTACATCAAAATAGTAAACAAGTCATGCACAACATTAATAGAACAGGTTGTTACCATATTTCTATCATAGTTAATCCAGGCTTGATAAAACAATGCACATACTTTCTGACCTGAAAACAAAATAGTAACCATATAATTAGCAATATTATTGAATGAAGCTGAGTAGGATGTGAGGAATTATGCAGATTGTGGATAACGTTCTCCCCAACATCATATTATGTTACCACATTCTGGTTGTTTGATTGTTTAATAGTGCCATATGCTAGACAAATCACTATCCAACGGATAAGTAATATATAGATTTAGCCAGGGCTAAAAGCGAGGCTCCCATTAGTAAATTTATAATTTAAATTAAACAATAAACTTGTATTCGAATTCCACAATTCAGTTAACTTTAGAGCACATTTATGTGACTTTTGAGGGAAAGGCTACCTGATTTTAGAGAAAAATAATTTGCAAACAGCCCAAGAGTGAACCAAATCTTACATCGAGTTGATAGCCTCATATGTACACTCAAAAACTGGTAATCATCTTTTATCACATTTAAGAGCCGTAATGGCTATTGATCACCGTAGATCAATTAGGCTTAGAAAAAAAATCAGGCCAACGTTTTGGCGTTCGACAAGTTTACTTTGCAAAATCTTGCCAACAAATCTGGGTGCGTGTAAACCAACCTTTTATACCATGGACAGAAAGCAGTATTTCACAATACAAATTGCTCTCATTCAGTATTCATAAACTGTTAGAAAAATTTTCCGAAATCACCTATACGGCCATCCGGTTCTCACTTTTGTAGTGCGAGCTGTAGCGAGTGTTTGAATGAACATTAACAGAGTTACGCTCCAAGATAATAAAGAATTTATCATGTTTATTTTTTATTTGATGGTTTAACGCGCGGCATTTTGAGAACTCCTGCAAGCGATGTTCACCCTGAACGACTGAAAACAATCGGCATAGCGATTAAAATTGCAAGAGAGACTACCAACAATCAATAAAAGAAATATAATTCGGTGAAACATAAACAGAGACAACAATTTTCATTCAGGAAGACAAGTATTAAAGTGTCCCTAAATATCCTGAGTCTTCAAGCTTCAAGCTTAAGTTTGCTGAAGTTTATGTTTTAAGCCAGCTTCCCGGTGTTTGTTTTTTCAAAGACGAACTCGAGGCAAGAAAATCGCTCAAAGCTTTCTTTTCCGGCTAGAATTATAACTAAAGATCTTTGGAAAATTTTCTTTATATTTGCGGTGAGAAACTGTCTAAAGGCTTTTTAAAGTTCTGTAAGATTATATCAAACCAGATACTCGGTGAGATCGTTGTCTCAAAACTTACAAACGCGCATAAACTAAATTCCCGCATAAACTACGCTCCACTTCATTAAATTAGATACAAAAAACAAACATGAAATACAATAATTTCTCTGGCTTACCATTCGAGATGCAGCTCCTGAAAGTTATCAGGTAAAGCCAGTATCGCTTCAGACTTTGCAATCCTCTTACGCATCAAGCAAGGTGAAAACGAAAACGATGCCATCCGAAATCGGATTTCCGACTTTGACAAGCGACGTTTTCTCAACCAAAAACCCAATAAACAAACTAGCCATGAGTAACAGAAAACTCCTGATAGCAGCTGAATTTCATTTTGTACATCCAGTGGAAAAAGACAGTTAAAAACATCACAAGTTGACACAAAACTCTGTCAGCTTCAGCTGTTAAAGTAAACAAGATTCAAGATGCTGCATTAATTTTGCGCATGAACTCACATGTCAAATTTTGACCAATCAGAGCATAAAAATTGGATGTAGAGCGTGACCAACGCGTGACCATTGTGAGAAAAAAAAAAGCAACTGTCTTCCCTGCCTGTAACAGCTGGCTGAATTTTCACGTCCGAGGTCAGTGTGCAATCAAAATTTTAATTGTGCAGCACATAAACACAACATATTTCATCTGAATTAAGAAAAAAAATTGAACTTGAGCCTGCGATCACTTGAAAACTAGTTTACTTGTCAGCGGATAACTTCAAAAAATACTTGACCTCGACGGGTCGACACCTGAGCCCGCGATACGGTCAAGTGATACTGGTCAGCGGGTACTCTGTTTTGAAAGCTGTCAATTGATCAAAACATTGATGTCCAATATGTGTGCATTATCAGTTTTCCTGTGCTCCCAAACTAGTAAAAGTATGAGATTGAACGTTGTTCGCGATCTAGTAAAACAGTTAACTGGTCAGCGGACAGCTTCCAAATAAATCACGTCACCTCGATGAGTTGACACATGAGCCCGCGATATGGTCATGGGATACTGGTCAGTGGCTATCCTGTTTGGACAGCTGTCAATTGACCATATTGTTAATGTCCTATATTAAAGATGTGGGCTTGCCAAGACACGCCTGAGACACCCCTCCCTTCCTTTTGATAGTCTCCCCTACCCCACCCATACAATCTGTAGACGCGTACGTACGCTCGGTCAATCACGTTACAACCAAACGAAAAGAGGTTGACCATATTCCATGGGTATGGGGCTCTGTCCCACGCGTGCTTCGCGCGCGCGGGAGCCCCGCTATTAGGGAGACCAATAATGTTATCCATTGGAAAAGGATTCACCATTATATTTTGTACCTGTCTGTGGGCTTCAGCAGCCTGTCTGACATCACTGTAAATATCATCATGCAGTCGATCCAAGGCTCTCTTCTCTTCATTGGTTTCACGCCACAAATTACTGATAAAAATCCAAACATTGATTACTATAAGTGAAAATTATCATTCACTTGATATTCCCAAAAGTTTTAAGCAACACTGACACAACACTTTGAGAAACCAAAGGAGGTTCCAAGCTTTTTTTGATAGACAATAAGAACATTTTTTTTTCTCATAAAAGGACATTGAAGTATGTTAAGATAGTGTCCATTTACTTAATGAGATCAAAATGTCACATAAATATACTCATAACTAAATAAATAACCAGCTCATTGTCTCGCTAAAGTGATAGTTTAAACAGTTACGTATTTCCTCATGATCTCTCTCTCAATGTAGTACATTGTGTACTAGACAAAACAAGACAATACTGTTACAACTTGGAAACCTAATTAACACCCCATACATGTACACAAAGTCCTTTCATTAGAACACATCAAAATAACATGTGAGCAATCTGAACACCATAATACTTACTCATCTTTATAGCTCATGATCTGTCCCTTAGGGAAGTCACCATTTGGAAAGAGTTCTGATATCGGCACAGTGGGTGGATTGGTTTGTTGTCTGCCTGTCGACTTAAAACAGTCTGCAAATATGAACACGACAACAACCCCTTAGAAAATTTATAGACTGAAGGAAAAACAATGCAGATGATTAGTTAATAACAGCTTTCCAAATGAATTGATTTTTCAATCAAGATAATATTATTTAAGGTTAATTCACATATTATATTTATGTACAGTTGAGGACCTCATGATCGTAATGTACAGGTTACTATCATAAGTTTTTAACAGCACCCTAACCACTGACAGGCTTACCTTGAGCCTCTTCAATTTTGGCTCCTGCTGGCTTTTTCTTCTTTTTTTTCTTCTTTTTACCCGTAGTTCCAGAATCATTTTCTCCTTCTTGTGCATCTGGGCAATCTGATAAAAGCCATAACAAATCAAAACCATTAATAGTGTTAAAGTTATCAGGCTAGAATTATTCCAAAAACTATTTTATTGATTCGTGTTTAACACCTACATGTATTGAAGATATCAGATTTGAGAAGGATGGGTGACAGCTATTGAGATGATCAACTAGGTCACCAAAACTAATTTTCAAAGAATCTGAATCTTTTCATGAGACAATCCAAACATAATGAGTTACATTCATAAAAAGTTCGACATCTGACTCAGCTAAGTTCATCTGAATGAGTATGTTGTATCCATCTGCTTCACACGGATAGAACATCTGCAGATAATCTATGGAGCAAATGTCAATTTTCACACACAACGAACTAACTAACTAATGTTCGGCAGAAACTTTATTGATGCCTGGCTAAAATTGCTTTTTAGCCTGCTTCAGTTGATTGGTTTGATGCGTCCTAATTAAGTTCGATGTCTGACCCAAAAGATGATCTTAACTTTATTTGGTTGACCCAAATTAGAGTTTGGTTTTGCTCATGAAAAGTTCGAAGATTGGCCTAGGCCTTGCAGGTCAAAATAAAAATCAGGTTAAAATTTTTTAACCTCTGTTGACTGTCAAGTTCCTTTGTCTCCTAATCCTAATTATTCATGAATTAGGACAAGGAGACATGAAAAACTGAAAATCAACCTGGGTTTAACTGAATTTAGTTTTGACCAGTAACATATACGAAAGACATGACTGCAAATTCCTTATTGATTTACGACAAGAAATTTCTGTCACAAAATATTTCAGTTAAATGATAGTATTCTAAGTTCCCTGTCTTTATTGAGGGAAGAGGCCTTGACTGCTACTTTTGAGTTGGTAGATAAAAATAATTCAGAGTTGTTACCTCTTCTAACAGACACGAACTTTACTATATTCCAGTTAATGATTGTCAGGTTTTTTATCACAGCTGTCATTAAGAACCGGGGGGCGCAGATTTCCCCCGGCTACTACAAACGTGGCCCCCAGGTCCCTTTCATAGGAAACTTGAAGAAAAGTAAACCCAAAAGAAATCCCTAGCTGTTTGACTCCCTGACTATTTGTTGTATTTACCTGACAACTCAAAATCTTAGTGACAACCCTGTTAATGTTAAAAGTTGAAGGAACCTAAAATAATGAAACCCTGTCCCCTGGAAATATAAAACTGATCAGTTAACTTAGTCAGTATATACCTGCATCTATAGTTTGGATACCATTTGTCATTTCAGTGACAGCTTCACCAGCTTTACCATTCACTCCATTGACCTCTCCATTAAATACTTCTGTGACTTGTTCTCCACCTCCTACATATTACTCATAAGTTATTACACAATGTACCATTAATTGATATGTTAATCCAGTAATATGATATTTTGATAAACTTATCTACATCAACCCCTCCCTCCCAAAAAGAAGTAAATTTCATGCCATTTGCTTGTCAATCAAACTCCAGTACCAGTCTGTAGGGGATGTCAGAACTTGAAAAGATCTTGTGCATGCATGACAGGCATTGTATGCTGGATGCAGCACATGCAAACTGAACATCTGGATTCCAAATTCAACTATAGACAGTAATAAACTCTCCTTGTTTACAAATTGAGTTGTAAAGTATTTTGCATCTGTAATCACAAAAATATAGTAATTCTCAGTGTCATGCATTTTGAATAGGCTCTCAGCTGAGTGTAGATATGTAATACTTAGATTTTGGTGAGCACGGTGAAATGAAGTTTAACCTCAAGACACAGGCAAGTGGTTTCATTGCAAGTATTTGACAATTTTGACATCATTTTTTTATACATAACAAAAAAGGAAGTTTTGAACTTATGCGGCTGTGTGGAAATCTTCCCAAATATTAAAAGTCTTCCATTTTCTTGTAACAAGGTTCTGACTAACCAACTGAATCTTTTCTTCGGCGATTTACTAGGTCTTTAAGCAGGTGTATGGTACTTTATGTGCATGGTAAGATGGGAGCGAAAATTTAATATTGCGTATACGCTCATGACATCTGTAGAATTGGCTTAAACGCATTTTTAATTTCGGTTTTTGTAAGCTCATGTGCAAACAAAATACCATATTTGAAGTCCAAGAAAGACTAGTTCTTAACGAGGTAGGGAAAAAACCTTAAACTTTACAGCAATTCATAGAGAAGAACACATTCTTAATGTTACGACATACAAGCCTTCAAGGAACTGATTAATCAGCAATATTTTTTTTTACTGGCTAAACAAATGAAGCCCACCTTTCTTCTTTTTCTTCTTCTTCTTTTTTTTCTTACTCGAAGAATCTACACCGTTTTCTTGAAGCTCCTCAGCTTCCTCATCGACTTCAACAGAAGCATCATCAACTTTCTCTTCCAAACGTGGTTCTTCTGTGAGAACAGCCGTCATCTTGGAAAGTGCAACCACGTAAATACTTCAGGGCGGAACAAGAACGTGCTCCGCAAGCTTCTGCGCATCCCTTATCGCAGGCTCAAGGCGGGCTTTTCTGTGTGATGACTGGGCTTTTGTACATTATGCTTTTGCTTCCCCACTAAAATGCTCCACCTTAATGCTCCATTTTTCCCACTAAAATGCTCGGTCTCCTCAAAAAAGTACACTAAAATGCTCGGATAATGCTCATTATACAAACAGTTTTTTAAAATTAATTTCAAAGTTTACACTCACAAAAACGTGCAAGTGTTGCAAGTGACAACGACAACGTGTATAAGTTCATAAATACACCCAAAAAAACAGCTGTATTAGGTTTTTTGTGAATTTTGAGTTTTAGTCTTCATTTTCTTTAAAAACGCAGGAGCTCGTGGGGCATGGGCTCCTGAAAAAAGTTAATTTCTATTTTATTTTCTCGGAAAAATTAATTTTCCGGGGGAAAATGCCACTAAAATGCTCGAATAATGCTTAATGCTTTTGCTAGCATAATGTACAAAACCCTAGTGATGACTGGCCGTGTTGACTGTGTTTGTTTGTGAAATGCACGAGATGCGAACGTGTCCTCCTTGTAGAGGTCTGTAATGTTTTATGTTGTTCTTGTTGTTTTTTCGTCACTTGAAAGTTACTTTGGAATCAGAACAACCAAAGGAAGAACGGATCATTCCGTCAGTCCGAGGTGGAATAAACGTTTTGAACATTTTCAAAGAGGCGAGTATTTTTCTGATAATTGTGCATTCGAGTTTTGAGTTGATTTTGTGTCCAGTGCTTCTCAATTCGCCTTCCGTCGGGCTGGATTAAACCCGCTTGTATTCTGTTCTTAGTAGTTAAGATTACTTTTTTTACATGCCCAGATTTTTTAATTTACCTTCACGTTGCAGAACCAGCTTTCTCGGAAATAGATGGCCAGCAAGCTTTCTCGAGAAGAAAAGAGTACTTCGATCCTTTTTCTGTTGCTCAAGTAATAATAGTCAGAAGCTTCATTTTTTTATTTTTATTTTTAATTTAATAGTTTTGTTTTCTCGTTCTGTACGCAAATTTTCCTTTTCACTCGCTGTGAGGAGAACGACAACTGCCGGTTACTAGTTACTTCAAAACAATTGTTTCTTTGCCCGTAAACAATAGCTGGAGCTGGATTTGACTGAAGTGAGCAAAACAAACTAGACTACGAGTAGTCCCCCATTGATTTTTCCTCAGGGATAGTAGAGCGAGCGAAACGCGAGTCAGTGCCGTAGCCAGACCAAACGGCCAACCGAGGCAGGCGGGAGTTGCTACGGGGGTTCGGGGGCATGCCCCCCGAGAGAAATTTTGAACTTTAGTCTCTCGGAAATGCGATTTGCAGCGTTTTCTGGGCCTTTCGGTAACTTTTTTTCGAGTTAATTTAAGTGGAATTTAAAAAGCAATAATCAGAAACAAGCTACATAATCTGGGTGACCGTTAACCTCGCCAATGATTTTGATCAGTATTTGTTCAACAAAAATTTGAGTTAACGTACGTAGCCCCTTGAGATCGATGATATGGTTATTTTTTTTATAGTATATTGACTGAATAGCTGAATTCTTTGTAATATCATGATGCGTTAAAAATATCCGATGATCGCTTATGTAAAATAAAAATGATCGGCGAAATTCGTCAAAATTTTACCGAGGCGAGTGCCTCGGTTGGCCTCATACTAGCTACGGCGCTGCGAGTGCGTGTGAAAATCACCCCACGCGAGAAAAGGCGACACGCGGCGGGGAGAGAGAAAAATGTCGCCTTTTCTCGCGTGGGGTGATTTTCACGCGCGCTCTCGTTTCGCAGGGTTTACTATCCCTGAGGAAAAATCAATGGGGGACTACTCGTGGTCTAAAAACAAACTAATAAACTAATAATTCGCTGAGTTTAATTTGCTTGAATGAAGACCCTCGCATGGTGCAGTTATTAAAAATAGCTAAATGGTGAATCATGGCTTGGCTGCGAAACTTGCAACTGATCTTTTGCTTTTGAGAGAAAATTCGTTTCTTCATTGTTGTCAGCCAAGAGCCTCTAGCCTTATGTTGTTTTAATGATAATTTGTTGTTTTGCAACCTTATTGAACATGATTGAAACTTTTTTTAAAGTTCACTTATAAGCTGAATTTTGTGCATGATTGTTTGAAGGAAATCTTGCCTACGCGTAGCCAGGTTTTTGACAGTTGGTGCATGTTCAACTTGACAACACGACAAAGCAAAATTTATCTGCGTGAAACGATCAAGTTTAAAAAACTATAGTTGCTTTGAAACCGATTTTTGGGATGATTTTACTAGATAAAGATTGACCTTTTTCTGCCCACATATCAACGCAATAACTGCTATATTGAGGATTTTGTTTATATTTTATTGATCTGCGAAGCTACGAGTGTCCGATCGAGCGTGAGTTTTAAAATATCAGCTCGAGTGCAACAAAGTTCAGTGGCTTCAAACACATTGTGGGCAAGCGTTAATTTTTTGGGGCAAATCACTGTACAAAGATATGTTGTTTTTGTGTCCACAGTGGAGCTCCAGACCTTATATATCCAGGAACGTCCTTATATGAACACATTTTGTGAATGCATCTTGAAAAAAATCGGACCTACGCATGCACATTTCCAGTACAACACAAGGAAATTAATGTCGTTAAAATAAAGTCCGTTTTACTATGAGGTATTCTTCGAGAAAATTAAGTAATGAGAAGGTTATAACCACAGCGTGCAACTTCTGAAGACAAATTGCTTGTTCTTTCCAGGTTATGAGTGGAAACATTTTATTTTTAGGCAATAAAATATTTGAAATCCCGCCATTTTTCCAAACCTGACCAGGGGATCTGGGCAAAACAATTCACGTATGCTCAGTGCACATCAGCTGTGCACATGTTGGGGGAGAACGTTTTTCCGCCCTGAACGTAAATACAGTGTACGGATAAGTACTGGGTACGAACAGTTTTTTCCGTCCCAGTCTACGCTCTTATCCCGAATCGAACGCCTGGTAAAATTTAGCTCAAATGCAAGATAAACGTGCTTGCGATAATGGCTTCTCTTTCTTTACGTGATCAGGCTCTGCGGTTGATGCGAATCATTGGAACATCATCGTAAGTATCAAAGATTTGTATGTTTCCATTCTAGTGCCTGAATTGCGAGTTTAAACGTTTACTGAATACTTGAAATGTTACAATTACAAATGTACAACTACTTTCCACGAGATTCCTCGTCAGCAATGATTTATTGATTCTTCGCTTTTTCTTTGAAGATGCAGATGCCCGGCTCATTCACAGACATTTTCCGCAGGTTTGTTAATAAGGCACTGGAAAATTTAAAGTGATCGTCTCCAACAGCCAGAACTAACCACACATTTCATGCTTGGGGCGGGTGGGGCCTGCATGAGGGGGAGGGGAGGGGGTGGGTACTCCTCATAATGGCCTGAACGGGGGGAGGGGTACCCTTTTTCAGGCTTCTGGTGAACGAAAAGGTAGGATATTACTAATTAAAGTATATGAAAGGTTAGGGAAATCTGTCATTGGGGTCTGTAAAAGGACCTAAAAGGCCTAACAGAGGGATTTTATGGCTGTAAAAATTCGAGAGACTTTCCAGGTTTACATATACAGCAGTTAAAAAGGATACAAAGTTCTAAACCAGATATTTGAAAGGTATATGATTTGTCAAAATGAAAAGTAACGGGTACCTTTTGTGCCAAAAATGGTATATAAGACTGTAAAATTAATATTGTACTTTTTAATATTAATTTTAGGATCTAGATTATCTTCCACTGCAAAGGACCACATTGAACCAGAATGTGCTTTTGAGGTTTGTACAAACAGTTCATTATTAGTTGTACCAGGTAGGCTAACTGTGATATGTTAGGGTTGGTCATGTATAATGGCATTAGCTTTTGTGCATCACATTGGCTGCAGTGGTTGAATTTCGCTACAACTGAAAGGTAGGTTTATATATTTTACCACTCAAATTTATTTCCAGGTTAATATTGATCTAATCTAACTTGATTAATTCCCATTTTCGTTTGTTTTCAACTCTTGAGAGTCAAAGAAATTTGAGATCGAGTTACGTCAAAATATTTTAACCTGAAATCAATTTGACCTGTAGCATATAAATAGTGTTAGAAAGAACCTGTCAAGAATATAATAATCTTGCTAGGAATGGACCCACAAACCAACTGGGGCCTATGCCTTTGTCAACATAAAATTTAGGGTAAAATTTTTTAACCTAGGTTGATTATCAATTCCCCTTGTCTCGTAGCCCTGAAAATTATTATTCTTGAAAGGAGGCAAAGGAAATTTAGAATCAACCAAGGCATTACGGAATTCCGTGCATCGATCTGCATCACCCGTAAAATTGGGGGTCTTATGACTATTTGCGGGCTCACAAAGGATGCCAACGCATGTCATATCCTTTGACTCTAGACCGAAGGGTTAAGCATATTGTTTCAACAATACAAAGGTAATTTAACTTAAGCAAATCGATAATTTGAAGCTTTCATGCTACTCTCTGTTTTATTAGGAAATGCAATCGCAATAATTGTAATAACAATGCAATAACTATAGGTAGCAATTATTGTTATCTGCAGTTAGTTTTTTCCTGAAGAGCTAACAAAAATTATTGTTTTATTAGGTGGCAAACTCTAGCATCAGGTATGGAGAAGGAGTCACCAGAGAAGTTGGCATGGTAAGCCTGTGCATCTGTTTAAAAAGTCAATGACAAGTTGATGAACTAACAGAATACATGGCAGGGTTAGCTCAACTGGCAGCAGACTTATTTATTTTGTTTATTCCAAAATTTGCACAAATTCAGGTGAATATTAGTGCTATAGGACACTCCTTGTCATCTTGTCAAGTATCAATCACAGTTCCCTCTCCACATGAAAGGTAGATCTAACCACCGTGCTCTACATCTCCTACTCTTTTTGTTCTTGCATTTGATCAGTTAAACTCAGGTTAAGCCTGAAAATACTGTGATTGTCCTCATTCAAACGACAAGCCATTTCTGTGGAAATGGATGACTAGGTAGGAATTGTTGGTCCCATATCCAGCTGATGATGCAAAAGCCAGGTCCTTTATAAAAGTTAATATTAGTTTGTTCTTAATATGTTGACCCTTAAATTTATAATATATTAGTAATTTGGAATATATTCTTGGCATCTTGTTTCGGAAATGACCATTTTTTTTAAATTCACTTTCTAAAGGATTTCAAAAATCGTGGCCTGACGAAAGTCTGTGTAATTACAGATCAAAAGGTAAGATTTAACTTTAATCGTAATGCCTATAACTGTACAAATATTATTAAACATTATCATATCTCTGGGTGTCAACCACCTGAGTTCTTGTTTAATTTGTATTGCTTTATTTTTTTTGATTGTACCAAGAAGACAGAGAGTGTAATTAACCAGCAGTTTTTATCGTGAAATTTATAGCTTGTAAATTTACCTCCTGTTCAAGCAACCATTGAGTCTCTGGAAACAAATGGAGTCAATTATGAACTTTATGACAAGGTCAGGATTGAACCAACAGATGCAAGGTGAATAAAGGGTTCTACTTTTGGCCCTGTCACACCCTATATTGAGTGGGAGCTGGCAAAGGATTTTTTATGGTTTGAAATTCATGATTAGGGATTTTTTCTGGTAAGGAAATTTTGGTTTGTATTTTGTTTGGTTCATATAATTTTGCAAGGGATCTTTGGGGTTTTCAAAAAAATTCAGAAAGATTTTTGGTATAAAATTAATGAAGAAAAATCCCTAGCTTCTGGCAAAGTAGAAATTTTTTGGAAGAAAATGTATCCCTAAATAAATACCTAGTATTCATTAGTATGGAAAAGAGGTGGGCCCTTTTTTTGCCATGCAGCTGTGCAGTCATGTGGGCACAAAATACCGTGCTGGTCTCTGATACAGAGAATTTGTAAGTAACGATCTTTAAACTAAGGATTGAGGTAAGCTCTTAATTTCCCTCTTTGTCCCACAGCCAGTGCTCTACCAAGTTTAAATCTGTTCACTAAATAAATCTTTTGTTTCTCTTAGTTTTAAGGATGCTATAGATTTTGCCAAGAGAGGTCAGTTTGATTCCTTTCTAGCTGTGGGCGGTGGATCAGTGATTGACACGGCTAAAGCTGCCAATCTTTATCTATGCCATCCTGAGAATGATTTCCTAGATTTTGTGAATGAACCTATTGGTAAAGGAATGCCAGTTAACAAAGTTCTTAAGCCATTGATAGCAAGTAAGGAAACTCCTTTGTATCATGTACTGTAGATCACTTTAGTTTCAAAATCTGTCCAAATGCACTTTTGAGACTTGTTGCAGTTGCTTTCAGACCACTGAAAACTTTGCCAAAACTTTGCCTTTTACACGATTTATTGCATTGCACAGTTTCTATAATGAGAAAGTTTCTAAGGAATTCATACTGTGAATTTGGCAAATTTTGAATCGTTTTGTCTTGAAACTGAAGCAAAAGTATCTTTATATTTGAACGAAAATCTAGAAACTGAACTTGTGAAGTGTCAAGGAACATAACCTTGCATTTTAACAGTGATAATTTAAGATGATTTACAATTTAAAGAACTTACATGCAATAATACATATAATTATTATATATTGATCTGATATATAATTTTTTAAATTCGCAGTTCCAACAACTGCAGGAACAGGTAAGCGTGGATGTTTATTTTTATCTCCTGTTGAAAAACTTCTCCTGTGTCTCTCATTATTTAAAAACGCGTTGTGAGGGTGGGCTTGCTGTGCTAGTTTAGTGGGAGAGCAGGAGATTACTGTATTATAGTACTCACCATCTCTTCCATTCACTGCTTATAATCCCTCAACGTGTCCGTCATTTTATTCTGGTTTTTACATTAGCGTTGATTGAATGATTGATTGATTGATTGGTTTCAATTTGTCCAACCTTGTTCCCAGCGTTGTCTCCAGCTACCCGTCCTTACTTTCCGTAGGGTTGGGTAGAACCCTTGAAAGAGGTTGCAACTTGTCAGCTATTAATCATACATGAATTTTCAGGTAGTGAGACTACTGGTGTAGCTATCTTTGATTACGAGCCACTGAAAACCAAAACAGGTAATTCTAGCTTACATTTTACCTTCTTTCTTCATGGATTGAAAGGCTACCTTTTGTTTTCACGCATATTCGTTTGAAAGCTATTCAAAAGTAACTCTACTAACACTTAAAAGGTGAGATTTCAATTTTGGAAGAAGCTAAACTCCTTATAAATTTCTCGATAGGCATCGCAAACCGTGCTATTCGACCCTTGCTAGGAATTGTGGATCCTTTACATACCCTGCACATGTCCGAGAGATTGACAGCTAACAGTGGATATGACGTATTATGGTAAGACTGATAGCACTCGAACGTTAGTGGCTAGTTTTCTTAGATCAGAAAGATGTTGGATAGTTTTGTGGTTTAGTCTGGGGTTCTGTGAGTGAAGGAGCTGACAAATTTTCTCCTATGATCAATGCTCCTTTTTAGCCACGCTATTGAGTCGTACACGGCCATTCCTTACCAGATGCGTGGTCCTCGCCCTCTGAATCCTAATTTGCGCCCAGCGTATCAAGGCAGCAACCCGGTCAGTGATGTTTGGTCCAAACATGCGCTTGGAATTGTAGCAAAATACTTAAAAAGGTAAGTCTTGTGACGGCATGACGGTATGTCTCACACATGGTTAAAGTTAGCCTGCGTAGCATGGCGGTTTTGTCGAACCGGGCGCAGGAGCGGCGTAGCCACGAAAAATTCGCGCGCGAAGCGCGCGAGAACGAGCGGCAAAGCCGCGAGAAAAATAAAAACTGCTCCCGCTCCAATCTCCTCGCTGTTTCTCTGCCCTCGCCCGCCTTTATTACTTAGTTCGCCCAACCAAAACCGCCATGCTACGCAGGCTAGGTTAAAGTTTGAAAGAATCGTAGGGCTGTGGAAGAAGACAAGCGTAGCTCTTTGTATGGATGTAACAAAAAGAGCCTAAAGTCTTTATTTAGATCCCAAGATAAGACTAGCTGTAAGTAAGTAGTATTAAGGGGGTTATGTTCTGCTACTGCTTTGTTAAACCATAGTCCCACGAAACTCCTTTCGAAACAGTGCACGTTATGGTCTGCATCTTAGGCCCGTTTCAAACGTCGTGCTACTGACTGGTGTACCGAACTAAATTGATCGAATTAAATTCGACTTTAGCACGGCAGCAGCACAACGTTTGAAACCAAGTCGTGCTACTGTCGTGTTGCGCGGCAAGCTTTTCTTGTAAGTAGTAAGTAGCTATATGATTTTAGCTGGTGTATATCCTATTTATTTTCTAATTCATTAGTTATCTTATTTAATTATTTCGACACGACCCCACAAGCGAAGCGTCGCTTTAAATACTTATCGTGTATAAATAAAGATTATTGATTGATTGATTGATTGATTGATTGCCGTGCTATACAGCAGTAGCTCGACTTGGTTTCATACGTCGCGCTACTGCCGTGCCAAATTCAATTCGTAAATCATGAATACATTAGAATACATTTAAAAGTTTGCCAAATCGTTTCTTTATTTTTGTGTTTTGTTTTCGGCAACAGCCGTTCTATTCGACTGAATTAAATTCGACGTCTGAAACCAAGTCGTGCTAGTGTCGTGCTGCAGTCGAGCTACAGTCGAGCTAGCTTAGCACGGCAGTAGCACGACGTTTGAAACAGGCCTTACGTATGTATTCACCGGCGTGATACTTTAGCAGCTAGGCAGCCGCATAACTCAAGAGCATGCTTTGCGCCCCGCTCCTTTCTGTTAACGAGGGCCTAAACATTTACTCAAAGACAAACTTTTATTTCATCAGATCAATCAAGGATTCTGAGGACCTTGAGGCCCGGTCCAATATGCATTTGGCGAGTGTTTATGCTGGAGTAGGGTTCGGAAATGCTGGTGTACACTTATGGTAAGCTGCTACACATTGTGTTTAACAACATGAAGCATTTTTGGTCAATTCGTTGGCAGTCTGGTTGACTTACCCCGCGGAGAAAGAGTGGGGATGGGCTAATAAAGAAATTCGCCGAGTAGGAATAATACTGTTTATGAAACTCCTTAGGATTAATCTAAGTAAGGAGGTAGTGCTACTGTAGGTACCCTATTGATCGTTTTGAGAAAACACACAATACTGTTTAACCGGCAGTTCATGTTTCGGATGAAACTTTTTCTATCGTCATTGCTAACGATCACCCTTTTCGTCTGCAGTCATGGGATGTCCTATCCCATCTCCGGCCTCGTCAAGTCTTACAAAGCTAAGCAATATGAAGTGGAACACCCTCTTGTGGTAGGACATTGTAAAAGTTATAATTTTTAAGAGAAACAAAGAAAATGTGTTGACCCAAGTGTCTACTTTATGATATACTTAGCTACCTTCGTGTAAAGCCGGCAATTTGAAACTTTTTACAGATGACTACCGCACAAGATGTTGAAACGTCAGTCACTGTCAACAACAACAGTTCTATTCAGGATTATGTTCACCCGGACGATCAAACTCAACCTACTCATGAAATGACTCCTGGGTTCAAACCATTCACCAGTGACAGATCCAGGGGAGGGGCCTGGGGGGCCCGCCCCTCCCCGCCCTTATTTTTAGACCAAACTGAGGCCCAAATGGCCGAAAAAAAATTTTTGGGGAGACCGGGCCCTCCCTTATCTCAGGGTCTGAATTACCACCCCCCTATCTGAAAGTGTGGATCCGCCATTGTTCACAGTATTTGCGTCTTTGTTTATTAGCCACATGGTTTGTCTGTAGTGGTTACAGCACCAGCGGTGTTTCGCTTCACGGCGCCGGCATGTCCTGACAGGCATTTGGAAGCTGCAAAAATCCTTGGTGAGCCCATACTTAACTCTGTATTGTTCACCTAAACGTCTATCTTAGTCAACAACTGCCTTTCTTTCCAGAGTGCAGCTACGACATTATGAGTTTTCACAATAAAATGATAGAGCCACAGATTAGTTTGAGAAACAAATAACTGAACCAGCTCTTAAAGATAGATTTAACTCATAACAGGATGTATAACGTGTGGATGGAGAGGATATTTTCACGAACTGCGTACGAATTTTATCTCTTGATACTTTTTCTTTTGTTGAGCCGTGCACAGTTGAGTATTCTCTCTTTGACTTGTTTAGGTGCGGACACAACTAACGTTAAGTTGGCAGATGCTGGGCTGTTGTTGTCGGACACTCTTCGGGATTTCATGCACAGTACCGGGGTAGATAATGGACTTACGGACCTGGGTTATAAACCGGAAGACATTCCAGCGCTTGTCAAAGGAACACTGCCTCAACATCGTGTAACAAAACTTGCCCCAGCTGGGGCCCCTGGAGAAGACGAACTTGCACGACTGTTCGAGGATTCCATGACGGTCTATTAGCGTGTTTTATTACTGAAAAACTGATGATGATTCAAATGATGCATCTGAGAGATTCGACTGGCCAAGTTAAAACTCAAAAATTACACACCATGTTAACTTGTGAGCTTTTAAGTGAACAATTTTTACTACAGTTTTCGAGACCCGGCGAGGGTACAATTGACCTTAACAGAATATAGGTCAGAATAAGAACAGCTTCTGATAGAGTCCACAGATCCTCAAATTGCTACATGTATTAAACAGAAGCATTTTTATTACGTTCGACGCAGAAGAACACACCTCTATTACAGACTTGGAGTAAGATTTTACAGGACAATGTGAATTGAGCAAGTCTTTGCAGACACCTGGCATCTCTGAAGATTTTGCAGGGGTGAATGACATCATCACCTACTTGTCAAAGGAGAGAGAGACTGTACTCAGAACGAACACTGTAATCATTGATTATTACTGTTGATGTCAGTTTCAGTGATTGAAGAGTTTAATTTGAATAACCATCTTGGTCCAGAGATAATTGATCTACAGACACGGAACTAAGAAACACTTGTACAAAAAAGGGTTGTGTGGAAAAATTGCCAATAAGGAAAAGGAAATTCACAAACACAAAGTTAATTACAGCCGTTAGACTCGAGTTTTACGTGGTAAACCATCTTAAGTGTTGCTGAAATTTCATTAGCAAATTATTTTTTATCTCTTATTTCCGAAAAAATAAAGGTGGGTACCGTAAAATTCCGAAAATAAGCCCCGGGGCTTATACTTTTCAAAGGCCCTTTTTGAGGGGCTTATTTTTGGAGGGGCCTATATTCGGAGGGGCTTATGTACGGAGGGAAATTTGCGTTTCAAAATCGATTGGGCTAGCTTGTAGTGGAAAGGAAATTTACCATTTTACTTTGTTTTAGTTTGTATTCAAGGGCAAATTCCAAGTACAAGCCCTCCGGGGGGCGTATATTCGGAGGGGCGATTTAACGGAGGGTTTTTTGCGTTACGATTTTGGGGGGCTTATATTTGGAGGGGCTTAGTTTCGGAATTTTACGGTATTTGGATAAAAGAACGCCTGACCTTTGGGATACTGTGGAAATTCAATCCAATATGGTTATTCTTCTTACTCAGTGGCCGCTGTTTATTACCAAAATACTACTTCTCTAAGTTTAATTGGACATCTAGGCCTCTATTTACGATATGTTTAGTAATTTCTATAATACCTACGTGCTTGACAATGCAATAAAAAGTAAGGAGAAATAACAAGTTGATCATCCTTGGAATTGAAAAGGATGAATAGATCTACAGAAACGTTTTCAAGGCTTTCAATAAAATCACAGTTCATGTTTTGTCAGTAAAACCAAAACATCAAGAACCAAATAAAATACTTACTTAACGAACAAAAACGTTACCGTGTGGATTAGCTACACCTGTTAACTGATTTGCTTGGTTTTTACCACATGGATCATGCGTGGGGAAGTTGTCCCTTGTATTACCGTCAAAGTAATAGTAGTAACTACTGCTGGACAGGTAAGGCCCGTAGCTGCGTGACGCAAAGGATGTTGGTACTACCCCAGCACACTGCTGTGAAACCTGTTTAACCAGTTTACAGCTGAGTGACCCGGCCTTCTGTCTCACTATGCTACCAGTGCCCTCCTGGCAAGTGATCCAGTTGTTGATGTTACTTTTGATTAAGGCCTGGTTACCAATGGTTCGCCACAAAGTAAAGTCCATTGCTTCATAGTGGGTCTCGCTGAGTGGAACTTTTGTAGATACTCTAGTGTTAGCACCGCTGGCTGTCCAGGTGGGACGAGGTGTGACTGCGTTTTTGCTACTTGTAAAGCTCGAGTAATCTGTGAAGGTGTAACTCCAAACTAGTGTCCATCCTCCCCCGTCCGTCTGTTGGTCGCAGTAGGCCTGGAAAGCGTTTCCATGGGAGCCACCATCTGGGTCAATCCAGTAGACTCCTGAGGCAACTGAGGGTGTTTTGTTTTTCAGATCTTTACAGTTCAAGGCAGGTTTTTCTATGGATAATCCTACTGACGATTTCCCTACCTGAAGACCGCTGAAAAATTGTTGAGCCATGTCAATACATTGCAGAATTTAATGGAGTTAACTTTGGAGTGAAGTGCTACAAATAATAGCCCTTAAAAAACTGAGCGTCAGCACAGCAAAAAAAAAAAAAAAAAAATTGAGGTGACCACACAAGTTAAATGAAAAAATCCCTTGACTTCGTCAGAAATTTGAACCCAGAACCTCTGGTTCAGGCCAACACTTCCTGGAACTTGCTCAGACACAGATGCCCAAAATGATTGACTTTTCAACTGACAGAAATGTAACCGTTAGGACTCCTGTTGTTTTTTAGCCTCCCGCGCAGACGTTCTTAGGAGTTCGTCACGCGTTCCTGTGGGACAGGAACGCGTGACGAACCCCTAAAAACGTCTGCGTGGGAGGCTAGTTTTTATATCATTCAAACCTGTTTCAAAACAGGTTTTGGGTGCGTGGGGTCCCAACCGAAACGTGCGTCAGGTCGCACGCCAGGGTGAAAGCGCAGTTCAAATTTTAAATAAAATTTTATTGGTTAACTAGCTCAGGTAGTAAGATTATATCATAAGCTTCTAAAGAAATTACAAAGTTAACTTTAAGGGATACCCTTTCACAGTTTTTAATGCGTACGATAAGCACCTCTGTCTTTTTTAGAGAAGAGTACACTCCCGGGTAACACAGCCTGCGTAGCTGTCGCTTGGAAGTAGTGGGCGCAAGAAAGAACGAGCGCGCGAAAGGAAGACAAGCGCGCCCGTTCTTTCTTGGGCAGGCAAGGGTAACAATGTTAATGCCAATTCTTGCTGCGTGCATTCGGCCATTAAATCGTTGAAAATAACATATAAACATCACACAACTCTGAGACTGACAAACTTTCGAAGTTGGGAAACCCTGAGCATGGAGAAAAACATTGAGTTTTCCTAAAGCAAACTGAGAGAATAAAATTCAAATAGAAAGTCGGCCTCACCTGGCATTGAAGAAAACCCCGAAAAAGGTAAACAAAATGGGCAAACGGTCACGGGGAAACATTTCCGGTTTGTGGTTTGTGCAAGGCCAACGACAACGCCGTGCTCTCCAACTTCCTCAACCGTTACTCAATGGAAACAGTGGTGACAAGCTATTGCTTTATACAGGTATACCCTCAGGATAAAAGGGAGGAGTTTCAGCACGTTTCAACTGACTGATTTCTGGATTTTGTCCAATCAATTGCCCCCAGGAAGTACTCTTACCCTGGAACAGTTAGCCTGAACTAGAGCTGTACAATTGCAGTTTTGCAACCCTATTTCGTTCCCTATATCTCTAATTGAAAGGTCCTTTCTCTTAGAGTGCAAACTCGGGGTTAAAGGAAATCGCTTAAATCACAATGGATCGCACAGCAAGCAAAGACAAGCAAAGCAAATAAGGTAAGGTGTATTTTATTGAAAATTCTAGCGAGTATTTATCTTCTTGGATCTTTTACCTGAATCTCCATACAAATCTTTTATGTTCACAGCCATTTTAAGGATTACGCAATTTGAGACCAAACGTAAGGATTTACTCTCATACTGAGTTTGCGAGGCAAGTGCTTAAAATAACCCTTTTCTCAGCGACACATACTCATTACCCCCATATGGCAGCCCCCGGGGTTTATGGTCCCGTTTTTAATTATAAATACAGCGAGTAAGCAGCGACAGGCAAAGGATGAAACAATAGCGATACTAATGTCTGAATAAGAACCACCTTGGTTCATTTTAAGCTATATAGAAATGTCCGGTGCCCTAGGTTCCGTATGCCGCTTTTTAGTCCTTCTCAATCCGTTTGGTCTGACTTTAGATGTGTATGCGTTGAGGTAAGGGCAAAAATGACTCAGTTTGCAACCCGGGTGCGGAGTTGGTATAGCTTTTAGTTGACACAACCGCCTATTTTTCGCAATTTAAGAGGATTAAAATATAAAATTGAGAATGTACATCCCAGTTGTCAAATGTTTGACGCGAAACGGCAGCAGTTCGTATGTGTTGCACCAGCTGGTATGATGAGGAGTATCTAATTTTGGATCAAGACTGATAAAGAGTCGCGAAAATCGCTTATTTTGGTCTAACTGTGCCTTGGCCTCTAAAAAAGTCTGAACCAGCAGTAAAATACAGAAAGAAGGGTCAAAGGATTAACGAGAAAAAAAAATCCAGTATATCAGAGGACGTGGTAGGTTTTTTTTAAGCAGAAACAAAATTATTCGTTCGGCAATAAATTTAGATCACACCTGCATTGTCACTGGAATTGTGACTTTGTTTTTAAAAACTCTTCCTTCAGTTGAGGAACATGATTATACAAAATAATTTTGGGGACCAAAAGAAATGAACTGCAATCATTGCAAGGTCACCCCGCTTTAATTACACTCAGAGAGCGGCGTTAGAAGAAAATTGAGAACAACAAAAACACTTCATACGAAAACTGCGAGGTTAAGTAAGCAAGTTTTAAAGTGGCCTGACAAGGAAAGTTGATAATGGTTCTGTCTGCGAAGGGCACCATTTTTTTATCTGCGAAAGATTATATAATTGGCGATAAGTCTTTCTTGTAGCTTTTATCTCATTTAAACCAGGTGGAGTAAAAGAAATAGATTGAGTTTAAAACGACTGAAATTAACGAATAAAGATATTACCATGTGGATTAGCTACACCTGTTAACTGATTTACTTGGTCTTTACCACATGGATCATGTGTGGGCCAATTGCCGCTCGTTATACTTCCCTCAAAATAGTAGTACAGACTGGTACTGGACAGGTGAGGTCCATGACTGTTCAACACAATGGATGTTGGTACAACCCCAGCACACTGCTGTGAAACCTGTTTAACCAGTTTACAGCTGAGTGACCCGGCCTTCTGTCTCACTATACTACCACTGCCCTCCATGCAAACGATCCAGTTGTTAATGTTACTTTTAATCAGAGTCTGGTTACCAATAGTACGCCACAAAGCAAAGTCCATGGCTTCATAGTGGGTCTCGCTGAGTGGAACTGTTGTAGATACCCGAGTGTTGGCATCCCTGGCTGTCCAGGTGGGACGAGGGGTGACTGCGTTTGAGCCACTGCCAAAATTTTTGTAATCCGTGAAGGTATAACTCCAAACTAGTGTCCAGCCCCCTCCAGCTGTCTGTTGGTCGCAGTAAGCCTGGAAAGCGTTCCCATGGGAACCACCATCCGGGTCAATCCAGTAGACTCCTGAGGCAGCAGAGGGTAATTTTAGTTTGAGATCCCGACAGTTCAACACAGGTAATGCTTTGGACTGCCCTATGTAAACGGAATGCATTGTAATCAGATGAGTTGTTGAGACGATGGGGAAGGCGGATTTTTCTAACCAGAGGGAAAACAAGGTGCAAATGAATAGGCTTTTTTTGGTGCCAAGCATCTTTTGATTGTACATCACCGCTTAACTATTACAGTGTATGCGCGATGTAGTGCTTGTATGGAAGCCGGGAGTGACCCACTCTCTAAAACCCTAAAACAAATCGTTCATAAACCGATGGCCGGGCATTTATTTTTTTCCTCGTGGCCTGTCTATGAGAGTTGTAAGTGTACTTAGTGGAGAGTTGGGGAGTGGGTAGCCTGCGAACAGCAGACGCATTTCCGGACGACCGGAAATGCGTCTGCTGTTCTCTAGGCTAGAGGAGTGGGGCGAGAGAAGTAACTCCGCTGTTTTGGCTATAGGATGTAAAACTCTGTACTTTACCAATAGTGCTTGGTTCAACCAGTTTGAAGTTGTCTTCAGTTAATCTTTTGATTATTTCATTCTTGCAAAGCAAAGCTGACCGGTAAAGATAAAGATTCCCTTTTGAATCTATTTCCAGAACTTTGTGTCTTTCTTGATCCAGTGCTCTAAAAGGAGGAAACAGTGTTTTTTATCAGATAACCCGCAAAGGGATACGACTTTCGCGACGGCTCGACTCGTGGGAAGGGGCCGAGTGGGGAAAAGGGAGAGGTAGCTCTCCTTCTTCCCGTCCCCCTCACCCCCCACCCTCTAAGCCATGCGAAAAGATCCATAGAGAGAGGTTGTTTGCAGACCGTGACTCGAATTAAAACATGATAAAGTTGACACTATAACTATTTTCAATCGTGACCATTTGATATTTTCGATAGTTTAGCTAATGACAAGAAAATTCATGTTATATGTCAAGAGATTTCACAGCTCTCTTGTGTTGCCTTTACTGGGGATGTTTAGTTTTCTTGGCTTATTTTTGTTGAACTAAGCATCAGTCGGCACGGTTTTCAAAAGTGACAGTTTGCAGGCTGTTTTGGCAGCCTACTTCCTTGATCCATAAATTACGTGGGATTCACAGTATACCCCAGCCAGCCAGCGCCCTGGCCCATTCCTCACTGGACTGGCAAAAACAGATCAAAAGAGAAATGCCAAAGAATCTGATCAACCTCGTCCCTAGGTCACGTGACTCAGTTTGTAAGGCTAGGGAGTCGCATTTGATAGATACGGCCATGACTTTTGAACCTCATGGGCTAAGCCGCCGTGACGAATTATTGTAATCCATATCCTTATTATTTGTCCTTTCTAGTTTTTGTGTTGTACGTCATTTCCGCCCCTCCCTTTTAAACAATTTTTTTCGCGACATTCTCCATCTATATAATATTGTGATTCCGACATAAGTTCAGTAACATCTGTAAACCTGGTGCAAGAAGAAGGCTGGTATGGCCAGCCCAAATATTGTTATGAAAAAACAATACACGCTGTTCTGAATCAGCTTTGCAGTAGTCCTAGGACTTCTCGTTTTTGATTCTCTATATTTTGGCTGATTAGATCTCTTTTCTAGAGATCCAACGCTCATAACTAGCAGGATCTTCGTGCACGGTTTTCGCAGTTAATTTAATCCTCGTCCCCAGGGCTTTCGCGCTTTTCCCATTCTCTAAGGGAAAAGCCCTGGGGACAAGGTTGTAATTTGATCCTAGCATTTGACGGCCAAAGAATGACAAACATGATTCAGGGACCCAAATGTATCGGATAAGCATGTGCTTGGCGAGTCACACAATACCCCTGAATTGTCTAAACCTATTAAAGCGAGAAGTTGGAATTATAAATCGGTAGTGAGGGAATAACATCAAACATCTTTGGATATCGGCAAACTTTTCAAGGGGGAAACCCCCAAAAGAAAAGACAAGCCCAGACCTTTCCCGAAGAAACGTGAGGGACCAAAAAATGAAAATCAAAACATTTAAACTCGGCCTTACCTGGTTAAGAAGAAAACACTGAAAACGATAAACAAACTGGGTAAAAGAGCATGGTAAAACATTTTGGAGTTTGCACAAGGCCAACCAACAAATACCGTCCCGCTCTCGTCAGCAACTCAAAGGCACTGACTTAAAACAATGGCTATCTAGGTAATAATGTTTTCACGCCAAAAGGGAGGAGTTTCAGCGCGTTTCAACCGACAGATTTGTGGTTTTTGTGGAATCAAGGAAGTTAATGCTACCAGAGGCCGATAAAGGGTGAAACGGCCTATAGGGTATGTTCTTGAGACCTTTCTACTCTCTTTGGTCTGACAATGTGTATTATAACATTCTCATTTCTCATTTTCTATCGGATATTGGCAGGAGCCTATAATCGGCTCCTGATATAGGGTAGAGTATACCCAGCAGAAACTTATTAGAAACGGGGTCTGAGGCTTTGTAAAGCTTGGCAATTTTTTTTTTTTTTTAATCTCACTTCGGTTTTGAAATAAGATTAATGACAGGACGTTTTCCCTTTTCTCAAATGTTGGCCCAAACAAGGAAGCGGCGTCCATCAGGTTTAGCTGGGATCATCTAACAGAGCACAGTGCATGAGTTAGAAATAAAAACGGCTGGTTCGAAATAGGAGAATCTTATTCTTTTAGATCAGGCTCGATAGGGCAGGGAATGAGAAATGGAATATTTTGGTCTGAAATAGTGACAGGCTTGCAAGGAGCACGCACACACCCTCCACCTGATATTTTTTCGAGAGTATTCCGCTCAAATCTTCGGGAAGTGTCACTCGATATCTGTTGCTTCCTGTACCTCTGAAGCCTTTAATAGCATATCTTTCTGTTTGAACGATAAATCAATAGACCTTTTTAGCTTGTCCGTTTGGTTTTCCCATTGCGATTATATCCCCGAGAAATGTTTCTTACAATTGTCGAGCTATCCACTTGCATTTGCGTGCCGGTTAACTAATAAAAAGACAAAAGGTAAATTTTCTTGAGAACCCACGTGGTCTGAATTGTGAAAATAAAGCCTACAAGCTAAGTAGTCTATTTTGACCTTATAGGTTAGACTCAAAATGTTAGAACCACATTGAACACAATACTTTTAAAACTGACTGTGTAACCACAACACTGCCATAGCTTTTATTTGAATCGAGCACACTGATGCAGAAAAAAAATCATCCTTAGACACTGAAGTGAGAAAAACTTGTATAAACGGACTTGATACCCAGTGGCTGTAATGAGAAAAAAATGCCATTAATGAAAAATAAATTCACAAACACAAAGTTAATTACAACAGCAGTATAATTTAACATGGTAGTAACCTGAAATTAAAACTAGCCTACGTGAAGCTGAAATTTTGTTAGCAAGTTAGTTTTTAAAATTCATCTCCTACGTATAGCAAGATTAAATGAGAGTAGGTAAATATAACCTAGATTGTCACTACCTTTTATCGTGCTCCTCCTTGTATTGTTTGTTTGTTTGTTTTTTTAACAACTAATTTTAAAGGACTTTAATTACCAACACAAAAATTTGAGATCAAAATGGATTAGAGACGTTGACGATGGCTCTGCAATGTTTTATCCTTCAGTTTTGGAGATTATCATTGATTTAAGCAGATGCATCAAACGAATATAACTTTTCAACGAACAAAAATATTACCGTGTGGATTTGCCACACCTTTTAAGTGATTTTCGTTTTGAAAGTTTAAAGTACATGGATTATGTCTGTACTACAATCAAAGAAATAATATAAATTGACAAGAAATATGTAAGGCCCATTGTCGCTGCTCTTTGTAGAATAGGATGATGCTGACCACTCTTGCTGAGCACACTTCTTTGGGACCACCTTTTTAACTATTTCACAGCTGAGTGACCCATCTTTCTGTTGCAATATGCTACCACTACCCTCCTGGCAAACGAGCCAGTTGTTGATGTTACTTTTGATCAGAGTCTGGTTACCAATGGTGCGCCACAAGGCAAAGTCCATGGCTTCATAGTGGGTCTCGCTGAGTGGAACTGTTGTAGATACTCGAGTGTTGGCTTTTCTGGCTGTCCAGGTAGGACGAGGGGTAACTGCATTTGAACCACTCTTAAAATTCGTGTAATTTGTGAAGGTGTAACTCCAAACTAGTGTCCAGCCTCCTCCATCGTAGATACCCGAGTGTTAGCACGCCTGAATGTCCAGGTAGGACGAGGGGTGACTGCGTTTGAGTTACTGCCAAAATTTTTGTAATCCGTGAAGGTATAACTCCAAACTAGTGTCCAGCCCCCTCCAGCTGTCTGTTGGTCACAGAAGGCCTGGAAAGCATTCCCATGGGAACCACCATCCGGGTCAATCCAGTAGACCCCTGATGCAGCAGAGGGTATTTTAAGTTTGAGGTCCAGACAGTTTAACACTGAAAATTCTTTAGATCCCCCTGTAAAAAAAGAAATATTGTATCCAGACAAGTTGTTTCAAAGTTGCTGTTGTTGTTAATGGTGGCTGGGTGGGTGGGTGTGTGTGTGTAGGGGGGAGGGGAAAGTAGATTTTGTATAAGACTAGAATTATGAATTTTACTTGTTGTATATATTGGCTTTATGTGATGCCAAAAAACTGATTAATTATGGAGGGTTGTGACCTGGGGTGGCCTGCGGATTGCGAAAAGACGCTTTTCAGTTTGCCATAATATTTACTGAAAACTCTGTATGTACTTTACCTTCAGTAGCGCTCGGTTTAACCACTCTGAAGTTATCTTCAGTTAATCGTTTGATTATCTCACTTTTGCAAAGCAAAGCGGACTTGTACAGGTAAAGATTTCCTTTTGAATCTGTCTCGAGAACTCTGTGCCTTTCCTGGTCCAGTACAGCTCTAAAAAAACACGGCCTGACTAAGTTAAGTGGTTTTCTTTCAAGTAACATATAAGTTGAGTGCGCTGTGCACGTTCTTCATCGATTTAAAAAATTGTGACAAAATAAATTAATTTGGCAGTTTTATTGCTCAGATTGGTCAGTAAAGATCACAACGATCGTTGGGAATGTTATCTCAGTTATCAGTAAACGTTGTGCACCTTCAACTCTAGTAAAGCATTAACAATGTCTGAAGGGCTTTAACCATTCCACGCCAGTAACTATGCCCCAAGTTGTTTTTTGATGATAAGCATGTCCGCCGATGAATCACACTGACAGTACAATGCCCTTAAAGTTAGTTGTCTCAGTAAAGCGAAAAGCCGGTTTGAATCAAAGGTCGATAACAAAGCAAGGGGCTATCCCCTAATAGACATGGCGGGAATTGGTAGTCGGAAAATTTCTGAAACACCCATTGAGGTACCAGAATGCCATTTTTTGTGCGTGATTCAAATTTTATTAACTTTGTTAGAGGTACCAGAAAATCACAATATGACTCTATATTAACGATAACATAATCTAACGGCATAACTTTGAAATTTCGAACCAATCTTTCGAAGCCTTTCGAAGTCGGAAAGCCTAAATGAAAGGCATTGAGAAAGGCATATTGAGCTCCCACGGATAGCAAAATAGTAGTATACAAGGAACAAAAATCAAAGCTTTCTAAGTCAACCTTACCTGGCTATGACGAAAACACAGAAGTAGATAAAAATCCTGGGCAAAAGAGGATGGCAAAACATTGTAAAAATTCCTCTGTTCTCTTCAAGGCCAACAGCAAATGATTTGGCCTCATTGGTTGCAAGACTGTATATATATCTCGCAGGACGGGGATTTTCGGCAGCACATTTTAACTGACAGTGATCTTTTTTATCCAATCAATGGCCACGAGGGTGCACTCGACTCCAGGAATTTTTGGGTGGGGGCATGTTGTTACGACCCTCATGGACCGTTAGCCTTTACAAGACCTGTTTGACTGCAGTTTGCGACCCTATTCCACTAAGCATCAACAATCCCTACCCTATTCCAAACTAACTATGAACCAGAAATTGATCACACCACTGATCAATTACCCATGAAAGAGGCTCTGTCAATTTAAATCCTCTAATTTCCACTTCCAATTCCAAGCTTTATTACATCCACTTTGAAATCACTGGCTATCTGTGCAATCTGATTGGCTCTCAGCGATGTGATTTATTCCTAAATCGCACCATTTTTTGCTCTAAATCGCATCTGTTCCAAATCGCGTCATTCAGGTTCTAAATCGCATCATTTCTGTTTTAAATTGCACCATTTTTGTTCTATATCGCATCGTTTCTGTTTGGAATACAAAATGAGATGTAAAAGCCTTTTTGTTTCGGCTTTTTAACAAACCGGCTACTTGATCAATAAAATATTAGTACTGACTAAGTTCTGCGATTTCAAAGTGAAAGTAATAAAGTGGTAATTGAACTTCGTGTCGTGCAATTTTGGTCTGAAATCATATTTGTGATTTCAAATCGAACTCGCGCTGCGCGCTCGTTCGATTTTGAAATCACGCGTATGATTTCAGACCAAATTGCACTCCACTCAGTTCAATTACCATTATAAACTACTGAACAACCTTTACCCCCCGTCAATGGCTCGAATTAATATAACAAGCTAGTAGGGGCAGGCAAAGGATGGAACGAAAGTGATACTGATGTCACAGTATCAATAGTAGCTACCGCGGGTCATTTAAGCCATATGGGTATGTCCCGCGTTCAAGGGTATGTCTGTGAGTCATGTTCACGAATATGTATGTACATATAAGCGTAATTTTCAGTCATCGTAGTCTGAGGTAGCGGAGAGAATATGCTCAATTTGAAACCGGGGACTGGAGTTTGGTGGTTGTTGTTTTCGTTGGAAGACGCAACTTGTTTCCGTGTTTAAGAAGATTGAAATAAGGAATTTATACCCCTTCTCAGCTGTTTGACGTGAATTAAACGGAAGTAGTCCTGTGTAGCTGGGATCATTAATCATTTATATCATTCTGGGTCCATAATGCACGCGTTGTAGCAACGGCTTGTCTGTAATAGGGCCTGATAGAGGGGTATCTAATTTTACGTCAGGCCAGGGGCCTGACTGGTCAGGTTTAAAACAGGGTCGCGAAATTGGCGTAGTCTGATCCATGTAAAATAAAATAGAGGAAGGGTTTCATGAAGCATGCTGCCACCACCCAATCACACCCAAGTACTCTTTCTAAACCTTCAAGTGGTGTTCATAGATATTTGTTACTTCCTGTACTTTGGTGCTTTACTCTGGTACCTCTTTTTTTATCGCGATCGGTAATTTTGACTTGTCATCTCTTGTGTACTTTCCAAGAGAGGATTTCCTGTCTCGTGTTTCTCTGTTTATACCCCACCGAATAACAAAATTAACGTTCAAAATAAAAACTAACTGATTACTGATATTGTGTATCTATTACGGACACTTTCTTTTAGTTGTTAATCATTTATGGCAGACACATTTGATTTATATTACCACCGTAACGCCATCGTACCCAGATCTCAGCCAAAGGTCTGCAAACGAGTGAGATCATTACCTTATGGTAGAAAATAATTGAAGCGACAGAGTTCAGTATTGTGCCCTATCTTCTAAAAATATCGGGGTCAATGAGAAAAACAATACAAAACAAAACAAAAGCAACAACAACATAAAGTGAAAGGTTAAAACTAAAAAACAAAGCGCGAATCAAACTGATAGAATCACTCAATCATGCATTACAAATCTGAAATGTATCCGAATTATCGGAAAAAGGCAATATCATGGTACGAGCAGATAACAGATATTTAGTTATTATATTTTAATGTATGAAAATATTTCCGTGTGGATTGGCAACGCCCTTTACTGAGTTGGTTAGCAAAGGCTGTCCCACATGGGCCAATCTCCTCTTGTATCACCATCAAAGTAACAATAGAGATTGTTGCCGTTAAGATGAGGTCCACGGTGGTCTAAATGGAAGGATTTTAACACTACCCCAGGACACTGCTGTGAAACCTGTTTAACCATTTTACAGCTGGGTGACCTGGCCTTCTGTCTCACTATAGTGCCCTCCTTGCAAACGATCCAGTTGTTGATGTTACTTTTAATCAGAGTCTGGTTTCCAATGGTAGCCACAAAGTAAAGTCCATGGTTTCATAGTGGGTCTCGCTGAGTGGGACTAACAATGCCGTAATATCGTATCCAGATCTCAGTCAATAATCTGCAAACGAGTGAGATCTGGGTGGAGAAAACTGTGCCTTGGCCTCTAAAAAGGTCTTAACCAGCAGTAAAATACAGAAAGAAAGATCAAAGGGATAAAAAGAAAAAAATCCAATATAGTAAAGGAATTGGTAGGTTTTTTGGGCAGAAAAAAATTAAGTAAGCAAGTTTTAAAATGACACCTACGCCAAGCCAAAGATTTAACTCGGTTAATTCTAAATCGTCTTTTAAGTAATTTAACCCATATTAGAAATCTGGCCGGAGCTTTTCTTCAACTTGTATTACTCAATGTTTTGATGTAATTCTTAATTATCTGCAGGTTCCTGCAAAATTAATAATAGGCCAAGTTACACTTCGTTTACTTAACAAGCTAATAGCATTGAGACGTTTGTCATTGAAATGAAATATAGACTAGATGATGTTTTTACCCAGTGGCTAATGAAATACTGCTACACCGAACAATAAATACATACGGGCTGGGAGTAACCTTTGCTCAAATTAAATTTGAAATTGAATACTAAGTTCTAGTGGATTCTCACTTAAGAACAGAGGAGCCACAACATTATCCCTCTTCATCGACACTACTGCCACGTACATACATGATAGTCTAGGACACGTAAATATAAACAAAGTTGATAATGGCTCTGTCTGGGGAGGGCATAATTTTTTTGATCTGCGAGTGATTATATAATTGGCGATAAGTCTGTTCTATGTAGCTTTTATCTCATTTTAAGCGGGTGGAACAAAAAAAGATTGACTTTAAAAAGAATGAAATTAACAAACAAAGATATTACCATGTGGATTAGCTACTCCTTTTTAGCTCTTTTTGCTGATTTGCCTTATTTGTACCACATTGATCATGTATGGGCCAATCACCCAGTGTACTACTGTAAAAATAATCGAGGACAATGCTCCTGGACAGATGAGGGCCGTGGGTGCTACTTCACACTAGGAATTATGGCATTACCACAGCACACTGCTGTCAAACTTGTTTATTTGACCTTTGCGTTTTTTTCACGATCATTGTGTAGGCTTAGTGTAACAATGAACAGATCTACAGAAACATATTTTAAGGCTTTCAATAAATTCACAGTTCGTGTTTTGTCAATAAAACCGAAACTTCAAGAACCAAATCAAATACTTACTTAACGAACAAAAACGTTACCGTGTGGATTAGCTACACCTGTTAACTGATTTGCTTGGCCTTTACCACATGGATCATGCGTAGGCCAACTGCCGCTCGTACTACCGTCAAAATAGTAGAACGAACTGGTACTGGACAGGCGAGGTCCGTCACTGTTTAACACAAAGGATGTTGGTACAACCCCAGCACACTGCTGTGAAACCTGTTTAACCAGTGTGCAGCTGAGTGACCCGGCCTTCTGTCTCACTATGCTGCCACTGCCCTCCTTGCAAGCGATCCAGTTGTTGATGTTACTTTTAATCAGAGTCTGGTTGCCAATGGTGCGCCACAAAGTAAAGTCCACGGCTTCATAGTGGGTCTCGCTGAGTGGAACTATCGTAGATACCCGAGTGTTAGCACGCCTGAATGTCCAGGTAGGACGAGGGGTGACTGCGTTTGAGTTACTGCCAAAATTTTTGTAATCCGTGAAGGTATAACTCCAAACTAGTGTCCAGCCCCCTCCAGCTGTCTGTTGGTCGCAGAAGGCCTGGAAAGCGTTTCCATGGGAGCCACCATCCGGGTCAATCCAGTAGACTCCTGAGGCAGCAGAGGGTACTTTAAGTTTGAGATCCCGACAGTTCAACACAGGTAATGCTTTGGACTGCCCTATGTAAACGGAATGCATTGTAATCAGATGAGTTGTTGAGACGATGGGGGAGACGTATTTTTCTAATTAGAGGAAAAACAAGGTGCAAATGAATAGGCTTGTTTTGGTGCCAAGTATCTTTGATTATACATCACCGCTTAACTATTACAGTGTATACGCGATTTAGTGCTTGTATGGAAGCCGGGAATCACCCACTCTCGGATAGGCCACCGTAGCCTAGCATCGATTCCCTAAAACAGATCATTCATAAACCAATGGGCATTTATTTTTTTTCCTTGTGGCCTGTATATGAGAGTTGTAAGTGTACTTAGTGGAGAGTTGGGGAGTGGGTAGCCTGCGAACAGCAGACGCATTTCCGGACGACCGGAAATGCGTCTGCTGTTCGCAGGCTAGGGAGTGAGGCGAGAGAAGTAACTCCGCTGTTTTGATTATAAGATGTAAAACTCTGTACTTTACCAATAGTGCTTGGTTCAACCAGTTTGAAGTTGTCTTCAGTTAACCTTTTGATTATTTCATTCTTGCAAAGCAAAGCGGACCGGTAAAGATAAAGATTCCCTTTTGAATCAATTTCCAGAACTTTGTACCTTTCTTGATCCAGTGCTCTAAGAGGACAAAACAGGGTTTTATCATCAGATACCTCGATTTGACGTGCTATATAGTCCCCAAAAGGATGCGCCAATTAAAACTGGAACAAGAGAGGGCTCTGGGCTCGACTCGGGGAAAGGAAATGAGGTAAGAAAAGGGAGAGATAGCTCTCTTGCTTCTCGTTTTCTTCTTCCACTCACCAGCCAATTGAAAAAGATCAGGGGAGAGAGAGATTTATTGGGGGGGAGAGGGTGGTTGTTCGCTGGCTACAAGTACTTTGAATTGAAATGTGATAAGGTCGAAGTAACTATTGGTGTAGCCACTGACAAGAGACTTTCACGTTATCAAGAGCACTTCCAGTCAATTACTTTCCGTACGGTTCTATTGTGCTGCCTTTACTAAGGATCTTTAGGGACTGCTGTGCCAACCTACTTCCTATTTCCAAAAATAACGTGAAATTCACGTACGCTAGCCAACGCTCTAAGGGATACCTCTTTTTCCTATTATCCTTTCTTGACTTGCAAGAATAAGTACAATCGACTCCCGATAACTCATCGAACCTTCAAGGGAAATAGAAAACAGTTCGAGTTTCGAAGCAAATAACAAGAACTGAGAAAAGAAATGGGATCCGGATAGGGGAGCAATACAAGTATCATGCACGATCACTTCAAGGGCATCAAGAGATATGTTGATATTTTGAACACGGAGAAAGTAAGCAACAAAGCATGATTAATCAGTACAGCGCTAAACAAAAATAATTTCGAGTTACGGGAGGTTCGAGTTTATATCGAGGGTTCGAGTTACAGTAAATGTATGAAGGAAATCCAAGGGAAATCGATTTTGGTTCGAGTTATCGGGAGTCAACTGTACGCGCATCACAGTGCTAAGGAATCTGATCAACCTCGTCCCAGGGCTTTCCCGCCCCTCCCATTTTCTAAAGAAAAAGCACTGGGCCGGGTTGTTCAAAGCCGGGTTAACATAACCCAGGGTTAGTACAAAATTTGAATTCAGATATGAAAGCTTAAAATGCAAATTCAGTTTAGTAATTCTTTTTTCTACAATTTGATGATTAAATACTCTAAATAGAATACAGAAAATTTTCCGAGAAAACGCTTTTGATGAAAAGAAAAAGAAACCCGGGTTAAAATTTAACCCCGGGTTAGCGCTAACCGGCCTTCGAACAACTCGGCCCTGGGCCCGGTTGCATAAAACGCCCGTAACAGTTACGTGTATACGTACGTGTACTCGTAACTTAAGTCAGTTGCATTAAATCGTTTACGTGGTCCACTTAGAGGTTTCACTAAAGTGGCTGCACTTACGATTTTCGTAAGTGTTCACTTAAGCGTCATTTATGCAACAGAAATTGCGGGTGTTGCATAAAACCTTTTTTACGGGAAAATTAGCACTTAAATTGACGGAACCTATGTAGGTCCCGTATCCTTACTGTTTTTACTAAAGTTAACGAGATCTTTTACCGAGAAGTGAAAAAACATTGTTTTTTCTTTACGTTATTCCGTTCTAATGCGCTTTGCTAACCTCTGATGTACAATTTAAAGCCGTCGTTAAGAAAAAAGAAGAACAACAAACATTTCCAGTGGATATTGAAGTAAAATAACGATTTCATGTAAACTTTATTTGAATGAGAGGCTTAAAAAGTGTTCGAAACGAATTGACACTTTCTTTACACTCACCAATGGTTAACTTATTTTAAAGAAATAGAGTGAGTCAAATTAATAATTAAAAGTACTATAACAAAGTTACGTGCGCCCTTAAGTTAGCCCGTAAGTTACCACGTAAAACAGAAACTTACGAGAGTGCTAAGTGTGTTCCGTGCAACACCCGTAAGTGTACCCATAACGGATTCTTAAGTGACCTACTTAAGTGGGCACTTAAGTGCTGGTTTTATGCAACCGGGCCCTGGTGACTAAGTTGTAATCTAATACCACATGTTCCAGGTTGATGTTCATGAACCGAAATGTGTTTATTTGCTTGGCGAGTCACAAAGAACAATACCCCTCAGTTATCCAGATTGAAGCGAGAAGTTTGAACGTGAATATAGATAACTAAGCTCTCAATTCCAAATCGTATGACGTCTGTCTCATTTTAACTATTGAAATAACATGAAACACGCATGTTTGCATGGGATTCGGGCGAACTTTTAAAGGGGGAAACCCTAGCTGAGCATTGCGAAAAGCACAGACCTTCAACGGAGCAACGTTAAGAATTAAACACTGCCTTACCTGGCTAAGAAGAAAGCACAGAAAACGATTAACAAACTGGGCAAACGAGCATAGCAAAACATTTTCGAGTTTGCACAAGGCCAACCAACAATGCCACTCTGCTCTCGTCAGCAAATCAAAGGCACTGACTTAAGACAATAAAGTAGCTAGCTAATGTTTTTACTGCAAAAGGGAGGAGTTTCAGCGCATTTCAGTGGACAGATTTTTGGTTTTTGTCCAATCAGGGAAGCTGATGCTGGCGGAGGCTTACGAAGGTTAAAAAGATCAGTATCATTATTAACTTGTGTAGGAATGTCTGACGTCCAAGGTATGTTTTTTGCGACCTTTTTGATTTCTTTGGTTTGACAATAAGTAGAACATATTTTATTCGTCGTACTCTATCATAGATATGGTAGAGTATACATGCACCGTCTAGAACCCATTAAAACTGGGGCCTGGAGTATATCTTTATAGGAGAAAATTGATGTTGTTCACCACTGGGACTTAAAGGGTTAAATCTCTCTTCGGTTTTTAAAGAGGATAAACGTCAGGAATTTGGGGCAAACGAAAGTGGCGTCTCACTTGGATCAGCTGGCTATCACTTATCACAGTACAATGTACGTGTCACAAAATAAAAACGGCTGGTTTGAAATAGGATTATCTAGTTCTTTTAGGTCAGGCTCGATAGGGGAGGGAATGGGAAATCGAACATTTTGATCTGAAATGGTGAATGGCTTGCAAGGAGCATGCGCACACCTCCACCTGATTACTTTCGAGAGGACTCCACCCAAACCTTCAGGGAATACTGTCAGTAGCTGGTTGTTGCTTCTTACTTCCTGTACTTCTCTGTCCTTTACTAGCATCCTTTCATTCAATTGGCGAATCAATTTTGCCCTGTAATTTTGTAAAGGTAGGTATGCTCTCCAGCAATTCCCTGTTACGCAATCGAATTGGGGAATCCGTTCAAAAGTAAAAAAGGAAATGGCTGATTTTTCATACTGTGTCATGAACATACAGTATTCTTCTATATTTAGCTAATGCAAACATTCGACAGGACTCTCCTACGCAAATCTCAGCCAACTATATGGCAGCTATATATCCTTTTTTGCCTCAGTTGCGTCGTTACCTTGATTTTCTAAAATTACTAATTCTCATCGTCAACAAACTGTTCAATACACTATTTTTTCCAATTTTTACTTATTGCTCCGAAGTTTGGCGGGGAATCTATGATAAATGTGATAGTAGCTGGGAAAAAGACTCCATTGAGAAAACACATATCATTCTTGTATCGAGAAATGAACTTGGCAGATTATCTCTCAAGTTACAAATAACAATGAATATTTTCAAATTTTGGATTCACCTTGACAATCAACCCCCTTAGAGCATCGTTAAACCTTGCTTAAACATATCGGATAAAATGGCCCAAGAAAACAAATCATGCTTGATAAATAAAATAAATCTTTTACGTGCACAACTTAATATTAATAAGAAATCAGTTAACTTTGAAAACCCTTCTACTTTTCTATTAAAACCAGAACATAATTTGTCACTACCTCTAAAAAACCACCAACTCAGTTTGATTATAAGTACAAATAAAAAACTAAAATTCTACTCCATCTTTAAACATGAAACAAAGTACTCTGAATTCATTAATCATACCAGGCAGTCCTGAACATAAACGAATCGCCTCCAAATTGGGGATAGGAAAACATGACTTAAACTGAATCGAAACTGGAAGATTTACAATTCCCAAAACTCTCGAAGATCTTAGAATTTGTGATCACTGCAGTTTAAACTCAGTTGAAAATGAAATGCACGTATTATTTCACTGTGACTTATATGATGATTTGAGAAAGACTCTTTACTGGGCTGCCTGTGCGGCCCAGTTATAAATTCGGTTGTCGGTTGTCGGTGTCAAAAAACCGTCATCCGGGGGAGGGAAGACACGAGGGTCTGGAACCGAGAAACGATGTTCTCACAAATGGTTTCACAGGATTTTCTCTTGCATAAGCCCTTGCACGGATACTTTTTGTACCTCGTCTCCGCTCCCCCTTGAAAAACCCACAAGGCGTTGCGAACTTGAAGAACGCTATTTGCGTTGTTGGAAGCGATTCGATCATTATCCTCCCCGCAGACGTCCTTTGGGGTTCGTTTGGGAGAAATGAATGCGTGACAAACGAACCCCAAAGGACGTCTGCGGGGAGGCTATTCGATCATGGGAGTCACTCTATTTATTTTTTTTTATTGTTCGAGTTTAAGTCAGTTGGATGATGTTGGCGCTGGGAAACTCAGAGAAATTCTCACGTTGCATACAAACCGACACGCCGTTCACGGTAGGTTCACACCAAAAGATGACTGTTAGCGTCAGGTTTGGAACGACGGGGCCGCTTCGTGAACTCAAAGAGAGAATTATCGATCGATGTAGTACATGAGCAGTTAAGAAGCACAATTTATGAGCAAAGTATTTCACCAGTTGACGACACTATGGCTGAAGACTTGATTGTAAGCTGTCGTAGTCAGTGAAGCGAACAACTCAGTTGCCAATGAATGTCAGATGAATCCTGATGTTACGCACGTCCATGAGCGAGGGACGTGACAACTTTGCCATGTTAGAAGAGTGGCTTTTCCTTTAAATGTTTCCTTCTATTTAATTTGGAGGTCTAAATTTCGGATACTGAGGATAAAGAAGACACGGACAAAAATAGGAACTCTGAGAATTTCGCACACAAGTTCAAGGCTTGACTTGAGGAAAATAGGAGCTATTACTGACAAGGTTTGGTGACTGAGTAGAGCATACAAGTGTAGCCCACGTCGAGGTTTCAGGGAGTTTGCCTTTGTTTGTATCTGTATCTTGCTAAGCTTTTATCATTAAATTTGTACATGATCTTGTGATCACAATTCTGTGTTTTCGCCCATTCAGCAAGCACGCTATATGGGCATTAGCGAGTTCCATTTTATGGAGATGTAAACTGAAGTCACCGCAAAATGGAAACTTAAAAAAGCGTATACACTCTTTTTTTTCTATAAGAATATATTTTATAAGAATATCGAGGCTGAAATTTGCGAAATCTTAAGAATACTTTAAGAATAAACTCCAGGCTGAGATTTTGAAAAGGATATAATTTCGTGTGGTGAAAATCTGTAAATACAATACAAATATACCTTTTCAATTTATTCCTTTCTTTAAACGGCAAAACTAGCTAACTATATTTAACAAAACTATAATTGATACCTTAATATATTCTAATTCGGAAATGTCATAAGCTATTATTAAGAATAATACAAGAATATTTACAGCCTAAAATCGGGGGAAAAGTAAGAATATTCAGCCTGGCCCTGGAAAACAATATTCTTATAAAAAAAAAAGAGTGTAATCCATTTATCTCGAAACATAATACTCATGACTTATATGACCTTTATTTTCCTAAAGGTGTTTTGAATACGAACGAACACAGTCAATGTGAGGGGCAAAAACAGCATTAATATACTCAGTAAATGAACCATAGGGTTTTAACTAATGTAAGGGTCAATTATTGTGCATTGAGATGAATCTCTTGAAAAGAGAGACTTCGCTTGAAGATGTGATCAGAAGTAAACAAAGTCACAATAGTGCGTCACGTTCAGTCTTTTTAATATCCAAGGACTGTGAATAATGATTCCATATTGTTTAGCTGGCACAAATAAAGCGGCATAATTATCGTCCATGAAGAAAAGTTAGTCATGGGTGAGACAAGCAATGAACTCGAGCGAATTTTTCTACTCATATCGGTATCGGGTAAAATACATTGTTTGAAGTGCGTGCTGATGAAAGCAACATGCGAGCGAGAAATCTTTAAACTTTTTTAGGTCACAAAATGCAAAGGATTTTATTCCTTTAAGTTAGAGAAAAATACCAAGAGGAAAATCTTAAAACTGAATATTTTTTATCTTGTGGAAAAAATAGTGCGTTTTCATGTAGACTCAGACTGTAGACCGCAAATTAGGATCGTCTATTTACTGCACTTTTCACAAACATGCGAATTCTGAAGTTTAGAAGCCAAACGACGATTGCGTTTTTCGCTGCTGTCAATCATCTTATCTTAAAGGACCTCTTAAGAAACAAAACTTTACTTCACGGGTTCAAAAGGTCATGGTTTGTGATTTGTGGATTTCGATCCGTTTTGTGTTTCTCTGTTTCAAGGTTCGTCGCTTGTGATCGTAATTATGATTGACGGCAATGAAAAAGACAATTGTGAAGGTTGCGTTTGAAGTTTAGAGTTCTCATCTGAGTTCTCATGTTTGTGAAAAGCGCAGCAAAGTCTCAGTGCAGTCGGCGGCCCCTGGATCAGGCGAGATCAATGGGTAGTTGGCTGTCTGTTTTGGTATACTTCTGGTTTTCATACAATACAATATTTCTGTCTAGTGTAAATCAGCTCCGTCGGTCGCACTTTATGCTCGTAGAACGACAACAATTTTTCGAATTTCCGGTTACGTCAAATTAGTCACGTTATACTGTCACGCTATATTTTGGGGCACAGAGGGATTGGGGGAGGGGTGCGTGAAAATAATGAAAATCGTTTCCTGCTTAGGATTAATGGCTAACTTGTTTATTTTTATTCATAATGGTGGAATTTAACAGTTATTATACAGCCCCCACTTAAAAATGGTACTCTTTTTTTTGGCTACCAAAGTCTTTCAAAAGGGTACAATGTTCTGAATGAGTTTATGTTTCAGTCTCACATGAGATTCTGTCGCATGCAATGGTCGGCGACAAGGTTTTGTAGTAGCCTGAGTGTGTATAGCCACCCCCTCCCCTCAGAAAAAATAGCCCCTTTGCAGCCCAGTTAAAAATTGCCTTTCCGCGATTCTTGTTTTTTATTAAAACCAACCAGACCAAAACACGTCACTCATGATTAGCTACAAATTACAATAACAACCATGATTAAGTCTGTTTTCTTACTCATTTCAGCAATACTGATTCGAATATCAGTAGGCTAACGTTCTACTTTCGTCTTCCAAGCATTCAAGACGAAAGAACATAATATAATTAATTATATCATTCAATTATATCTGTATATTCTTAACTCTCTTAAATATGGTAAAACCATGCACAGAAATGGTAACACTGAACAAACTTGTTGTTGTAGTAAAATCCACCAAACGAGTGAGATGTGGATGAGATGTTTAAAAAATTGGACAGCAAAACAACGACTATCAACCAATAAGTTCAGTGACCAGATCGACAAAAAATAACTGGACTACTGAGTAAAAAAGACATTACATCTCGATTAAATTTTGCAAAAATCTTATAAATCTGGCCGGCATAATAAAGTCTCCCATGCAGTTCACTCCAGCTTCTCAAGGCATTCAAATCAAGTGGAACAAGGAAGAGAAAATAATTGGCTTTTTAACGAATAAAAATATTACCATGTGGATTGGCAACGCTTTTTAACTGATTTAGTTGGGTTTTACCACATGGGTCATGAACGGGCCAGTCGTTGCTTGTTCTACCGTCAAAGTGATAGTAGATACCATTGCTGGACAACAGGTACGGCCCGTTGCTGTGTACCGTAAGGGATGTTGGTACTACCCCAGCACACTGCTGGGAAACCTGTTTAACCAGTTTACAGCTGAGTGACCCGGCCTTCTGTCTCACAATACTGCCACTGTTCTCCTGGCAAGCGATCCAGTTGTTGATGTTACTTTTGATCAGGGCCTGGTTACCAATGGTGCGCCACAAAGCAAAGTCCATGGCTTCATAGTGGGTCTCGCTGAGTGGAACTGTTGTAGATACCCGAGTATTAGCAGTACTGGCTGTCCAGGTGGGACGGGGGGTGATTGCGTTTGAGGCATAGTTAAATTTTTCGTAATCCGTGAAGGTGTAACTCCAAACTAGTGTCCAGCCTCCCCCGTCCGTCTGTTGGTCGCAGTAGGCCTTAAAAGCGTTACCATGGTAACCGCCATCCGGGTCAATCCAGTAGACTCCTGAGGCAACTGATGGTCTTTTGTTTTTCAGATCTTTACAGTTCAAGGCAGGATTTTCTATGGATAATCCTACTGACGATCCCCCAAGGTGATGTCCGCTATAACAAAACATTGAGCCTTGTTAATATATTCCTGACTTGTTTTCATGTCTACGTCATTCAGATTAATGTTTTTGGGTGTGGTCGTACGACGCGTGTAAAAGCCCAGTTCAAGTTTTGAATGAAAATATTTTGGAAGTTACGACTCGGTAAGTAAGGATTATGGACTTTTCCTAACTAAACACAAATGAATTACCAGGTGAGCATGATATCTTCTTACGCGTGAAGAAACATGTTGTCTTTACACTACGTGAATGTCTTTTATTTTGTATCTCCAAAGGCCAGGTAGTATCTTCCATATATTCATAGCCTCATTACAAAACTAAGCGGTTTGACCTCCCCCAAAGTTCTTACTTTTTGGTATGAATAAATTCGGTGGCTAAAATGTGGCTAAAACTGAAAAGCGAGTGGCTTACGAGCACACTGGCTCAGTCTTCTATTAGTTTCAGCTGAGAAGATAAATACAACGAGGCTTCCTTGGTTCCCGCTCCCCTGAACACCTCTCTTTTTAAACCGCCGAGCTTTGTTACCGAACGTTACAGATTAAGTATGCTTTATCTGTAATTGCGGTGAAATGAATTTAAGAATTTTCTTTAGAGGTCCTGAGCGAAGGTGGTGCGAACTTCATAACAACTCTACTTGGCTTTGTTACTATATTTCGAAAAACAGTCAGTCACACTTTTGCATAAGAAACAACAAACTTTGGGAAAAAATCTTGAATATATCTCACCTGGTTGTTAACAAACTGTAAGAGATGACAAATAAGATAGCAAAACGAGTGTAGAGAAACATAACGCGGTCTAAATCAGACAAAGAGCCTCACAAATTTCTTGTCACCAGAAACTGAGCGAGTGAACAAATGATTAATGTGATACGTTAGTAAGGGCTAAAAGTGAACTGTTTCAGAGCGTTTTGGACTTTTCAGCTAATTTCTTTTCGCTTTTCTCCAATCAACGATAATCAATAATGTAGCATTGTCAAAAGCTAGAGAGGAAGTTATTTTTTATCCTTTTATGGAAGACAAACGTGCCTTTCTCTTCAGCTGGGTAGTGTTCTAGAATTGATGACTGAAATATAGGAAACAGTCCCATCGCGTGCTGACCGATAAAACATGATTCTCAAATTTTTACCAGGCTTAAAAATTCGCCATACCCCCTTGAGAAATTCTAGTCCTAGTCGATATGCAGGATGTTTGTCACATGTAGCTCAGTGGTAGAGAATCCGGACTAGTGATCAGAGGTTCATAGGTTCGACTCCTTTATTAGGGTCCTCAGATTTTTTTCTGAGTCGCCTTTACATCTTCTCATGTAGACAAACTGACTGAGGCGCTCAAACACAAGCGGAGCTTGTGAGCAGCAGAATTAATATCAGTTTAACTCTCTTGGTTGTAGACAAACTGCAGAATTTGAAAACCAAAGTGGCAAAACACAACCGTGAAGAATTACTATTCGTTTGAATCAGCCGAACTGGTCTGAATGTCATCAAGCTGGGCTAAGACAAAGAAATGACTTTAAATGGGGCACGTTTTAAGGTGATAAAGGACACGAGTGTCAGCACGTTTGAGACGTTTTAGGAACTACAGACCTTGCAAAAAACTCTTAAATATAACTTTCACTCACCTGGTTGTTAACAAACTGCAAGAGATGATAAATAAGATAGCAAAACCAGTGTAGAGAAACATTACGCGATCTAAATCAGACAGAGAGCTACACAAATTTCTTGTCACCAGAACTGAGCGAGTGAACAAGTGATTAATGACATACGCTAGTGAGAGCTAAAGGCCAGAACTGTTTCAGCGATTTCGGATTTTTCAGCTAATTTCTTTTCACTCTTCTCCAATCAACGATAATCAATAATGTAGCTTTGCCAAAAGCTAGAGAGGAAGTAGTCATTTTATCCTCAGTTTTAGGGAAGACAAACGTGCCTTTCTCTTCAGGCTGGGTTTTGTTCTAGAACTGATGACAGAAATATAGGAAACAGTTCCATCGCCGACCGCCGAAAACATGATTTTCGTTGATCTTCCGCCGAGCTGTTCAAAGGTGGGTCAAGACGCAGCTGGAGCGTAATGTTTTGCTTGTTAAATTTTTTGACTTTGCTTAAATTTCTTAATGAAACCAACTGGACGAATATAAAAGTCCTTTTTATGGCCTTCTATATCATTACCTACTTAATAAAGTGCAGTACTGCTGGAAAAGTCTCGAGCAATGTATTTAAATTGAACGCTGCATGGGGTTTTTATATATTAGACACTGGTAGTTTCGAAAACGAAGCACTCGAAAACGAAGACCGAAGCACGAAGCACCCAAAACTCGAAAACGAAGCACCCAAATCTCGAAAACGAAGCACCCAAAACTCGAAAACGAAGCACCCTATCTCGAAAACGAAGACCCCAAAATCTCGAAAACGAAGCACCCAAATCTCGAAAACGAAGACCCCTAAATCTCGAAAACGAAAACTCGAAACTACTGTAGGTTTAATAAGTGCAACTTTACGTGTTACATGACGCAATCCGAATCAGGTGGAGGCAGCGATGCGTCCGCACCTTCGAAGGTCCACAAAATCCATCCCAAGGTTTTATAACCAACTGTTTCACTGAACGTTTCTAGATAGGATATCCTGTATTAATTTTAATATTAGTCTCGCTATACTTGATACATCTTACCTTAATATGCATTTTTTCGGTACACATACATGATTATGTAGACTTCAAAACTGTCCGTCAGCAGATTTTCGCGTATTCAAGTACGCGTGAGCAGTAACACAAAAGGTCTGAAACGAGGCTGAAAACGGAGTGTGAGGCTCGCGCGTATTACTCTTACGCCACGCTTTACCGACTTCTTTATTGATTTTGAGAAAAAAAAACCGATTGTTTTGCAGTCTAACATATTGGATATCTATGACACTGCGTGATCAGATCAGATCAGATCCAGGCAGAATTTGTTCTAGGATAACAGCCTGGGACCAGGCTCTGTGGTGGAGAACAGGAGAATTCGTTATCGTGCTTGATTCCTGCTGTATTAGCATTGGTCTCGTGTTTATAAAGGACAGACCGGTTTCGAGTTTTTGGGTGCTTCGTTTTCGAGATTTAGGGGTCTTCGTTTTTGAGATTTGGGGTCTTCGTTTTCGAGATTTGGGTGCTTCGTGCTTCGGTCTTCGTTTTCGAGTGCTTCGTTTTCGAAACTACCTAGACACTCGCTGAAAGTGCTAAATACTTAAAGTGCGACTCAAAGGAGAGACGGTGAGCTCCCTTCCCTTTTCCCTTTCTACCCTCCCCTCCCCTCCCCCTTCCCTTGTTGCGCCTGCCACGCAGGCTACTTACTTGTTGCACTGCCGGCTCAACCTCGTTCCCAGTCGTCCTCGGTGATTTCGTATGTGACGTCACCGTCAAGCTTGTCACGTTCGGTTCTAAGCCTCTTCTGGTAACTCGGATAGCGCGAACAGGCCTGGGTACGAGGCTGCTGCCGGTTGATATGAAAGATGAGTATCTAATTCCTGGGTCAGGTCTTGAAAGTGTCGCGAAAATCGAATATTTCTGATCTGAAATTGAGTAGGAATTTTTAAAAGGACACTACTAGAAGCATATAACTTCTGACACTACTGACATAATCCGCTAGTTTCGCATCATTCCCGCTGACAGGATTCGCATTGAACACAACCACACAACGCTGTAACCTCAGCCAATTATCGGCAAACGAGAGACATCTGGGTGGACAAAATTTAGCCTGCGTTTCAGTCTGCCCACGTACTTGTCTAAACCACTTTTACATTTAGAGCGTCTGCGACGCAGGCAAACAAAGATGGATCTTGGCCTCTAAAAATGATCTAAAAAACAAAATATCCTAGAGGACGTGATATGTTATTGGGCACAAAAAATCATGCGTGAGTGACAGCAATAAATTAAAATCGCACCTTTATTTTTTTGGGGAATTGTGGGTTTAAACAGTGAGAACATGATTATACAAAATAGTTTTTGGGACCAATAGAAAGGAGCTGCAAGGTCACTTTGCGCTCAGTAGGCAGGGTTCCTTTTCGATTTTTAGCTTTAAAAGAAACCTTAATAAGAAAACTGTGAGGTAAAGTACATGTAATGACACCTGAACCTAAGATTTAATTGTTTAGAAGAATCATCTTTAAAGCAATTTAACCCGGATATTAGAAAGCGGCTGAGCTTTTCTTCAACTTGTATTGCTCACATTTAAGTTTTGATTTCATTCTTTAATTGTTTGTAGGTCTCCTGTAATATTAATAATAGGCCAAAGTTACATCTCGTTTACCTAACAATCTAATGGCTTTGTGACGCTTGTCATTAATGTGACACATAGACTAGACAATGTTTTTACGCAGCGGCAAATAATAATTACAAACAATATATAAACAGGCTAGGTCGGTAAACCTTTGGTCAAAACAAGTTTGGTATTGAAGACAAAATTCTATTTTATGTCCACTGAAGAACAGAGAAGCCACAATATTATCGCCTCATCATCATGTCACTTCTGGCTTTGGTTTTGGGCCTTCTTTCATTGCTAATAGTAGTGCCAGCTCAAGCCGAAATAGGTAAGTTGAATACTTATTAACCGTGCAGGCGACTTTTCTATATCGTGGCAACTGATCAGCTGACTGACGAGGTTGCTAGGGTTGTTATGTCTCTCTTCAACTCGTCTGAGGTAGCTTTCTTGAGTATGTACACATTCCCACTAACAGATGAGTACCTCTATTAAGCTTCGATTTTATCAGCCATACGTCAGGTTTTCATTCACAGCTTCAAAAGTAATACGTTACAAAACAAACTAGCAAGAGTTGGAAGTATTTAAGCATCGTAAAAAAAGAATTATTCAATGTGCCTGGAAAGAAATAATTAACGTTAGACACCCATACATCTAGATACTTATGCCAGTCCGCAGTATTCAACGATATTATAAGGATTAATTTGGAGATCAGAAAAACACGGATAACGATCAAAGATACCATGGTCTTTAGTCATAGAAAAAAAGATCTCATCAAAAAATGCAACAATACATCACCTTTAATTTCATTATCGAATTAAAAGAAAAATTGACATACAGAGACCCCATGTTGTGTTATTCACAACAATGACCGTGATTTGGCCGGTAGATTGGAATACTAATTGCTTGTCGCAATTGGGAAATTATGCTCTTAAAATATCGGTAGTCGGTAAAGAAAAACTTGACTATTCCCAATTTAACAGATGAACTTTTTATTAGCTTTGCCATGATCGATAACTAAGTGAGGGAATTGCCTTCAGTTTCAGAGCTCCATTCTTTGGTATCCTAGCAACGGACTACCTTTAAAGTATTTTTCTTCGAGAAAGCCCCGGAATTGAGCAATTATGAATCCTAACCGCGGATGTTATTCAAGGTTAAAAAAATTGCAATTAAGAAAATTCAGGGACTACTCTACCATAAGAGCATACTAACTGAGTATGAAGACTTGATCGGAAGTTAAAAAGTGATTACATTTTGAATTTACTATAAGCGCATGCTAACTTTACTCAGACTCGGACGCTACTAAAAAAAATGTATTTTTTATTATGCTTCTCAGTTTGTCAGGACTTGCAGGACGAGATTCTATGTAGTGAGGCAAAGAAGGCAGGAAACTGTGAACAAATGCCTTGGAACGGAAAATGTCGCAAGACTTGTGGACGCTGTGGTACGTTTATAAACACTTTGCAGGGCCTGAAAGAAGAGTGGGGTGGGGTGGGGAGGTCCTGATCCCGTATTCGCGCTCCCTTCTATGACAATCCCTCGTCCGGAACTTCTGAAATGTCTATCCCGAATACCGTTTTCTTTCCCAATAACGTATCCTGTGCCAATATTTGCTGGCGAATCGCGCTTCCCTAGGAAGCGGTCAAATACCGTATTCCATCAAAAACAGTTTTGGGTTTTCCCGAATCCCGCAAAATATTTAGGTTTAAAATCCAGCCCGGATCCTGAGAATACCCTTTCAGAATCAGTACATTGTTTGTCTTGAAGGAAGGTCCAGTTTTTCGCCATCGAAGAGCCAAATCTCGTATCTAGACCTCTTGTCTACGAAGCTGATGGCACCTTTGGCTTCTTCAACAAGAGATCTAGGTATGATATTATGTAGAGCCTTCTCAATCATCTTTTTATATCTTACAAGATTTGTCGAATTTTCTGTGGAATTGATTCCTTTTGCTTTCTATACTAAACTCCGGCAGATGAATGTTACGATGCGGAGAATCTGGTCACGTGTGAGGATGAAATGGAAAAGGGGAACTGTGGAGATGAAGAAGTTGCTCATATTTGTAGTAAAACTTGCAATGTACTTGCCTGTAACCAGCAGGTAAGAAGAAGCTTGCTTCTTATTCAACGCCCCCACACTCTTAACTTAATGCTATTGTATGTTTGGTCACGTGACTCAAAAAAGTATAAGTCAAGGAACAAGAAGACCCCAAGGTATTCGTCCAAGGAAAATTATATAAATTTCCTTTCACGAATTTGCAAAATTATTTTGCAATCGTTCTATTTCCGACCACACTTTTAACCCAGACTCGGGTTAATAAACGTGGGTTAGCCCTCAGGGCATTTACACAATGTAGGTGCTTCGTAGTTTAAGAATTAAGCTACATTTACTTTTTTCACATTTAATTTATGACTTCTTCCTTCAACAGGAAACCCAACTGGCAGATGCAGCATTGAGATGAATGGACTAACTTTGTCAAATATGAGTATAACTCAGCCGACTAAATCCTTCCAATCTACGATTTGTGGAACTCTTTGTCAGCAATAAACAAGGGTTCTTTGGGAAAAATCTGTGTGGTATTTGAATGATCAACCTCAATTATAAAAATTGATATTGCACAAACGTTTAGCCTAATAATGCAGGCTTTTGCTGTGGCTAAAAATGTGAGTGATATGCTGATATGAATGGGTAATTAGTCTTTTTTTTCTTACTAATGATAATACTTTTCATTATCACTTGGAAATTTTCAAAGAAGTGTGGTGTTGTGTGAGTAATAGATTGAATAAATTAGTGACGTGGGTTCGATTATCAGGCAAAATGCTGGAACAATGAGGGAGAACGTACAATACCAGGAAGAACAATGAAGTATATATTTCCAAAATATAAGGCAAATATATCCCGTTGTCTTCCCCAATTTGGTTTGACATTATAATAGGCATGTTGGCTAAAATATATGAAGGGAGAATTAGGTGAAAATAGCCACATTAAAAGGCTTAATTATCGCCGCAATTCGCAATGGTTTTGTGAAATTGTCCCGTCTTCTTTTCATTTCAGAAGATTTTTGAGTAACATCAACAAATTCAGATCAACTGCCATGCTCTTATGTGATTCCAGTGATTAAGACAACTTAACACGGAAGTAGACTCGCGGCGTAACGAAGATTTTCTCCAAAGCGCGGCTTTGGACAAAATACAACAATATTTTTTTAGCCAGTCTCCAGTTTTTACGAGAACTTACAAATCACATACAGCAAACAAAAATCCTGTCGCTTCAGCTTCCCTAAAGCTTTCCCATGTTAGCATGATGCAAATTTTCCCAATCAGAAAGTTCAAGCAAACGTCTCAGGAAAGTCGAACGGTTTTAGAGAATTATTCACTTTTTATTTACAAAAAAACCGCACTCAGTGCTCGTTGCAGCAAACTTTATAAAATGAGAACACTTGCTGTCAAATACCAGTAGAGCGCATAGAGAATTTAAGCGTCGAGGGCGGCGTGTCCAAGATAAAGGAGGCACGAAAGAAGAGTTTTCTTTTGTGTTTGTCAGGCGACTTTTCCTTTGCTTTGTGCAGCTTTCTTGGCTTTCACCATCTCAACTAACTCCTACGAATAAATGAGCAAAAAGAATGAATAACGTGCGCAAAAACGCAAGATGCATAAAAGGCAAGTTCGTTTACCTATTTCTGGTCCAACTTCAAATGCAAATAACTTCAGTAATCCAAAATTGAAGTAAATTGCTTTCAAAATAAATCGGAAACCTCACGAAAGCCTTGACTAACCTTGTATCTTTTCATGCACTCTTTTTTCGTTCGTCCCGGTACAGATTCAGCGATCCGCTCCCATCTCTCCGCTGTATTGGTAGGATATGAGCGTAAAGCGTTCTCTAGAAGCTAAATGTGGAAAAAGAAAGAGAAAAAGTTAGACTGAGGAGAATTATGTGTCACTCATCTAAACTCAAATTGATACAGTCATTTCTTACCCTTTGTTCTTCTGAAGTCCAAGGTTTATCAGTTGTCTGTTGGGTACCTTCCGCAGCGTTGTTTCCTAACGAAGACAAAAGACAATTTTTAAAGACGATAAAATTTCAAACTAGATTCAGGCAAAAACTTACTCTTCACATCCACGATTAATTTGAAGTTTTTAGACCGCTCCCTTACACATCCCTTCTCAAATAGACGATGTATTTAGTCGGGAAAGGGTGGGTGGGGAAAGCCAGGAGGCAACATACGCAACCTACATATACGAGCCAAGGTTCACATAATCATATCCACTGTCTTCGCCTCGTTTTGAGCGCAATAGACTTGAAAAGAGTTGAGACAGTCCATGAAAAATTAACGTTGAGCTTTAACTTTGAATGATAAAACGATCGTTTGATTCCCAAGTACAGGATACTTTCATGACCGGATCATTATAAGTTTCTGGGAAACTACCCACCTACCCCTTCCCTAAGCCAACATTAACACTTACTTCTCACTTAGGGCAAAATGTTCGCTTAGGGGAGGGGTAGGTGGGCAGTTTCCCAGAAATCTACAATGATCCTCGTGACCTTACCATTATATCTAACAGTTGGATCAGATTCTGCCGCGGCTGTTGCTGTTCTGCTCCCGCTGTGATCTTTATCGAACTTTGCAAAAGCTTTTCGGTTAACCTCCTGTTTTTGAGACGGATCTGTTGATAATAAAATTTCGTCATTAGAAATCTGATCAGATCCCAAAGTTGACCTAAATGTTATGAGTTGCAAATTGTACAAAATGATCTGTCAATCAACTCCAAGGGACCATGGCTTACTTTGACCATCAAAGAAAAAACACATACTGATTTACGTATAAACGATAATCTCTTACACCTGACTTTTATAACTGAAAAGTTGGTCGTTTCTGCAGTGTTTTAAGCGCACGCACTTATGTAGATGCCCGCTGGTCCTTGCTACCGCCTACCTGATCGTATTCGTTCGTTTGTTTGTTCGGATTACTTTTGCCCTTAGCACAAGTTGCCTGTTTACTGTTGCGCGGCACACAGATGCATGCATCTGACCAACCTCGTTCCCAGGGTTCTCTCTTACCCGTCACTCCGTAAGGACGAGTAGGAGAGAAGCCTGGCTGGAACCAAGTTGAAACCTGACAGCTTACATGGAAACAGAATAAAACATGCATGGCGCAAACCTAGTTTCTTCAAGTTCTTGACTTTTTTTATAACGTGCTTCGAGTCTCGTTCGGTGCCAGTCTTTGAATGCATATTGACGTAATCAGCAATCACCTTCCATCTAAAAACAAAACCAAAATATGTACCATTAACCCTTAAACTTCCAGCATCAGTCATGAAGACATGAATAAACGCAGTTCCAACTTTTTGAGTCTGTGGATGAAATTTTATGGTGTTCGCGAGTAAAACCTCAGCAGCAGTATTATACATGGTGCTATTTATTTAGTATGTAGTTCTAACTCTTGCGTCTGTGGATGAGATCCTATGGTGTGAGAAATTTAAATAAAATCTTTTCAGCAGTACTTTCACATGGTGCTATTTATTTAGTATGCAGCTCTAACTTTTGAGTCTGTGGATGAAATCCTATTGTGCTACCATTTAATTGAAAACTCTTCCGCAGTACTTTCACATGGTACTATTTCTTTAGTATGTAGTTCTCACTTTTGAGTCTGGATGAAATCCTATGGTGTTACCATTCAAATGAAACCTCTTCAGTGGTACTTCCACATGGTACTATTTATTTAGTATGTAGTTCTCACTTTTGCGTCTGTGGATGAAATCCTATGGTGTTACCATTCAAATGAAACCTCTTCAGTAGTACTTCCACATGGTACTATTTATTTAGTATGTAGTTCTCACTTTTGCGTCTGTGGATGAAATCCTATGGTGTTACCATTCAAATGAAACCTCTTCAGTGGTACTTCCACATGGTACTATTTATTTAGTATGTAGTTCTCACTTTTGCGTCTGTGGATGAAATCCTATGGTGTTACCATTCAAATGAAACCTCTTCAGTAATACATGCACAAGACCAACATTTCTCCGTGGTCCTCCTCCGGGTCACACTGATACCTTGCTCCTCAGTTATTTCAAGATCCGGGAAGGAGCGAAAACTGAGCCCCACAAATACGTTCCGGAACGCTGAGAAATTATATCACGTCGAGGTTTACCTGGAAGCAGTACCAGCAGGAAAGAGGTTAACAGCTTTAATAAGAAGCTGCGTTTGCTCTTCAGTCCAGTCATCAGTCATTTCTTCTCCTTCTTCTTTATTCTTTGTTGTTTGTTTCGTCGCAGCTATGGCTTCTTGTCTCATTCTCTCTCTCATCTGTTCCATCTAAAAAGCAATTATTATTCATTCCAAATATATCCGATTCTGATTGGCTAAAAGCACACGCATAATTCACCATAACCAGTTGCTGATGACCAAATTTGGAAGAATTTTGTGTTTAACAAGGAAATGACGTCAAAAATGCAGCGTTAATGCAGCGTTAGCCGAGAAGACCTGGGCACGAGGTTGAGTTGTTTTGGTTGAGGAAACAAAAAATGGCGGACATTTCACTTGTTTCAAGAGTAAGAACTAGGCAAAATAATCGCTAAAAACATGGCAAGAACAGCAAGAAGACAACTCGAAGGGTAACATCTGCTATTTCGAGAATATTTGCGGAGCTGAACAACCCTAAACGTGTGCTATCGAAGATGAACTTAACATCGATGGAGGTAAGCACGTTTTAGCTATGTTTTTAAACTAGAATTATTTTGAATGAATAACAAAACAATTAATGAATTCGGCTTTCGTATCATATGAAGAATTATGAAGATCTCGGAGGGTGTTATCCGTCGAGGCCGTACACCCTCTTCGATCTCCATAATTCTTCATAAGATACTCAGCCTCATTCATTAATTATTCAATATACGGAAGCGAAGGCGTTGGGTAAGTCAGAAATAATCTACTGTTCAAAACATACATTCAAATTGGTTAGAATTTACGATACAAAACCTGTTGAAAACAAGTTATGGCAGCGTTGTTCCCTACCTCTTTTTCGTAAATTACTTTAACTTCCTCTTTCGATCCAGCCGTTTCAAGACCTTCTCTGAACGTCTGTAAACTGGACCATACAAAGAAAATACTCATTACGCTATATAATACTTGTACCTTAACACATATATCCCCACAATCAACACTGAAATTCTCCCTTGTCTGGATACTCCAGAAACTCCACGTGGCCAACAGCGTAATTTTGAAACTTACGACTTACTTACAGAAAAAAAGAGGTTCTTACTTTTCAAGAGAAATTACTTCGAGCAGCCGGTCCATCACCTCCATTTCACGAATTCTTGCCTCTTCGTCTTCGACAAAATAATCATAATTCTGTCAAAAGAAAGTTAAAAATAAGCAGTTTAGCTCCACCCAATCTGGCTTAAATGACTCTAAATGGCCGTTTTTGGCCTTTGAAATGGCCTAATACTGTATGCAGAATGCTGTAAATGCCGCATATTTCATTGGAACAACTGCCCCTATGTACAAAATCAATCCGAGCCTTTCAGTTTTTCACACTATTCCTGACTGATTTGTCTTGACTAAAGGTCTTTTCCTGAAGAATGTAACTACTCCATCTGTTTCTAGGGTACTGGACAATCAAGCGCAACTAGTACACGTAACAAAGGGAATGCAAGTAACACACCTTTATTACTGTCCGTATGGTTTTTCGTTCTTTTTTCATTATGTTCTTCATCTTTGTTTTTTCTACTTTGGCTGCTTGCGCCTATAAAACAATTTAAAAACATAACAATTGTGATCCCTAATAAAGTTCCTTTAAAAATCTAAACATGAGCGGACGTTTGGATATCGTTTCTAGCCTGCTTTATCTAAACAACAAGATGACATGCAACAAGTCGAAAAGTAGCAATCAACATCACAAGTAACTACATTGATACAAAAGCGACGATATTACTTAATCACTTGGTTTTTATTTTTTCCATTTCCAATTGAAAACCGAGCGGAGATGCCGCAATAATGTCCGTCTCAAATATTTAATTTCCTCCTGGATATTTTCAAATCAGCTATGGCATAGACAAACATCATCGAAGCTTTGGTGTGAACGGAACTTCTGTTCTGGAAAGAGAAGTTTACACTCGCTTAAAGTACGTAGAAATAACGGTACAAACCGTTTAAACTAAGTCGAGGTTCAGGCAACGGTTTTAATCGCCCATGTGTTGAAAGATAAGATTAAAATCGGTTTGGTGTCTTCTTCACCTTTTCTCTTGCTTCTTGTTCTTCTTTTTCTTTAAGTTTTCGTTCATTTTCAAGAGCTTCAAGTCTTTGCTAGGAGTGAAAGAGTAATAGCGTAGCCGTTAAATTATATCGAGCAGCCCGCGAGAAAGTTCGCTTGTCTTGAGCGCGCGCAAGAGGGGCGCCCTGCTGACATCTCCCGCCGCTAGCCACCAGCAAAGCTAGTCAGGAGATGCAGCGATTACAATACAATATGAATGGGACTTGGTGCAGATAAATGTCAATGAAAGGAGGTCACTTGTGCCGGATTATCTCTGTCTAAGGCATACTTAAAGGCGCCTCTCTCGTGCCTCTGCAAAAATATGTGTTTTTTGGTGTCGAGGAAACCATTGTTGCTTCGCTTTTGTGTTGTGGTGTGGGTATTGTTAGTGTACAGTAGAACCCCGGTAACTCGAACTCTGAAGGGAAACGAAAAACAGTTCGAGTTAGCGGGGAATTCGAGTTATCAGGGTAACTTTCAGTGAAATTTTGATCAAGGCTAAGGAAATTGCGGGGAATTAGAGTTATATGAGTTCGAGTTATCGAGGTTCTACTGTATTTTCAATCTTTCGTATTACGTCATTAGGTGATTGCACCCATCTGCAACACCAAGAAACTACCGCAAAGGTGCTTCAGAAGAAAGCTCAACGCATGTGGCTATAGGCAAGGTCACAAGGTACGAAATGCTCTAATTTCCTCAATTGAACAGTCTTATTTTGAAAATATTTCGGAATCCGATGTAACGGGGATCCCTAGTAAAATTAACCGAACTAAATGAGCCTTCAATTCTCTCATAGAGAGCAAATGAATAAAAGCTGGACACTCAGATAGTGTGTCAATACTCACTCGTTCTTTTTCTTCTGCAGCTGCCCGCGCTGCATCTTCTTTAGCTTTCTTTTCCGCAAGTTTTCTTTCCTTCTCGTCTTCTTTGAACTTTTTTATTCTTGAATCGCAAGTATAAGCATTGTCTACAACCAACGGTATGTACATAAAAAATCAGTAACGACGTAAAAACTACGTCTGAGATAGCCTACGAGCAAGCTCTAAATTTGGGGGAGTCGTCGCCAGAAGTCACGCGAGAGCCGAAAGCGAAAGAAGACGCGAGTGGGATCGTTTTCCTCCGCGCCTCGCGCCTTCGCCTTCCTGCCACGCAGGCTATCACCACTCGCTTGCGCGTTCCTTCGCTGCTCGCGTCGCTCGCCATAAATTGAAGGGCTTGCTTGCAAGCCATGACTGAGAGAAACATACCAACTAAATTCCTAATGCGAGTAACTTCTTCTTTTTTCTTCTTTTGTCGCATGACTTTGTTTTGTTTTTCAATCCATCTCCTTTCCTCACGGCTGTGATAAAGTAACAAAAAAAAGGTTAAGAGGTGCAAGTTTAAGATCAAAAATCAAAAAAATAATCGTGAGTATACTTACTTTTCGCCTTTTTCTTTTTCCTCTTCGTCAAGATAAGAAAATTCTCTCCAAGAATCGAAATTATACCTACAACAATATAACAGAGAAGCGTTACAATGTGACAAGAAATACTGCGGGATCTGGTTTTTGTGAATTTCGCGAATTTTCCAAAGATTCCCAAGAATAAACTTCCCCGAGAAAGAAACAGCGAAAATTCACCCCCTTCTTAAACGAACTTTTCTTTACAATTGCAATACAAAAAACTTTGCGGTCCAAAAGTAAATGTGATACCAAATTGTACTGTACAAAGAAAGTCTGTCGAGAAGAAACAATTACACTGGATATCAGCAAAAATCATGTATTAAAAGTGCACACAAGAAAAGAAGCTTACCAAAAAGTGTAAAAATTATCAACTTCTTCAAAAGTAGAATTATTATCTCCTAATGATGGCACTGGTTGAAGATTCGACCACCTACAGTAAAACAAAATTTCACAGACTGCAATTTATAGAATCTAAGAGGGAATCTTAGAATTCATCTGTGGGCAACAGTAAGCTCAACTTGAGCTCTAAAAATAACGACAGAGTTGTTAGATAAAAAAACTTCAGTAATATATAGATTCAGCCAGAGCTAAAAGCGAAGCTCTGGTCAATAATAAGTGTAAACAAACAAAATTAAATCGTGTAATGCTAAACGGGGACGACAATGAAAATGGCTTCAAGTCTAATAGATCTAATTAGCAAAAAAATAAATTGCACACGTGCAGCACACTTTTTCTTCTAATTAGCAAAAAACAAATTTGCAAGCACGTGCTGCACGCTTTTTTGTCTTTCGTTGTTTTGCACGACTACAACGCTGTTTTGTACGACTAAAACGTCAAACGTCCTAGTTACAAATTATTTTTATGGAGGAATTGTCGTATGTGCTTACCCAATATTTTGTTTCCTGTGTTCATGTTCGCTTTCATTTTTCACTGCCGCTCATTTTCATCTTGCTAGCTGCTCCTTGCAGGTCGCTAGCATTTCTCATTTTCTCACCGCCGATTTGAATTTCCATGTTTTTCTTCCCACGAAATTCGTCTCCTTTGTTTTCAATAACTCTCTCTAGCTCTTTCTCTGTTATCCACGTTAGTGTAAACTTAAAAAATAACGCCGAAAAAGACACGACTTTGTTGTTGCTTTTTCTTTCTAAAAGTCCGGGCGGCTGTGTTATTTCCTTCTAAATAAAACCTTGAGTTGCATTCGGGTTGCCATACCTGTTGATCGAGTTATTTTTAATTGGTATGCCTGTGGTGTGGTCGATATATCTGAAAGGCCGACCAGCTTATAAATAGAGATAAATAGAGATTCCCCCTCCCTTCCCCACAGACATTTTACTCAGATTGCACAATATCTGCACGGCATTTACGATCTATGATTGGCATTAATGATTTATAATCTATGATACAGGGTGATCTTACCTTGAATTTCTATCAAAGACTGGACCAAATACTTCAATAAAATTACTCTTGGAGTTGGAGTTAACTGAAGGAACTGAATCATCAAAGTAAGGATCAACACTGTCGTATGCTCTTCTCTTAGATTTGTTGCTTAAAATATCATTTGCAATGGTTATACATGCAAAGAGGCTCTGTTCAGAAATCTTTGAATCACTGGCATCTGGATTTGATGTCTTCTTGTCTGGGTGATGTTTCAGGACTTTCTTTTTAACTAAAAAAGTAACATAATTTACAGGATTTTATATCACTGTTAGAGAAAGGAAAGCCTAACTCAAGACTTTGTTCAAAGCAGCAAGGTCCGAGAAATCAAATATTTCACTGCCATGAAGATAAATAAAATCGAAGATATGAACATCATAGCTGCAAGCGTTATTTCAGCAATATTGAAAATTAACCCCCTCCCCCTCAAAAAGGAAAAATTCAGAACTTCAACAGGATTTGAACCCATGGTTTCTGATTTAGTGCTGCAGTGATCTACCAACTGAGCTATGGGAGGAGGCCAATTTGCTAATAGAGTTTAACTTAACTTGAAAAAGGAATGAAGGTGCATAGAAAAAAGCTGATGTGAACTTTGGGAACAAAACTTCTAATGACAAAAAAAAATTCAATGTTCTATTCAACTGAAAAATTTCTTTCTTACACCACCACATCCTGAGTGTAATCGCACAGTTAAAATTCATCCATTCATGCATTTGTGTAACCACACAAGGCTCCTTGGGAAAGAATCTTGCATGACCACATGTGTGTGAGACATTAAAAATTTGATTAAAACTGCTGCAGCCTAATATGACAAACTTACATGCTTTCTTGATGTCTCCTAATGTGGCTTTGTGTCTAAGTTTCTCAAGTCCAAGGACCTTGTAATGATCTTGTTGCTGCAAATGAATGTCATAAACACTCACCTTCACCTATCCTCTTTGTGCCTTGTGGCACATAAGGCCTCATAAACATGTCATAAACATGTTAACACAAAATCTCAGTACAAAAAAAAAACACAATCATCACCTAACCATGAAAATGCAAATTTTAATTGTTAGAAATTTATTGTTAAAATATGTGTCGTGGTTCAGTGTTTGCAGTTAGAAAATAGCACAACATTGTTTGACAACCGATATTCATTTTAAACAGTATGACAAAACCTTGCCAGATTTTTAACACCGCAAAAATTGAAAAGTTTCTTAAAAACGCGGAAAGAGCAAAAACCAAATTTCCTCCTTTTACACAAAATGAATGTATTATTGTAACAAACAGAAAAAAGTATCTTTAAGTTATACATAACAGCTCTGTGACAGTCTTGTTTGTTAACGTAATGTACCAATCAATTCCAAAACCACCCATGCCCCCTCCGTCGTTCCCCCTGGGGATTTGAATTGTTTGAAAAATTTTGGTGAAATTGCCCAGTGTGTTGGCAGTTTAGATGGTCAAATGCCCAATGGCTAGTACTTCAACAAACATCAAATCCCCCACCCACCAGCAAATGCTCCAAAATTTCCAAATTGCATAAATTCGTTTATTCAAATTTAAACATTGTTATACAAATCCGAAATATCGCGCAGTCTCAAAAAGCTGTCTTATGGAGGTTTGTTCATTTACAATAAAATTTGTCATTCCAGAAAGCCCACATTTACGGGCTTTTTCAAAGGTTCTCAAAGCTCCAACAAACCAGCGAATATAGGAGTAAAGAGCTGTAAACACCATGCTCATACTGAATGCAGTAAGAATTACAAAATCCTTTCACTTGCGACGCTGACCAGCATTTTGACATGAAAGGGGTCAAATGACCGTCTGGGCAGGCCTCATTTTGGGTCAAATTCCCCACTGTATGGGCAAAACTGTGGTCAAATGGCTGGGGTGTGCACGGGGAGAGGGGGAGGATGGGCGGTTTTGGAATTGACCGCTACATAATAATAGTTATACAGAATACATAAACTCTACCTTCCATTCTGAAGGATCAAGAGTAAGTAGAAAGTTAGGATCCTCTTCATCAGATGAGAGATTTACTTCAGAACTTGCACTTGAACTTGAACTGGAACTTGAGTGATGAGATGAAAGACCATGCTGACGTCGCTGAAGGTTTGCTTCAAACCATCTACCAACTGGCTCTATTCTAAGGGAGGATGGTGCTAAAACAATCACACAGAATGCACCAGAGTTATTACAAATAAAGTCATAAGTGTATGTAAGTAATCAACAGATTTTTCAACACTCCAAAACAGAAGGAGACTATCTCCCAAAGGGAGTTCAGGGGACCTATGGTGACCCAACAAAAATAACAGTAAAAACAAATTCATTAGCATTCCCAGGTATACATAGAAATACTTTCCGTAATTTGAGTGGATATGAATTAGCCGAAGGTCCCAGGTAGGGAAACACATACCCATTAGTGATATGTGTTCCCCCACCTAGGAAACACATATCCCTAGTGATATGTGTTCCCCCACCTGGGAAACACATATCCCTAGTGATATGTGTTCCCCCACCTGGGAAACACATATCCCTAGTGATATGTGTTCCCCTACCTGGGAAACACATATCCCCAGTGATATGTTTTCCCCCACCTGGGAAACACATATCCCTAGTGATATGTGTTCCCCCACCTGGAAAACACATATTCCTAGTAATATGTGTTCCCTCAGCTGGGAAACACATATCCCTAGTAATATGTGTTCCCCCACCTGGGAAACACATACCCATTAGTGATATGGGTTCCCCCACCTAGGAAACACATATCCCTAGTGATATGTGTTCCCCCACCTGGGAAACACATATCCCTAGTGATATGTGTTCCCCTACCTGGGAAACACATATCCCTAGTGATATGTGTTCCCCTACCTGGGAAACACATACCCCTAGTGATGTGTGTTCCCCCACCTGGGAAACATGTATTCCTAGTGATATGTGTTCCCTTATGTGGGAAACACATATCCCTAGTGATTTCCCTACGTGGGAAGCACATACCCTTAGTGATATGTGTTCCCCCACCTGGGAAACACATATCCATAGTGTTATGTATTCCTCTTTTCGGGAAACAGATATCGCTAGTGTTATTTTTTCCCCAACCTGGAAAACACATATTCCTGGTTTTATGTGTTCCCCTATCTGTGAAACACATATCCATAGTTATATGTGTTGTCCTAACTACAGAAGTTAAAAAGAGTAGGTGAGAACATGCAACCTTTCCTTTACAAGTAAAGGATTGGCGAAATTTCTTCTCAATGTTAACTGCTGATGTGTCATTTGAGTAGATTGATATTAAAACATCCAGGAAATGTCCCTGGACACCTTCTTTTCTCAGTTTGTCGAATAGTTTCTGTTGCGGTATACAGTCAAAGGCGTTTCTAAAGTCGACGAAGCATGAAAAGAGTAAATTTCAGTGCTTTTGTGACTTAGACTTCACGTACTTGTCAATAAGCGCTTTTAATGTGAAGATGCTATCAACTGCGTGGTGCATTTTTCGTTGCATGCTTCCACCAAAGTTTCCCTTAGTAATTTAGACGCAGTATCGATGCTATCATGTTTGACAGCTGCCACTAACCTGGATTGAACTGTTTATATCAACAGCAGAGATGCCAACCTCTGGAGACCTAAAATCGGGAGACTGTCTTTTTTTCACTATCCCTCCCGGAATTTCAACGACCCCGCCCCTGAAAAATTGACCCAGCCCCTCATAAGAATGACTTAGGACATTATATGATGTCTTACATGATGTACATACTATTAAAATTCGAAATCATCGTTTTGATGCTAGAAATAATCTTTGTCAATGACTAAATACGAGCAAAAATGCCCCAGAAACTGTACTGCGAATAAGAAAAATTCAAGTTTTGAGCTAAAAATGGGCTAAATCTCAAACTACGTCTGTTTTATCTTTTACTAGGTATTCAATATTTATAGTGGACATAAAAAGCGGGAGATTTATGTACCAAAGCGGGAGAGCGGGAGACGCGGCAAAAAAGCGTAAGTCTCCCGGCAAAAGCGGGAGAGTTGGCATCACTGCAATAGTGATATGTCTTTGCCTAGCGGCCTCGCCGGGAAACACATACCGGCTACTTTCTCTTATTCTCCTGCTAGTTAAAATCTCTTTGACAACCCTGTATTAAGTTAAGGCGTCTGTTAGCCTTTCTTATTCTTTCTTCTCTACAGTTGTTGGTTCAACTGGTTCTGCTGCTAATTTGCAAATCAATCTAGTATTTTTTTAATGCAGCTTCAGAGTAAGGACCAGAGATTCATTATAGTCAATTAATCTAGGGATAAGAGGTTTCAAAGTTGCCATTTCCTGTTAATATTAACTTGATTATACTACTACATTGGAAATTTCTGCAATTTGATTGGCTTAGAGCAGTGTTATTTCAACTTAATTTGAAATACCTACATGTGAAAATTACAAACCTTTTGCAGGTAGTAGTATAAACAAATAATAGCATGATTTGTACATAATATTTGGCATAAATACCACTCGTGATATTTCAAAATTGTCTCAAATTTCACTCGCCTGACGGCTCGTGAAATTACGTGTAACAATTTTGAAATATCACTTGTGGTATTTATGCCAAATATCACTACAAATCATGCTATTACCTATACAAATGGAACATAATAAGCGTTTAATAGGCTGCATGAGTCCCAAAAAGTGACTACCATTATTGAGTAAAAAGAGTGGATCGAAATGCTTACCTGATAATCTAGAAATTACTACTGATTTTTCATCACATTTTGCGGGACGAAGGGCCATGTTTCGTAAACTTTACTTTACCAAAATTTCAGCAACTAGTCCGCCATGTTCCCATCGTACGAGCACGCGATATCAGCGGCTTGTAGCATGGCGTATGCGCCCACGTGGAATTCCCAGTGGCGCGGTTTCACAAAATTACTTTCGTTTCCGTTTGGGTAGAAACAAAGTATCGATGAACCTTTTGGTAGATTTTTGAAATGTCATCTTTCTCAAGCAATCCACATCTGCTGACAAAAGAAAAATTAAAAAGTGCTCTAAAAGCCAATGGAATCCCACTACCGAAAACCGAGCAGAAAAAAGCTTTCTACGTCGAGCTGTATTTGCAGAGATTGACCTCTCAAAATGATGACGAATATTCCTCGGACGAGTCTGAAGGAACATCGGAATCTTCCCCGATCGGAGCCCATAAGGTACGTAATATAAACAAAATCCATTGATTAATTCTGCAGCAATATTAAATATTTAAGCCCTTAAGTTGACTTGTGTATTTCTGGGTCTGTATTCTTGTATTGTACCTGTGCTGCGCGAGGCGTCTGTGGTTTTGGCGGTTTGTAAACTCGCAATTTGAAAGTTGCTGTGATTTGTTGTCATGAACATTTTTAGCAGGTGCAGCTTTGTTTGTTTTTGTACGGGGATTCGTATATTCTTTGAGGATGTCCTTTCATACGAGATAATTTTTAGCGTTTCTTTGCGCTATCGATAATTCTTGCAGCTGTGTCATTTTTTGGAGTACTTTTGATCACCTTTAAATGGCTTCCGTACGGTCTATGGTGATGTTTTGAATAATATTTTATTCAGCTCCAAATGGCTCACCTTAGGGACTCAAGCTATTAGGAGATAGCATCGTTTGGTTATCATAGTATTTCTATTTAGAGCTGAAGCATTTCTTGATTTGAAAATGCCAGACCAGGTGAGTTGGAAGTTTCAGTATAAATTATATTATATACTATTTCCTCAGTTCCTTTATTATGAAATTACTATCCGTTGTCGCTAAATGGATTCTTTGAACCACTTTGCATAGCTGTGAATGTAAATATTAATTACCGTGCATGACACAATTTTTTTAAATTGAGAATTAAAAGTATGTATATATTTAGCTGTTTATTTATGTTATTTTTTCTCAAGTATTTGGGCGAATTTTTCAAAACCTTTATCATATCTGCCGGTTCTTTAACAAAGTTCTGTGTTAAAATTTGAAGAAAAGGTTATTATTACGTGAAGTGTATTATATCACCACTATCAGTGTGAACTAGGTTTGCTTAACTGTGAACAATGAAATTAAAGTAAACAATCCCAAACCAAATCTAAAAATTGATAGCAGAAATTTTGTTCCTCAGAAAAGGCAAAAAGGTGGTTATTGAGATATTTCAGTGACTTCTTTTGAATGTTGCATTTCCAAAATGCAGTCATAACAAGGTGATACATGACCACTAGTCGTTTTTTAAGGTGGCCCTTCTTTTGTTATTATCGTACAATTTTGGTGTTAACTCTAGTCAGCCCAGTGCTTGAGAATCAGTTTACATTGTTATATATAAACCATAAACTTGAGACTTAAAACTTGAAACATGAAAAATTGAGTTTTCCCAGTCTGAGGAGAACTGATTTCCTAAGGATGGTTGTTTTCCCAATAGAGAGGAATTATCTGTTTGAGACAGATATCCTTCTTAATAGACCTATAAATAAACATACAAAGGGGGCCAATGAAGACAATCCTATTCTCAGATTAAGATGGATTATCTTTTTGATTCAGTTTATCTGATTTATAATCTATCTGAGATGGAAAATCAGTATCTAGTGTCAAAATGACTGACAATACCATACTTTAGTGCACATTAAACTTAGAGTTTCTCTCAATTTCTCTTCCTTTTTAAATGTACATGTCTCAGTAGTTATATCCCTGTTTTTCTCTCTTATCCAAATTGTACTTATCCAAATTGTACATGTAATCTCACTTTCAGAAACTTCCTGCTAAGCCAGCAAAAAAGATAGTCTTAAACAAAAGGGTAAAAGGTGGACTTCCCTATGATGTGTCTGCTCTGTCAGATGGCGATCTTGCCAGGCAGCTTAAATCCTTTGGAGCCACAATTGGCCCAATTACAGATTCCACTCGAGTCCTTTATCAGAAGAAGCTTGGTAAGTCTGTGGCCGAGCTTTTCTTTTACATGTATGTGAAATATATTCCTTCCCCTTTTTTGTATCACAGTTGAGCCCCTGATATTGAGGCACTTGCATTAAAGATTTTGTGTGAAAAACACTGATATATCTTTGGGCTCATTTCTCAGTAGTCTTGGTAACTAAAGCAAAATATCAAATCAAACTCAAAGGAATAAAACATTGATCCTAGCTTGCAAACCAGTTCATTTTGTTTTTTTAACTGATAGTGTGATCACATTATCTGCAAAACTGTTGAACTCTTGACCTTGAATGCAAACACCCTGGCTTTCCGTTGGGGTAATTACTGGGTTTTTCGAGAAACAGACCTCCCTATCTGGGTCTAATACATGTGAGTTGAGCTGCTCTCCACTCAGTTCTAACTTTTGAGTCTGTTGATTAACTCTTTTGGCTTATACATTCAAATGAAATTCTTTGACAGAAATTTTTGGGAACACTGTGTTCTTTGTTTTTTTGGGATTTACTTTTGGTGTCCTTTCAATCCATATTCAGCCTTCTATGCCCCCCCCAAAAAAAAAAAAACATGAAATATAAAATTTTTTTTGTTTTCTATCTAAAAGAAGTGACATCTATAGGCAAAAATGATGCTCTTCTTGCTTTGAGTGTGACATTGTCTTGTCAACATTACACAAGTACACATTCCTTGTGGATGGAACCTGCAAAAATACGCTGTTGTTAGTAATATTTTATAATTTGCACTGTAATGGAATGTTATAGTCTGATCTTAGTTTGCACATGTTCTTTGAGACCCCTAGGCCTGCAGACAGGCAAGCTCACTGTCAGACAGAGTTTTTCCTTTCTTACTGCTGGATTCTTATCCTGTCTGGTGTATATTTGTCTGAGCTTGACATAATTTATGCAGTGCTACACTCTCTCTAGTGTATTGTGTAATTTTCTGTTTCTCCACTTAACACATAATAACATATACATTCTCTCAGTTATTGATATGTTCCTGAAAAAGAGAGGAGCACATCTAGGTTAACTAAATATTGTGTTCCTTAACTCATGACCCTCATACTACCTGACTGCTGACCCCTGATTTGCTCCTGTGTCCACTTGATAGAGTTATTGTATATTGCACTTCAAATTTCCTACCTACAGCAGGGTTGTCATTAAGAGCCGCGGGCCGGTGATTTTCCCCTGGCTACTAGGAGAGTAGCCCCCGGCTACTTTTATTGGAAAATAGAAGAAAAATAGAACCAAAAGAAATCCCTTGCTGTTTGATTCCCTGCCTACTTGTTGTATTTACCCAGCAACTTGAAATCTTAAAGTGACAACCCTGCGACAGTTAATTTTGAAAATCAGCTTAACCAACCGATAAGTTAGTTATCTGCTAGCAGGTTACTGACTTATCTGTAGGTTACGTTTGGCATTTTCAGATATCAAGAAAACCTCATCCAATATTTATAACGTCAGCCTGAAAAGGAATGATAAATGTCTTTCTTATTACAGGCCTCTCCCGTTTCGTGCTACCAGTTGCTCACATGGCTGTTTTCTTTTGCATGTGTTTCTCTCGTCTGTCCAAGAAAAAAGTGCCTAGTTTTAATTTTTCTCCTTGCAGCTAAGTTGCTGACCGAGGAACTGGAAGCTCCTGCCAGTAAATATTCCCCCAAACAGAAGAAGACCTCGCCACCAAAACCCCAGAGGAGAATGGAACATGCAGATTTCTCTGATGGGTATGATGCTGATGATGCCTCAACAGAGGAGCTGGATGTGGAAACTGCTGAACGTCTGACTTACAACCACGAACAGCAAGGTACATAGCATTGCTGATCACTGATAGAGCAATTTTTCCTCCATGTTTGATCAGCCTTTTTAACCGAACAGTATGCGCTTTAGGTTTAGCAGTTGTTTATCAAACTCGCTGTAGGTGGGCAAAATTTTAAAATTCCATCTCTCCTCTGAAGAGGTTCCCACTGAGTCTTCCAAAAAAATAGCACCCTTCCCTGCATGCTTTCATTTTTCCCTCTCCCCAGCACCCATGGACAAGAAGAGGCCCATGTTAGGGAGGGGAGAGTAAAATTCCTGTCCTCTGCCTCTTCTTCTGTCGACATACTTACGATGGAAATTACGACGATATCCCGATGATTGACGAAAACAGACGGCAATTTTCGGAAGAGTGTCTTTCCCTTGAAGCATCGCGGGTAAGGTGTCAAGGTTTTAGCCAGAGGGGTGTCCAGTTATCCTATGCACGCCCGTTTTTGGAAGAAATGCAAGGAAAATTCACTTAATCTCTTGAAATTTTATGGGAAAGCAGACCTTCTGGACGGCCAGTTTTCAATGTCTGGCTAAAAGCCTGTGTGGTATTCACCTAATAAAATTGAGAATTTGTAAATGACTCCCTTTTCAATGCACTTCTGCATCTTGCAATTGCCAACATTGATCCATTGTCCACTGGGTGGGGAGGGGGGTGGGGAGGAGCTTGACTCTATTATTATATAGTAGTTGCTTTTTCTTATTTGAATTGCTTGCATTGCAGACCATCGAGACTCTCCACCTCCCCCTGAGTTACCATCTCCTGCCTACAAATCCACACCAAGGAAAAGAATCACAACGAGTACAATTACCACACGGCAGCATAGACGACATGACAACAAAGGTGATCACGCAGCATTTAACGGCCCCGAGCAAACTGATTCGGTTGAAGTTATCGCAGTGAAAGAGCCAGCTAAGGTGGCAAAAGAAGAAACCAGTATTTGTGGTCCTCACATTCAAATTTTACTTGCAGTTTTAGTGTTTCTTGTGTTCATATCATTTTTAGTTTATTCTCTCATGGAGGATACACCTCGGGAAACGTTGAAAGAAGTGGAGTGAAGCCATGGCCAGCACCAGAGGTTTAGTGTATTTATATTCAGGAACATGTGGTAATTGTATCAAAAACGAGTATGGGTGTGAAACATCCAGATACGGGTTAAATGGCGAAGCCGAGTTTTTCTTAGATGTTGGGGCATCTATTGAAACAAACTTTTTTAGTGTTAGATATGCTGTTAAGTCTCTCCGTTGGGGAGGGCACTTGGAATCAACGTGAAGAGACTGTAGATGGTGGAAATTGGCTCTGTCTGGTAATGCAGGCCTACATTTAGTGTACACTGAGTAATTTTTAAAAGGGACTTATATTCGACCAGGTCACAGTTTAGGTCAGAAAAGTTGTCGTTCGGGCATACATTTTGTTGACTTTTAATTTCGCATTTTAGTTATTTTGCACTTTATATTTAGGGTTTTGAAGTTGTCAGTTTTCTTTAATTCTCTTTGTTGCTATTTATCGCGGGGTCTTTTGTGGCACAACAAGAAGCGAGTATTTAATCGGTTTGCTTAAGTTTAAAATGCAGTGCGACAGTACTGTGCAATGTGCATGAGAATTTTGGTTTTTTAGTCTCACAAACTGATAAAGACTGGATCGGAGAGATCTCCGTAGAAACGGAGAAAAACGAACGGCCAAAAGTTTTAGTTTTATACATTGATGTTGTTGTAAAAAAAAAAGCGCGGCTTCGACTTAATTCGTTTGAATGTTTGCTGAGTGTTGTGTTGATGGTTTTGCGTTAGTATGGTTTATTTTCACCATTTCAAGAGAGCAAACACGTTAAAATTGAACTTTATGATGTTGAAGGTAAAAGCAGCATTCTATGAATGTATGATAAGGCCCGGTTCAGACGCCAAACTATTCATGAGCCTCGAACCTAATTCGAATTATGGCCGACCCAAATTATTTAGACCGGCTGAATTGATTCAGACGCCGATCTTAATTGCAGCTGAAGTAAGTTCAAAAGGCGAAAAATGCTCATTTCGGTCAAACTGCTTACAAAAAACGTTATAATAATTTATGCATTTGATTCGGTACATGAAAAGTTCGGTGTCTGAATCAAAGCCGTTCCAAAGTCGCTCCAAAGGCGAAATTCCCGGCCGGGTTAGGCGAAAAGAACGGCTGAGCCGTTCCAAATTGAAGCAGGCGTTCCTAACTGATTCAGACGCCGAACTTTTCATGGACTTAGTTCGGTTCATGAAAAGTTTGGCGTCTGAACCGGACCTAAGATTTTCTGTACCCAGCCCCCTTGAGCTTAGACTACGAGTACTTATTATAGGAAATTAACGCTCCATGAAATTAACGCGAATCGTTGAAATTCGCGTTAATTTAAGTCGTGTTAATTTTGTTGAGCGTTAATTTCCGCGACGTTAATTAAGTGCAGTGTTCATTTCCGCGCTCTTAATTTCCAGTATTTTAACCCCAATTTTGGAACCTGTCCAGACATTCTTGACACCTAAAAAACATTACCTACAAGCTTTCTTTCTTTCCATTTACCCTTTATGTTTCATCTTTCACAGAAGCTAACGCGAAGGTTTACAATATTAATATTTTGTTAAATTTGTTTCCAGTTGTCACCACCAACCGTGTCTTAATCGCGTTAATTTCCTTTATTATGAAACTCTACCTCCTCTTTCGCGTTAATTTTCTTTATTCGAAAGTCGTTTGCCATTAAATTCGCGTTAATTTAAGTCGCGTTAATTTCCAATACCTTAATTTCATGGAGCGTTAATTTCCTATAATAAGGTAGTCCCCACTTTTCCTCAAGGATAGTAGAGCGAGCGAAACGCGAGTGCGTGTGAAAATCACCCCACGCGAGAAAAGGCGACACGCGGGCGGCGGGAATTTTCGGTGTTGGCCGAAGGCCGAAGCCGCGAGAAAAAACACGCGTGTCAAAACCACGCTACAAAAGTCTCTGACACCCAGGGTACCCCTGAGCATGCTCGCAGGCTGTATGTCAGTTGTATCATGTTATTTTGATAATGTAACAACTCAAAAAGTTGTCCCAGTGAGGTACACTTTTTCTCAGAGGATGTATATTAAAATCAGTTGTATTTTTCGCCGAGTATGGTGTTAAGAATCAATCTGAGTGCGCAAAGCAAAGTTATTGTTATAAGTGAGCCTGGATGGTGTGCTATAGAAAACTTGAACTGTAGAGGGTGTAGTTTTAAATTCCTTTCAATAATTTTAGAATAAATGTTTCATGCGATTTTGTCAAAAATTACACAAAATTAGTAAGATTCTGTGCATAAAAATGTGTAAATTTGTTGTTGTTTTATTTTATTTTATATCGATTAGAGGATCAAGGATGGCGCAGTTCTTGTTCCGCTTCAGTTTCGCTCCGAAGGTTTTTTTTTTCGGGTACAATGGTTTTAACCCCACACGTCACTGATGAGTTTCACTTTGATTCACTGCGTAATTGCTCATGTTTCTACTATCTGTTAGTTTTGTGGGTATAGAATGTTCCCGCACAAAATAGACTTGCCCACACAAAGCGGAGCGCGTAAAATGTGCGCAAAACGCAAAGACTGAGGGTACAACGCAGGATTTATAACCGCGAAGCAAGAACCTCTGCCCCTCTTTAAACAGGAAAATGCATTTGTAAGGGCAAGGATTACGATTAGCTCTAGGGCTATTACTAGTTGCCCGGCCCCTTGTTAACCCTTTAGGTCCCAAGAGAGACCAACAGCAATTTTCTCCTACCAATATCAGCAGATCATCAAGAGTAAAGGTTACGAGAATTACTAAATTGATTACCAAAAGGGAGATCGCTTTGATCTTAAACCAAATTCTCTCAACTATTCTTAAAAGAAATTGGTGGAGATCAGTCTGGAGAATTTGTATGTGGATCTTGGGGCTTAAAGGGTTACCGAACCGGATTCCGGAATCCGGTAGATCTTTGCTTGTGAAATTCTGAATCCTGGGCCTTGGAATCCGGAATACAGCTCAAGGAATCCGGAATCCCACTAAATCCGGAGTCCAAGTCACACTGACAAAAATCAGGATTCTAGTGCCTGGAATCCGGAATCGATGGCGTGGAATCAGAAATCAAAGTCTATCTTGGATTACCTTACAGTAGGCGATACTAGGCTCCTGATAAGCTTCATTTGACCAACCAGCGTGACTCACAGAATCTCTTTCTGATGCGACTGTGTCGTGACGTTACGACCCAGTGATCATGACCCTGGCTGCCATCGTTATTTGGTGTCTGACACTTACCAAAGCCCCCTCTCGTCTGAGTGTAACAGAACTGCGAGACTTCCTGAATGAACTGCCATGGTTTACACTGAGGATAGAAAGCCACTGAAGGCTGCAGACTGGGTTATCATCGCATTTTATTTCCTTGCTTGCATTCTAGTTGGGCTATGGGTATGTGTGTTGTTTCTTTAATTTGTAAAGTCAGTGCAAAGCAAATTTTCTCTGTATTTTCAAGTTTTTGTTGTAGTGTATGTGTTGAATTTAGGTCTGAGGACCTAAGAATCTTGGTTTTGAAACACTGAAGCGAATAAACCAAAGAGTACACTTGCTGTATTGCAGGGGCCAAGTGATGTGATTTGTTTGAGCGATAGTTTGTCTTTGAAATCTTTTAGTAAGAATACTATCGTTCATTCTTTATTGACGTTTGGTTGGAATATGATATTTGATCGGTGTGAACAGCAGAAGAGTCAATTTCTGGAAGAAAGCCATAATGATTGACGAACACTAGTCAAACTAAATACTCCAAATATCAGTCTAGAGCCTTTACTTTTCTATATTAGGGTGTCTTGAACAGTTGTTGCAAAACGAATGCCTAGGAAGCCTAGCCAAAAGACCTCTCTTGCACAAAATACGTAGCACAGCTTGCGTGGTGGAAAAATGTTTGTTTAAGAAAAAGTCAAGAGTCTTACTCTCAAAATACAGCTTGCCGCTTTTTTGCAGACTAAATTTAGACAACAAAGAGGGAAAACTGAAACCGCTGAATCTTTCTTCTTGGCTGGCAGATCGATGATGTGGTGGGCGGTAAGTAGAGCCGGTGCGATCAAATTTACCCCTGAAAAATACAAAAACACCCCTAGGAAATACAGTACTGACCTGATCAGCTGAAAGGGCACTAGTAATGATAGAGTTGGCACTGACTACATCGAGTGTTTTATCTTAGTTTGCAATGGCTACACATTTGGAAAGTTTTGAAAAAATAACTTCTTACATTTCCTTCTAATACAGTATGCTGACAATGTTTTAAAATCTACAATGGTCATTAAGTATGCCATTTTAACCAAAATGCTTAGTTAAGTGGACAATTTTTGGACAAATAACCCAACATTTTTTTGCACGTTTTCCTTTTTCTATGGATGTTTTAGTTTGCTTTGTAAAACGAAATCCGTCTCTAAATGAATAAAACCAACAAAAAGAAATTCAACTTTTTTAAAAGACTTATAAGGGATCTTCCCGTAACGTGGGTAGTTCAAACTCTAGTGAATATTAAATCAGAATGTTAACACTCAATCCAGTTGAAACATTACCCTGATTGAATTTTTCAATAGGTTGGACCGAGTTTATTTGTCAGTAACATTGGTAGCGAGCACTTTATTGGATTGGCTGGATCTGGCGCGGCAACAGGGATTGGTGTAGCATCATATGAGTGGCAGGCAAGTCACGTGACTTTACTCACGTGATATTTCAGAAGTATTTTGACCGTACTTAATAGTACCTAGAATGTATCCTGCTTGATTATTGTTTTTCAGGCGCCCTGGATCCTACTGCTGTTGGGCTGGGTCTTTGTTCCAATTTACCTCAAATCAAGGGTGAGTTAACAAGCTCTTTGAAAATGCTTCCGAAAAACGTGATATAAACATAAAAGGAGTTACTTTAATTGGCTTGCATCTGGTGAATTTTCCTGCCAGCGAATTACAAGGGAAAAGAGACCTCTACTAGCAGGGAACTGGTGAATGGCAGAAAAACATCTTCTGTTCATGTTATCAACTTCTCTCCACTACGTCTTAAGGACATGAATAGGGGCAAGAAAGAAGAATTCAAATTTTGATTTGAGGGTTTAAAGGGTTAAAGAGGTGGGGTCAAATCAAAGGAACCTATTTTCCCTGGGCATGAGTGTTGACGAATGTCAGACTAGGTAACTTGCTTCCTAGCTAAATAGTGTTATAAATGTTCGTATTAATTTTCTTCTCTTGTTATTATTTCTATTAGATTTACACGACACCAGAATACTTGCTAAAACGATTTCATAGCACCAAGATAAGGACTTGTTTGACGGCTGTGGCGCTCATATCGTATGTACTCACAAAGATATCAGTAAGTAACGAACTAAGGAAATACTTGAAAATAAATTAAAGTACTGGAGAGGGAACATTACCAAGAACGTTGAGGGAGCTATGTTTGATCTTTACTCAGATAGATAGACAGACGCCTTTATTTAAAATAAAAAAGTAGCTACTCATTTTAGTCCATTCAGGGAGCTTACAAAGCCTCCCTGGTATCAATATGAGCCTTTGAATGGTTGAGTAGCTTTTCATGCCCACGCGAAAAGTATTGTATTAAACGGGTCGAAGTTCTGCCACGCCGATCTCTAAAGTAGAGATTCACATGTCGAATAGGTGTTCATACTGCACCGGATAACTCTTTGTGTCGGCACCAAAAGCTCAGATCCGGTATAGTGTGAAAATAAGGCTCCTTAGAGTAGAGGAGCAAGTCATAAATCTCGCTTCCGTTCTGGCAGGTTGATATCTACGCGGGCAGTGTGTTTCTGTATGAAGCTGTTGGTTGGAATATTTATGTGTCAGCAGCTGTGATTTTAGCCATCACTGCTGTCTACACTGTTCTTGGTAAGTTTCATCGAACATCATTGATACATTTATACATTTGTACATTTCTAGTTCATTTGTACTTCATCTCTTTATCATCTGTACTTCATCTACACATTGGCTACACTTGATTCGTACGTCATTTGTACTTCATTTGTACGTCATTTGTACTTTATTTGTACTTCATTTGTACGTCATTTGTACTTCATTTGTACGTCATTTGTACTTTATTTGTACTTCACTTGTACGTCATTTGTACTTCATTTGTACTTCATTTGTACGTCATTTGTACTTTATTTGTACTTCACTTGTACGTCATTTTTTACTTTATTTGTACTTCACTTGTACATCATTTGTACTTCATTTGTACGTCATTTGTACTTTATTTGTACTTCACTTGTACGTCTTTTGTACTTCATTTGTACTTCACGTGTACGTCATTTGTACTTTATCTGTACGTAATTTGTACTTCATTTGTACGTCATTTGTACGTCATTTGTACTTCATTTGTACTTCATTTGTACTTCATTTGTACGTCATTTGTACTTCATTTGTACTTCATTTGTACTTCATTTGTACGTCATTTGTACTTCATTTGTACTTTATTTGTACTTCATTTGTACTTTATTTGTACTTCATTTGTACTTTATTTGTACTTCATTTGTACGTCTTTTGTACTTCATTTGTACGTCATTTGTACTTCATTTGTACGTCATTTGTACTTTATCTGTACGTCATTTGTACTTCATTTGTACTTCATTTGTACGTCATTTGTACTTCATTTGTACGTCATTTGTACTTCATTTGTACGTCATTTGTACGTCATTTGTACGTCATTTGTACTTCATTTGTACTTCATTTGTACGTCATTTGTACTTCATTTGTACGTCATTTGTACGTCATTCGTGCTTCATCTAATTGTCATTTGTACTTTCCCTATACTTCATCTGTTCTTTATCGTCGAGTGATTCATTTGTACTTCATTTGTACTTCACAAATGCAGTCGAACCCTGCTTTACGGACACCCGCTTATTACTGAGAGTTTTCCCTATCAAAGGGGAAAGTAAGCCCTTGAAGTTTCGGGCCCCTTTTAGGGTAAAATTCTGACAAGCGAGATGGCCTTGAAACAGCAAAATGGCAACAAAGGATATTAAGAAGGGTTAAATACCGGCACCGCCTACTTCTTAAAACTTCCCAAGCTTGTAAATAACGCAAGCACTTTTTTGTAGGTGGTCTGACGGCTGTTTTCTTCACTGATGTATTGCAGTGCACTATTATGGTTATTGGTGGCATCGTTGTAGCCATAATGAGTAAGTAGGGCACCCACAGTGTTTGTACGAATTCTATTTGATTTTAATACTTCTTCTCCGTATAAAAATGATTTGCAAGCTTTCTTATTCTCTCAAGGGGGTATTTTTAGCGAGTCTTGGTTGGATAAAAACAAGACAATTATGTCCTAAAAAAGACATGGTAAACGGAACGTTTTTAGCTAAACTAGCTATTACGAAGTCTTCTTTGAGTTGTTGACGTAAATAAGGTTGCCGGATGTTAATCCGAACAATCATTACAAAGGTGATTAAGTAATTTATTTCTACCTTGAGGTTTTGCAAAAGTTGGAGGATTGGATGGTCTGTGGAGTAAATTCGGCTCCTCGATGGGTAAGCCCCTGTGGTCAACAGCCTCTTCGACAAACATCCCTACAACTGGGACCTCTGTGGTAAATTCTAATCTCAACTCAACAGCGGCAACAACAGTAGCAAATACTCTGGGCAAGAGCAACGACACAATTGATAGTTGCTACAAACTAACACCCTACTGGGGTGATCTGTGGAGGCCGGTTGATGATCCAGACTACCCCTGGTTAGGATTGTGGACGTCTTTATTCATTACTGCTGTTTGGTACTTCTGTACAGATCAGGTAACTCCGGCTCGATGTTATAATGATACCTTAATAGAGCAACTTTAAAAGCCAATAGGCTTCCTTTTAGGTTACGATAGCCTGGGGAAGAAATTACCCAGTCCCTAGGCCTCATTATTCCGCGGGGCCTATGCGTTTGGGATCACGTGGTCCGAGCGTTCGTCTCGGATACGTCACGATAATGCGTTGAACGAGAAGGCCTGGGAAGACGCCGTACAGAGACTAGGTAATTGAAGAAAGACAGCGAAGAAAGAGGTTTTGTCGCCATCGAACCTTCTAAATTTTAGTTTTGGGGCACGACTTCTTTACTAAGCATGCCTGTCATCTGCAAATTCAGGTCCTTGTTCAACGAGCCTTGGGCGCCAAGAACCACATCCAAGCCAGAGCTGGTACCATTTTTGCAGGGTTTTTGAAAATTCTTCCCATGTTTGTGATGGTAATGCCAGGAATGATCAGTCGAGTGTTGTTTCCTGACAGCATCGCTTGTCACGACCCTAAGAGCTGTGAAATAGCCTGTGATAACAGATGGGGCTGTACCAACAATGCATATCCTAAGTAAGTTGAGCAGTCAATAGTTTTTTCTAAAGGTAATAACAGCAATAAAAATATGTTAAGCAATACTTGTCAAGAAAAATTCCCGTCCCCATGAGCTGCAAACTCGCTCTTGATAGCAGTTGGGGATGAAGGAGATAAGAAACATTCTAAACATGTTGTATGTTGGGTAACTCTGCTTGCTAAAAATGTGGACAACATTGCGTGTCGGGACAATAGAGGGGAAGGCTACTTGGAATAGCTAAGAGCATGGCATTAAATATACCGGGGGAACTTGACCCATCAGTTTGGGTGTACGGTTGCCGCGCTGAGAGTTTCAAACCTGAGCCTGTTTAGGAGACGAGAAAAGCACCTAAAATATCCGCCTCATATTAGACAATAACCTCTGTTTTAGAACCCTGTTAACGACAGTAGACAAAATACACGCCCTTCTGTTTCTTTAGGAAAGGTTAGACGCGTTTGAGACAGGAGGGTCAAATTTATAGCATACCCTCTCCAGTAGCACGTCTCATATAATAAGAAGGTGCCTAGCTATGACTTTTTACGAGTGGATTGGAGTGGGTTCAAACACTGATATGGTTTTTGCCGGGTAGGTTGGTGTTGAACATTCTTCCCACTGGAATGGTTGGACTGATGTTAGCAGTAATGATGGCTGCCGTCATGTCATCCCTTTCCTCAGCATTTAACAGCAGCGCCACCATCTTCACTGTTGATGTATGGCTAAGGCTCAGACCACAGGTAGTTAACCACCCCAGAAACTATAAGGGGGATTGGTAGAAGTTTTCAGCGCAACGATTTCTGGGATAAACTGGTTGGAAAATCGTTTGATATGATTGGTCGACGGTATTCAAGGCAACCGTCAACCAATCATAACTAACGCCTGTCCACTCAAATGATCCCAGAAATCGTTGCGCTGAAAGCTTGTACCCATTCCCCTTATAGTTTCTGGAGGGGGGAACATACAGATCTTTTTATTGTGTTAAAAGGCCAACTAAATGTTCCCTTTCATCCAGACTTCTCTCTCGCTTTCGCAAAGGATTGTGGGACGGGGAAAGCGGGACGTCTCTTTACTCGCCTTTTTTTTCCGATGTCTCTCGCTTTGCTTGTTTCCCGTCTTCGCCTCGTCTGGTGCGAGTCTCGAAGCGCCCGTGAAGGAAGATGCGCTAAAGATACACTGTGAACATTAGAGGAAAACAGTAAAAATGAAAACAACAAAAAAAGGAATTTCAAAATAGTCTATATCTTGCTATTTGAGATCTCTGATGATTAATTGAAATCTCATCATCTTCGTGTCCAAAGTGGCTCATTATTGGTAGCCTGGGAGCAAGCTCTTCGGGGCGCTCTGACAAGGGGGGCGGGAAAAGGAAGGAGAGATTGCAACTACGTCTCTGGAATTTGAATTCCACCTCCAATTCCCTGTGGCTACCCGTCGACTAAGCTGTCAGATTTCAGCGCGAATGTAAACAAACATTGAAAAGCACGTGCCAAGGGTAATGACGTCATTGCTAATGTCATCTCCGCCAATCAGGATTTCGCGTCGACTTTTTCTTCGCAGATATTCAAATTTCAGAGATGTAGTTGCAAGCTCTCCTTCATTTTCCCGCCTCGCCGCCAGATCGCCCCGGAGAGCTTTCTAGCAGGCTACATTATTGGTTCGTTACTTCTTAAATGTCTTAGGTACGTCTGCAGGCCACCGATCTCGTGACATTGACATTGAATGTAAATAGAGGAGTACCAATCCACTTGGAACAATCCGACAACTGAGATATCCACGTTGTTTATTCTTGCACTGGGCTCACTCTTTCATGATACTCAATCATTCTTTTCCCAAATAGGCCAGGGATAGAGAAAAGATTATAGTGGGTCGAGTGGTCGTGGCTGCTCTTGTTGGCGTCAGTTTGTGCTGGTTACCGATTGTCAAAGGTGAGTTTGTGTATATATTACTCTACCCTGGCCAGGCTAGTTATGTCCCCAGAAATCTCTCTCTTTCCAGCTGATGACTTGCACATAAACAGACCAAAAAGACACGACTACTGTGACAAGTGATTGTTTGAAATAAGCGAACTTTGTTTAAACTTGTCCTCGTACGCCATCTTATTTTCGGAGGATCGTAACAAGAATTTTCTTGATCGGCAGTAGTCTACAAAATAGATGTCTTCCTTTTCTTTTCCCGTCATTTGTTGCAGTTGTTGTTTGTTTGTTTGTTTTTCGCAGAAACGGAAACTTTTATCTTTTGACAGGGGCCCTGGTTCGAGTATAACAGAGTAGTCATGAAAAAAAGTTTGCCCACCGTATTTAATCTTGTCTAACAGGTTTTGCTGGAAACCAGCTGTTTGTATATCTCCAGAATATCCAATCATATTTTGCGCCCGCGATCAGTTCCATGTTCCTATTGGGAATACTCTGGACTGGACTCACGGAAAATGCAGCTTTCACTGGACTCCTGGTTGGGTTTGCCATGGGACTTATAAAGTTCATTGTTGAAAATGTATACGCACCGCCCGACTGTGGCGAGGAGGACACCCGCCCGCAATTTGCTAAGCTACATTTTATGTATTACTGTAAGTAGCTTATGTTTGCAGTCAAATGATAAAAATAGGCAAGGCATTATATCATTCAGATACTGCATGGATGTGGAAAAAATGACGTGTAGATACGAAGGACAATGAATGCAAATTATTCCGTACCTCCAAAACAAACAAACAAACGCCCAGAAGCACGCATGGTAACTTTTTTAGGCTCTACATCGTCACGCGGGCCTCCAACATCGCGGTGAAGCATGACATGATGACGCGACTAACGTTTGCCTGGATACTAGAATTTTGCTGGTCGGAATAAATTCCCATATAAAATGCAAATGAAACTCATGAAGGACTGAGGACATTCCATCCCTAGGAAGATAGCATTTGTCCATCACAATTGCCCTCCCCTTCAATCCCCGCAAAATTTAATGCTGATCATTTCCGCCTTAAAGACCTACAACGAAGAGGTGTCTTTATGGGCTACACATAAGAGCGCCCAGCAATAGCCACCGGGATAGCTCGGTTGGTAGAGCGTTTGTCGTTATAGGCTCGATTCTCGGCCCTTTATTCAGGGTGTCACAATAACGGAGTACAAATCCAGAAGGGGATGTAAACTAGTGTCCTTCATTCCCCCACTACATAAACTACAGGGACATTAGGGACATGTTTCGGCGCAAGGATTTCTGGGATCACTTAATGTACAAGAGTTAGTTGTGAGCCTTCGGATACCATAAACCAACCATAACTAACGTGTATTCTTACAATCGATCCTAGAAGACACGACATGTTGGGAGTGCGGAGCTGTTTTAACCTAAGTAGGAGTGATGTTTTTATACCTTTCCTTACAGCGAATATCCTGTTTGCCATAAGTGTGTTCACAATGGTTGTGGTAAGTTTATTTACAAAGAGGATTCCTCGAGATGAGCTTGGCGGACTGACTTGGCCCACAATCAATGAACCTCCTTTAGCGCACGGAGCCATCGGAGAGGACGTGGAAGCATTGGAAAAATTGTCGACCATGCAAATGGAGGGTACGTTAATTTATTTCCTTTATTTTGCAGAGACGTTGAATGTGACAATCAGCGGGCCGTAAAATGGTCTTGCTATCATGGCAGTTGAGCGAGGGTGAAAGAAATGGTGATACCTATTTTTCTCTTTTTCAGTTTAAGGCCCCAATTTTTCCATTCGTGAAGAAGACCAAATTGGATACTGTTAAACCTAGATAATGGTTACGTTTGCGTCGGTAAAGATGTTTCTGATCTCTGTTACTCATAGTAAAAGAAAAAGAAGAAATAGATAGCAAGATAAGTTGGTTTTATATCGGTTTGTTGAACTCGCTGTGGAGTAATGAACGACATGTTATCCTCATGCCCTGCATAGAGAACATTGGCGTTGTGACGGCACTAACAGTTGGTTTGCGCACACGTAGACCCTGTCACTTCTACTGAAAAGCAGCCATTCTCGACTCAATAGAGAAGAACTTTGGTGTCGAGAATGAAGTGGACTCTCTCTTAACGGACACCTCCCTAAAACGGACACCTAGAGTTGGTCCCTGCCTTTGTTTACTCCCTTTATTTGACTTATAAGACGGACATCTCTCTAAGACGGACACTTACTGCCGGTCCCAAAGGTGTCCGTCTTAGAGGGAGTTGACTGTATTTGGAAGAGTTCTAATAAATGGAAGATGAGCTTGGAGTTTTTCCAATTCTTAAATTGAAAACAAACATTTCCATAGTAAAGACTGAAAAAAAACAAACAAACAAACAAACAAACAAAACAAAGACGATGGCGGAGTCGTTCACATCCTCATTCATGCTTTTCTCTATCATTTACAGACAAAAGTGAATCCTTTGTGAACGACAGCCCATCTGCTTCCATGACATTTAAGCCTGAAGTGAAGGTAGAGAAGATCAAACTTCCGGTTGTGGAGTTCCCAGAAGAGGAACCCTGGCTGAAGTGGCTGTTACGAATCTCCACTATTGCGTTACTTGTCACGCTGATAGGTTTATGGATACGTTTTGCATAGAAAAGGACCGGGTCATTGCGTTACAGATCACCATGATATATAGGTTTATGAATACCCTTTGCTTTGGACCGCGCCATTGCGTTACTGGTCACGGTGATTAGAAAAGGACAGTTTTGGATAATTGTTTTCTCGGTTTGCTTTTCGAGAGTTCTCCCTCTTGTTATATTCACTGAAGTTTTTCGGTCTCGCATCTAGTCCAAAGTAGCCGCCCTGAGACGTAGAAAAGGCAAAATTCTCACACTTATAAGTTTTTTATACCAGTGTAATGGCAATTTGTGTCCATAGATGTGGATCTTCCATATCTATTTTCATTTTATACAAATTAATACAGAATGAATAGCCATGAAATTGCATCACAATTTTATTATAGAGCAAACCACCAAGCCTATACATATATATTTTGTTGAGAAACGATTACAGTCGAACCTCTATGTGCGACCACCTCCCGTAAGCGGCCGCCAATCCAAAACAATCAAAGTCAAAGTCTTACAGTAGGAGCCTCTTGTAAACGACCACCTCCTGTAAGCGACCGCGACCACTTTTTGGGCCTGACGGGTAATGATTTTCTATTGTTTTTAACCTCTGGTAACCGACCACTTGATGCATTTTCTGATCTCTAAGTTCACTGTGTGCACTATGTTACTTAGAATATACCAAGAACTTTAGTAACAACATGAAACTACACATGTCGTAACCTAGACATTGCATGCAATAAATTATCTTCCGTAAGGTAGATGTGCCTGGACCTCTTCACGGAAGAGACCCCCTGTGATTCGATTCTTGTAAACGACCACCTCCCGTAAGCGACCACTCAGTCTTTGCATTTTGGGTGGTCGCTTACGGGAGGTTCGACTGTATTTCTATGAATTAACAACCTCGTTCCCAGGGTTCTCTCCTACCGGTCCCTGCTGAGCAAGAGAGAGACCCCTGGGAACGAGGTTCGTGAATTAACACATTCAAAGATATAACACTGTAATAGTATTTCTATTTTACATCAAGAGTTGTGCTGATGTCTACGGTTTACTAGTGATGGGCGATACCTTGTTGTGAAATCGATACAATACCAATTTGGCATTTAACGATATTTGGTACATGTATCTATAACGATACTTGATAATGGTACTGTAAAGTTATTATTCAAAAGTCTTTCTTGAGCAGTAGTTCAACAGGGTGCACAGACCTGTTCATAAGCTATTGATAAACGATATCGAAAAGAACATATATCAATATCCAGGCAAAGAAGATCGGTGGATAGTCGATGTTATCGACATTTGGTATCTTTATGAGCCCATCACTTTGTCATTAGTACAAACAGGTCAAACAGTACTTTAACGATAGTACACCCACAAGAACAACAAAGCAAGAAGCAACAAGAAGCTCAGGAACCGCAGGAACCATTTAACAATCGGATCTTCCTCAGCGAATTTTACCACCGTCAGCTTAATTTTGTCAGGCTTTATAGCTGAGCGTGACAGCTTGTGTTTCTCTTCCTCGCCAGTGTCTTCTGGAGAGTCGAAGGTTTCATCTTTGCCCCCTAGAAGAAAGAAATATATCAAACATAAGAAGGAATGTTTTACGCGATATCCAAACACCGAGAAGTTAGTACACAGACACGAGAGGGAGTGTTTCATCTGATATCCAAAACATCGAAAAGTAGTTTATCAAACTCGAGAAGGAGTGTCTCTTCTGATATCCAACAACGAGAAGTGTAATACACAAAGAAGAGAGGGAATGTTTTATCTGATATCAAACACCGAGAAGTATTATATTAAACACAAGAAGGAGTTTTTCATTTGCTATTCAAAAACCAAGAAGTAGTATATCAAACACGAGAAGGAGTGTTGCATCCAATAAAATTATTCAATCACCGAGAAGTGGAATATCAAACACCAGAAGGAGTGTTTCATCTAGTTATGCAAACACCGAGAAAACGATTAAAGATACAAGACACAGCGGAGTGTAATAAAGCGAATTTGAATTTCTAGATGAATGATTTTCAGTACTTTAACTGTTGTCTTACCATTCTTCAGCAACTCTATAGAATCTCTTTTGACGTGACCATTTTCAGTTTTTTCCGCGTCATCTTCTTCTCCAAGTGCTCCGTGAGAAATTGGGGGTTCATTGATAGTGCTCCATGTAAGACCACCTAGTTCATCCCGGGGAATTTTCTCTGTAAAAAAGCTCACCACCGCCATTATCAACCCGCAGACACCAAAAATGATCATTGCTGTAAATAAATAGTAACAATCAATATAGACCCATTAAGGTGGACTCAGTAAGTTTTATCACACAAAGTGACGGTCTCTTCGGACATATTTTATACGTGTTTGCAAACTGACGGACAGTCCAAGCTCTGGAATCGCTGTCTCGTCCCCAGGCTCCAAGCGCAGAGAGGATGATAAGACATCAGGCGCACCGCGAAAGACACTTAGGGGGCTTTTGGGAAGGCAGCCGGATTCGTTTGTTCGTTAGCTATACAGTGTTGTTACAACAGTAAATTCTCACCATAATACATGAAATGCATTTTAGCAAATCCAGGACGATCGTCTACTGCGCCACATCTAGGGGCAGGGTACACGTTTCCAGCAATGAACTTGGCCATTCCCAAGATAAAACCAATGACGAGTCCAGATAAAGCACCAGCGGAGGTGAGTCCAGGCCACAGGATACCCAGTCCAAACACCATGGTGATAGGAGGAGCCAGGTAGGATTGAATGGTCTGAATGTAAACAAACAGCTGCGTACCAGCAGAGCCTGAAAAACAAAATGATAAAACGAGACTTTAGATTATACTGGACGGCGTAATGGTTTGGTTTGTCACCATGAGTTTCGTGTTGACCTGACGTTCATGTTAGGCTCAAAGATGGTACAACTTTTTCATGGTCAATTCAGTTTGCGAGAATATTGAGGGCGCCTTGTGTCCTTCTCGCACGCACGGTTTTTTTCTTTTCGCCTGTCCTTTGAGCGCCAGCCATGAGGGTCATAAATTCGAACGCAGAAAGATAAAACAACACCTGACATCTGACAAATCTAAAGAAAAATTAAAGGGAGAAAACACGTTACCTTGAATGATTGGCAGCCAACACAAGCTGACGCCAACAAGAACCGCCACAATTACGCGACCAACAATAACTTTTTCTCTTTCTTTGGCCTGAAGTGGTAAAAGATTGATGCATTAGATGAAAACTTATTTATCTTAAGGGTGTAAATTGTACGTGTTTTTGTACCTGGGGTCTAAAGCGTAGCCAAACATCAACAGTGAATATGGTAGCACTGCTGTTAAACACTGATGAAAGTGAAGACATCAATGCTGCCATCATAACCGCCAACATCAGACCAACCAAACCGGTCGGAAGAACGTTCAGCACTAACCTATAAAGTGTTCGAAAAGAGTGAGTACAAAATTTGTCTTTTTGTTAACTTTGGCAGTTCATTGTCCCGCTCTTAATTGAGTGTCTTGATGAGATGATGGATTTCACGGTAGACGCCTACTTGAGCATTTGTGTTAAATGCGACTTACTGTAAATTTCGAAGCGATTCGCAAGAATTTCAAGATAATGTTGATGACGAGGTAGCGTTTTCAGCCTGAGTAGTAGGCGTCGGAAAGGAAAGGGGATAGGGAAAAATTAGGCTAGTCTCATCTGGGACATTTCCGTGATAATTAACCAGTGGTCAAAACACCGAAAAGTCCTTACGAGCTACCATAATGACACTTACATTGGCAAATTGTGGTAAGAATGTTTCTCACAATTTACGGTTATAATCTTTTAATTTTTACGCCCATCAACCAAACTTTCTGGCCCATTTCAGGTCCCAGCTACAATGACCGCAACTATGGTTGTTTTTAAGTCACAAAATAGTTACCCTTGCCCGATTTTTCAGACGGACTGTTGTCTAAGAATGTCGAAAATATCTTACCAAGCGCCATTAACTTACTTGGGATATGCATTGTTTGTGCAGCCAAACTCATTGCCACAGTGAACTTTGCAGCTCTCCGGATCTGGACAGGCGATGGAGTCAGGAAACAACACTCGACTGATCATTCCAGGCATAACCATAACAAAAATTGGCAGGATTTTCAGGAAACCAGCCAAGACAGATCCTGCTTTTGCATGGGTGTTATTCTTAGCACCAAGGGCTCGTTGGACAATAACCTAAATTGTATGAACAGCATAAGGGATTAATTTAGTATGTTATACAATCAAATCTTCCTTAACAGACACCTCCTACCCCTATATTCATTAGGGACTTTAATATCCAACGACGCGGACGGCAACGAGAACGTCAAAAAAACAATGGGTTTTATTAGCAAAACAACAACTTTGCACGTGCACCACGCTTTTTTTGTACATTTCTTTGCCCGTTTTTTGCATGACTACGACGTGAACATGCCTAATTTCGCGTTTTATGGAGGACGTAAACAAGCAACGACGAAATTTTGTTTCTCTTTCTGCACTTGGATAAGGTGCCCAGGAATTCAACTCCAGGAGGGTTCGCCTACATTTGACAAAGTAAGTGGGTAGGAATAATTTCGATATAGACTGAAAGAACGCAAATTCACTTTTTAAGCGACGTTCTCACTGCCGTCGCGTCGTTGGATCTTAAAGTCCCTATTTCGTTCGTCGAAAAACGCGTTTTAACATACAATTACTGATGCACAATGCCTTATCATTACAATGGCCACACAAAAACTACAAACGTGGAGGACAAGTCTAAAGGGGTAGGGATCAATGTGAATCGTTTTGTGCAAAATTATCCCGACGACTGACTGTATCGAGATCAAACAAGAGAAAGTTGCAATAGCTAAGAAAAGCAACTCAAAGCTAAGTTTAAGATATTTCAAATGCCCTGTCAGTTTACTAAACAAGTTCTAAGTGTTTGAAAATTGAAGCTGGTGTTAGAGTGATTATACTTAACCCGTGAAATAGGTAGTAGAATACTACGCACTATTACAATGTATGCACTAATTCCACTATCTTCTTTACTTGTAGCTATTTTGCAATAGTTGAGTATCTGCAGTTTCACGTGTCAAATAAAATCACTCTATTGTCGGCGCCATTTTATCAGCATGGTTTTTACTGGGTCACAGAGCGTTTTCACCGAAAAGGAGCTCGATATTTCTTGAGAAGAAAAATGAAAGATAGTCACGTTAACGAATTAATTTACATATCCCGATACCAACTTCGTTCCCAGGGCCTTCTCCTCTCTCGCCACGGGGGCTGAGTAGGAAGGACCCTTAGAACGAGTTTGATCCTGATACATGTTTCCACTTACTGGTAAATAAAATCCCGCAGAATAATATAATAATAGAAACGCCTTAGGCGGCGTATAACCGCAGTGGGACTCGAAGGCCCATACCTGATCAGTACACCAGTACCAGACTCCCATGATTGGCAGTGTTATCCACAATCCCAACCAGGGGTAGTCAGGATCATCAAGAGGTCGAAACATGTTACTCCAATTTTCAGTCAACTTAAAACATTCTGCTTCTGCTGCCAGGTTTGTCGACATTATTTGAGTCATACTGGTTGTGGCATTGACCAATGTCGTTGCAATTGTTGCAGCTGATGTTGAGACATCATTGGCCAATGTGGTCAGCTGTGCTGTTGTGGACTTGGTGGTGGCGTTAGTGGGTATTATTTGGGTAAAATTTGCGGTGGCGTTAACCACTGTTGTTGCAACTGTAGCGGCTGCGGTGGAGACATTACCTGCCAATGTTGACAACAGTGCTGTTGTTGTTGGCAATGTTGGGGTGGTGTTGTCTGTGGTGACCATTGTTGTTGCAGTTGTTGTGGAGACGTTGGTCATTAATGTTGTCCAAGGCGCTTTTGCTGTGCGAACCGACTTACCCAAAGAATTCCCATAATGTTCCCACAAACCATTGTAGCCGCCAACTTTCACGAAGCCTGAAATCAGATAATTAGGACTCCATTAAGTGAATCTTATAAACGATTGGAACTCTATACTTTATTGGGCCATGGTGTGAACTACTGGAATCACCAATTCGAACCAATACTTGCGTTTACCCAGTAGTTGGCAAGCACTTCATCGAGAAAAAGGGAGTGAAGCGGGTAAACCTTGAAAACTTTAAACTCCTCAAGAAATGCCGAGGGAAGCTAGAGTGTCTGATACTCGAGATGTTTGTTGGCTTCACACTAGAGCTTCAAGTATACTGTAAGTGTACTTGGAACCTGCTTTGAGTGTGAAGGGGTAAAATGTACCTAATTCAACTTTACTTGGTGACCGTGGAAACGTTCGTAGTTCAAAGTCGCCGAAGTTCGCCGCCAAGTGTGGGCTACACCACAGTTGAGAACACACTTGACCAATAAGAAATGGAAGCCATGTGCGCGATGTGCACGTGCAACGGTTCAAAGATTCTAATGAACGGAGAAATTGACAGCTTTTACTTCAAGTAATATACTTTGTCAACAAGTGTGAAGCCATGTTTTCTTCAGAGCGACTTAAGATTTCCAAGTGCACTTGAATCAAGTGCTTACTTGTGACTAACTTAGCTTCTAGTGTGAAGCCATCAAAACATCAAGTTTTTTTTATATCGTTGATTTTTGTTTTAAAATGTATTTCTACATCGATTATTACAAAAAGGAAAGCACTGTTCTTACTCATTATTGCCAATATAACTGCGCCTATAATCATAATTACACACTGAAGAACATCGGTAAAGATTACAGCTGTCAGCCCACCTATAGAAAGAAAAAAGAAAAGTCAGTCATGCTAACGAAGAAGAGCTTTGTATACGTGTTCACAGTCACTCCTTTATTGAAAACCGCAGATGTCAATTAACTTCTTAGCGTAAGGCAAGTAAGACTTTGTAAAGAAACAAAACCTAAAATATCTCGGCTGTTACATTGGAAAAGAAGTGACGGATAGAGAAGATCATTTTAGATTGAAGGATGAATGGTAAAAGGGAAAAAGGAAGAGCAGAGAGGCAATGGGAAAGGGACCTAAGATTTAACAAGCCAGTAACAGAAGTTGGAAGATTTGCGATGAGCAGAGTGACGTTTCCGAAGTGCAGTAGTGGATGAAATATCCAATCGGATAAGTAGTTTTTTAGAATGAGAGTCAACGAGAGGGATTGTAATAAATGACTGTAAGGGGTGTAAGACATACACAAAAAACAGTAGAATATGATTCATGATACTTGATTACAGGTTAAAGGTTTGTTTATAGTGGAAAGTGCACTTGGCTTATCCAGCTAGTTGCAGGCACTCCACTCCACTTGCAGAGGGGTTTTCGATTGAGGGTCTTAAAATGAAAAGAACTCACTAATCAACTGATCAGTGCAGACGCAAAATTTAATGACCAATCAGAACGCAAAATACCATCTGGGAACTATTTGGAACGACGCCATGACCACGAGATTTCAAAAAGGTGGCCCATCCAAGGTCCCTTAAGGGAACTCTGGCATCATAGTGACATGCGATTGCTTCGTTAAGCATGTGAGCTTCGACTTTATTTTTAGTCATGGAGCTTACGTTTAAATCCTACTATCTTACCCAGGACGGTGTAAACGGCTGTGATGGCCAAAATGCAAGCGGCAGAAATATAAATATTCCAACCAACAGCTTCGTAAAGAAATACGCTACCAGCGTAGATATCGACCTGAAAAAAAATTGCAGTTAACGATAAGCCCAGTCTACAGATTTTCCAAGGATGAATCATCGAACAACACTCTCATGATTCCAAAAAAAGGCCTAGAGACGATTGTGTTGTATGCGAGAGGTGAGACGTCGAAAGCGCATATCGTTAACGTCAGCTGTAGTTGGTTCAATTTGCAGGTGTGCATGATTTAAGGAGGTGTCCAAAGGGCTTCCGATGAAAGATTATCTAATGCATAAAAAACGAACAACAGTTGTCTTTGCGCTCAAATGAAACACTCTGGGTGTTTTGAACAGCTAACGGGGAAGCCACGCCCAGATTGGTCCCCTTTATCTTCTTTAGAGATTTAATTCCACTTACGCGCATACCAGTCCCTTTTATATTGGAGTCCTCCCCGGGACTGAAGAAAAAACTTTTAATACCAACGTATACGTATTTGAATACACCCTGCACCCAAGTCTGCCTTACAAGATCTCAAAGCTCACCTTATAAGTAGTAATACTAAGAAAAATTTTGCGTGAATGGCTTCTCCCCTAGATAAATTTGAATTGGCGTGTTGACTTGATAACACGAAAGAGACCTCGAAAAATACTCCACAGCACATTCGCGTTTACTAAACATAACATACCACAATTGTGTTAAATAATACTAACGTACCGAAGTCTTAGTAAATACATAAGAAATGAGAGCAACGGCGGTCAAATACGTCCTGACCCAACGACTTTGGAATCTCTTCTGTAGGTATTCAGGCATCGTGAAAACCTATTATGCGAGGAATGAGAGACAAATAGTATTACAAACATTTCGTGATTTGACTTGCTGTTCTAAAGTTCTCATCAGCACTAAAATACGACGGCAAAAAAGGCAGAAAAAATATCAAGTCGTTTACTTGGCTAAACCAAGAAAGATAACTTACACTAAAAGGAAAAAGAAACTCACCCGCGATCTCAAGTAGATTGGCAGAAAAATCCAGCCAAGAAGAAGTAAAATCCAACTAGCCTATAAAGGGAATATTGCTATTAAAACCTAAACAAATCCTCATAATATCTGCTTGAAAGGTGTAGTTATGTGTATTCGAGATCATTACACATCAGGTATTTTGCATTATTATATACAAATATGGTTACGTGATTAGAACTTTCAGTAATAGGCCAAGCTATGGCAAATGAATTCTCTAGTTTTTAAATCATGTGGACGAAATCCTATGCCATGTTTCCATTCAAATGAAACAAACGTCTTTGCCGAACTTTTGAATGTATCATTTACTTCTTAGGATTCTACAAAAAAGAAATTTGAATTTTGGGGAATTTTACAATTAGGAGTAAAAGGGTTAGTGTATTGAAAAACACGTGAAATAAGTGTGATACCTGCCACTCGTATGCCACCACAGCAATTCCAGTTGCAGCTCCAGAGCCAGCCAAACCCACAAAATGTTCGCTTCCCATGTTACTGGCAAAAAGACTGGGTCCAACCTAGAAAATATGTTTAAAAAGTCTGACAGCTGACTATGACTCATGCATGATGCCAAGTATAGTCTACTTCTCTTCGACAGAGAGTTGTGAAATATACCGCCAATAAATGTCCTTCTTCAAAAACGAGTGTCGGCCTTAGGGAACCGCCTTAGGGATTGATTCAACGTGTTCATATATAGAGAGTTTTCACGACTTTTTAGAGAGTAAAAGAAAATAACCGACGAAAGGCAAGGTCTTTTCCTTTTGAAACGTCATAACCTCAGACCTAAATCCTCGGAACACTTGCGATCTTAATACAGACTGCAGTAGACCCCTCATGTCTCTGTGGTTTTGTTAAAAGACGGCGTTTGCAAAGCGAGGGCAATTTTCATCTTTGTAAAGGGGAAAACTGGGGATAGTGCCACCTGTTTTATCGGAGGGAGTGGGTGTTGGCCGTATTTGCTGTCTTTGCTAGAGTCAGCTAGAGTTACCTTTATTTGCTGTAATAGATTGCCTTTCAATTGACAATCACAAGGCACGACATAAAGAAATAACTCTGGTTAATCACGTCAGCCAATCATTACTCAGGGTAGATATTTATAATGGTATGTAATAGCTTTTACTAAAAGGTCGAGCTGAGTAGAGTCCAATTCGGTCTCTAATCATAGAAGTGATTGAACAAAGCAGATCGTCAGGGTCCGATTTTTTTAATCACGACAATGATAATTAATTGTAGTGAGACTGAGGACAACTGAATTCAATCTGTAATCGTTTAAGTGATTCAACAAAATCGGACGACCGAGTTGCGGGGGGTCAATTTTCTATCGTGAGCTCGATTTTAGACACTCTGTTACCAATTAATTAACACTTAACAAAATTTGAGATAAGGGGCACGAGGATTTGTGATAATTTTAACTTGTGTTTAATTAGAATCACGACCTGCCAAGAGTGGTTTTGCCTAGACACGAAATAAGAAGGAACCAATCAAGTGCTTTAAAACTGTCCTACTACACTGCGCTCTATGAGGTCGTGCTGTCCTGAATTATCTATGCCTGGCGCCGACTGCCCATTATCTAGCGAAGACGAGCTAGGGGAAACTCGATTTCTCCTTCGTTCTGTTCTGTCGGGAACTATGTTTATTTTTTTCCCCTGCATCCTTCTGCTTTATAATTAGGTGCTACTCGACTTGAATAGGCTTTTGCGCTGGTCGCGCTAATAAACAAATGACCAAATGGGTAGGAATTATTGTAAATTAACAAACAAGCTGTACTCACTGCCCACCACAGCATGGATCTTCCGGCCAAAAAGTACGTTTCAGCAGTTTCATCCTTTCCTTTCTGTTTCTTAAACTTGGACTGTGAGAGATAATTGAGAGTTTACAACAACAACAATATGAAGTACCCTTTTAATAATACATGGTAAGCGCGCGCATTGCCTTTCCCGCCAGTGATACTATCGCGTGCGCTGGTTCGTCTCGCCCTGCCTCTCAGCTCGATCTCTCTCCTCATCAAAGGCTCCCACTGGTTTTACGAAAAAGAAATTAAAATTGAACAACAGTAAGGGAAGGGGAAAGCTACAGTCACCTTAGAGAACCTCCTCCTTCTAGTGTACAGTTCACGTGGCCGATCACGTGCTTTGCTGTGCAGTGCATGGCGTGACTTCTGGGCACGGATCGGATATGGATTTTCCCGGATTGATGGTTTAGATAACCTACAAAGGTCTTCGCTATCTGTTAATTTGGCGCGAGCTTAAAAATCCAGTATTGATACACCAAAACTTTTCTTCTAACGCAGTAGGAATAAATCTCCAACCGATAACAACTTATAAATTTTTTTGCTCTTAGAGATTGGAGGGTTTGTTGCAAAGGGGAAATTTGATAGTCTCAGGAGCATGGAAAAATCATGAGCACAATTAAAGATCAAGAAAAGGTGGAATTCAGTCTGGTATAAACATTCTAACCAATGGACGCTGTTTAGGTAATGAGTTGACGATAGAAGTGGATCAATACAATTGAAAAAATTGAGCGACACATGCTGTACATGTGCGAGACAAAATACGAATTATTTTAAAAGGTGTGCCCAGAAATGGTTTTTTAAAGAATTTTAAGACTCCAACTTTCGTCCGACGTCTGATGATACCTCACGCCACAAGCAGGTCGTTCCAGCTTCTTTCTAGCCGAAAGTAGCCCGCGAGCACGTTCGCGTGTTGGATTTTTCGCAGGGTGGAGTTAATCATTTTATCTCATCTTGCTCACGCAAAATTCTCTAGCCTTTGTCGCTTTCTTCTCGATACGAGAGCCTACGAGGACGTTAAGCTAAAGAAAATGAAAAAGATCACCCGATCCCTAAAAAACTCGCCTTTCCTTAGTACAATCCCACAGCAGAACAGCGCGCGGCTATTGTGCACTTTTTTTAGCTTTTGCAACTTATAAAGCTGATTTTCGATAACAACAACTTTTCGATCTGCACGATGGAAACTCGATCCAAAAATTAAGTAAACAGACAAATAAATAAACACAAAAATAAATAAATGTGTAAACAACTAAAAATGTAATATTTTTATCTTGCGTGATAACCGAGCGTAGATTTTATCTGATCGTTCAGGGGCGCCTTTTGTAATCAGAGATGAAGTATTTGAAGTGTCTGCTTCATGAATAGCCTTACCCACTTTTCAAATAAAAAATGAAATTAACGAGTTACTCACCCACAAACCAACAAATATGCAACCAAGAAAATAAGCTCCAATTATCACCCAGTCTAAGACCTCCAAGGACTTCTGCTTCTGGTCTACGAACACCATGTTCAATTCTTACGTAAAAGGTCCTGTTTTGTCGATTCGTGGCGCCTGCAGAAATTAAGAAGCTTCAGTAACCACTGAAACCTTTGTTGATTGATCCGGCCGTGAAAAGTGCAGTCTGATGTCTGATTTAAATCGATTGTAGCAGGAATGAACTTGGCTACGAACGAGGGAGACTGTTTATCTTGGAAATATTTATTCCTTTAGCGGGGGGGGGAATAGGAGCACCTTGTCAAGGCACAGGCAGTGAGCAATGTACGCCGGATGGGTACAAGTGATCTGCTTTATAACCCAGTAAATATCTAATACCTTGCCTCTATATTACGCAACAAGGGATTTCTAGACCTTGTATAGGAAATTTACTGTTGTGTTCAAAGTGCTAAAATGGAGAATTTGGAGCAAAACTTTGGTTCAACGTACCTTAGCCTATGATCGTGGTGCCCTCTCTTCGTCTCTGTGTCCGTCTCGCCTCTCTTCACGCCGGCCAATGGCCCCGTTTTGATGCCTTTTCAGTATTTGTAGTTCGGCGTTACGCGATTGCACTTGACCTGTATGTTTAATTTTGGGTTCAGGAGTACAGACGAATCGTAAACCCTCTCCTATTGTTTTACAAAGCTAAACCCTGTAAACGCCTTCGACAGCGTGGTAAATATGTAACCCATTAACTTCGAATTATTACCCAGACACGGCATATTCACGTGTTCGATTTTTCGCTTTTATAAAAATGTGTGCTATAAACTTGATTTACATACATACCGATCTCATTCATTATTCGTATCAGTAGTTGAATGTTTATTTAGTGAAGTTCCTAAAATATAGTTGTTTGTTGTAGATACGCATATTCGGCAAAGTATGACTCTTGGCACCTTCGTTCGTGTGAAGCGCGCGCGAGAGGGGCGGGTTTGGGGTGGGGTGCGAGCGGGGACGGCTCCGCCTCCCGATTCCATACCGGTCTAGCCCCTCTTCTAATAGTCCCCTGTGCAACCGCTTGTTACGTAACGCCGTTCTTTTGGGGAGGAGCGTTGCGTGACGAGACTAATACCACTTGAGACCACTCTTGGGCTACTGTCCAATTTTGACCTTCTTTTCGCTTGAAAACCTGCTTATAATGCTTAAATAGTGTGGTGTGGTACAGTGTATCTTTATCGCGCCTTACTCTCCAAAGGGAGGTATTGGTCTAGTTACAATAAACTTTATATTTGCTCCTACAACAAATTACCTAAAACAGATAATTTCAGCCTTTAGTATCTTGAATTTTGTTCACACTGAACCCTACGGGGTTTCTTTTGGAGTTTTCAATATTTGATCTACCCATTCTTGACCCTTTTTGTAGTGTGAATTGACCCCTTTCGAGCGGAGCAGCCGCGTGCGCGTGTAGTGCGGAGCAGCCGCGTGCCTGTGTAGTCATCAGCTCATGATGAAGTCAAATTTAGGGAGTTCTTCATGCATCCCCGGTTTGATTTTATTGCAGAAAAGTCCAGGGGACCCGTGGTAACCAGGACAAAGGTGAGCTGTCAAAAATCTTCATTCCTAGCATTTTCAGATCCCCAAGCACTCCAACTCGTGTGAAAGGAATGTAGCAGAGAAAGCCCTGGGCATGAAGCTCAATTTAGGATACGCCTGTTGGGCGCGTGCATACTGAAAAGTACTTTGTCAAAGCACGTGCTGAGTACAGGGTAAGTAACTTTGCGAAAACAATAAGAGTATCACTATTCACGTATGTAGGCATAGATTGGCATATACCGTAAAATTCCGAAAATAAGCCCTGGGGCTTATATTTTTCAAAGGCCCTTTTTGAAGAGCTTATTTTTGGAGGGGCTTATCTACGGAGGGAAATTTGCGCTTCAAAATCGATCGGGCTAACCTTGTAGTTGGAAGTAAATTTACCGCTTGTGCTTTGTTTTACTGTTGTATTTCAGGGCAATTCCCAAGTACAAGTCCCCCGGGGGGCTTATATTTGGAGGGGCTTATACACGGAGGGGCTTATTTTCGGAATTTTACGTATCAGATGCCGCATTAAAAATGGATATCGTAAAATTCCGAAAATAAGCCTCGGGGCTTATATTTTTCAAAGGCCCTTTTTGAGGGGCTTATTTTTGGAGGAGCTTATATTCGGAGGGAAGTTCTGGTTTCAAAATCGGCTAGGCTGATAATTGGAGGGAAATTTGCGTCTTTAAATCGACTGGGCTAGCTTATAGTTTTTGCGCCACAAGTCAGGGGAGCTTATATTTGGAGGGGCTTATACATGGAGGGGTTTATTTTCGGAATTTTACTGTATCTTGCGGTAGTTCGTCAACGTTCCAAAAAAACTTACCAGAAGATCGGGTTTGATGATACTGCAAAAATGTCTTTGGAAACTCAATGCTTAGATCTAATTTGTAAAACTTGTGGCTTCAGAGTAAGTCATGATCAATGTTCTGTAAATGGGACAATAATAATAATAATAATAACAATAATAATAATAATAATAATAATAATAATAATAATAATGATAATAACATTATTATTTATTTATTTCAGTATTCCTGCGAATGGAGTAGTAGTTATTATGCTTGAGAGCTGTTTTTTTTTTTCAGCATAACCTTTAAAACTGGGTGATCAAGCCAAACGATATCACACCATTTTCATTCAACACTTGTGCAAAGCAGATGAAAATGTTCCCCTAGTGTCCTAAAAAGAGCCCGGATGCTGTAAAGGCCTTGAAAAAACACATAAAACCTTCCTAATTTCTCCTGCTTTGGATTCAGAAGCAGGATTTTATTTCTTACTTTTAGCTGGCTTACGTTTACAAAACACTTCAAGCTCTCTGTTATAAATGAAACCAAGAACGATTGTTCCACTCACAACTGGAATTTCTGTCGCGGCACGGATTTAAGGCATTCAATACATAGTGACTAATAAATTAATTATCGAACAAGCATTCTTGGCATTGAGAGGTGCATTGGAGCAGTGGATTAGAAGAAACCTTGTTGAAAGGTAACTGTATTAATAACGATACCTGTAGAGATATAATGACTGCCTCCCGCTGATGGTGTACACTCACCGTAAGGTTAAGTCTTTCATCATTATCATCATCTCTCTGTCTCAGCAGAGTCTCTTCTCGTGAACTATTTCATTCCGCATCATCATGTTATGTAATATTTCACAACACGATGCCCTCCTAAGCCCCAGCTCGTTATGATGCCGCTCCGAGAAGTGTTGTAACACTTCTAAGAAAGTTAAAACTTTCTTCTGAGGTCTACCTAAGAGACGGCTCGATCTTAACCGTAGTATAGACAGAATATAGTTTTCCTTTCGTAAAGTGGCAGATCACAATGTCTTCCTTCTGAAGTGGCGTAGGCAACCCTTCGGAGGCTAGTATATGTCAGTCCCGGGGGGTACTGCCATATATGGGCTATATGGGTATGTGCCGCTGTGAAGGGTATGGTTTTCAAGCAGCCACTCTAGGATAGGGTATATAAATCAGAGCGTTTGGGTCTAGAATAGGGTATCATTTTTCAGGAAACTGATCGGTTGGTTGAAGATTTTCTCTAGACTGGGGAAACAGCTACTCTAGGATAGGGAGATTTTGGGAATTTACTCTAGTATAGGGTAACAAAATTCAGCTGAAATAGCTCTGGTATAGGTCAAGGGTTCCAGGGTCCCAGCGGCACATCCCCACCCAGAAATTCCTGAAGTGCCCCCCCGGATGTCAGTTTGATACGACTTATAGCAAAAGAATTGTGTATGGGCGGTGTTACTCTACGTAGGCCTACCTAAGAAGTTGTTAACGTTATCCAATCCCCCTTTTCCAGCCATCCACCGCCCAAACATTAAAAAATCACCATATTTACTCAAATATTGCGCCGTACCAAAGAGCAATTCCTCTGCGTGGTACCGTACTCTGCCAGTAGCAAGACAACGTTTGTTTATTTTGAACTGATTTTCAACATTTTTTGCTGCTGATATGACTGTACGAGCAACCGCGTACTCAGCTATTCCCCTCAAATGTAAAGGAAAAGCCATGGGTACGAGTTTGAGTAAACATATCCTTTGAGCATTATTTCAAGACATGTGATTAATTCTTCACATTAATGCTTCAGTCGGAGCCTTTATTGATGTCTTTTACTATTAAAATGTTGCGTGATGATTGAAGTTGATTGAAATGGAACGCTTGATTGCAATTTTAAAAACGGGTAGTCACGTGATCAAGATGACAGTTTCCCGCCGCGGATGGAAGGGCGCTCGTTTGCCGCTGTCCATTTTCAACGTGGAGGAGGCTCTCGTGACATACGGTCATTCTCATCTCATGATAACCAAATGTGTCAAGCAAGGCGAAACGTAAGTGTTTCTAGACAAGCTAATTTACGCACTGATCATTAGTGTATTTCTCTACGTAAGACATTGTTATGTTTTTAAGAGTTCAATTGTTGAAGAAAAGTAGAAAACAAGATTAAATTAGTGAGGTTTCTCAAACAGGTCGCATTCCATGGGTCACGATTTATACCAGTCACTGTTTTATTGATTGGCGAACTAAACCAAATAGTTTCCCCTCGATCAAAAACAACATTTTGGATAGGGTTTACGGCTAAAAGACACTTCTGGTCTTGTTTACTGATCTGTAGTAGGCTGGGTGACCTGTTTTCTGACATGCAGAATGTGACCTTCCATACTTGCCGGATAAAATTACCACAGGCGTTCAATATTTTTAGTTATAAATCACAGTGTTGAAAGAATAGGAGGGCACCGCTGTTGTCGGCTGACAAAGAAACAATTTGTGAATGTTGTTGCCGTAATTCAGGAGGGTTGAAAACTGTGCTACGGGAAAATTTAAGCTTATAAACATAACTCGACCAGCTGAATTTTTTAAAGACGCGATATTTGATGATCCACCTAGAGCAAAATTTAATTTACGTTAATCCCCCGGGGTTAATCCTTCCCTCCACCCGAACAAGACTACAAATTTAGACTATTTACCAAACATTTAACGTCATTTTGTCAGTTTATTAGCTTGTAAAGTCGCTCTGAAAATCAAACGTTTAAAGAGCCGCGTCGGTATCAATCCACGCGAACCTCGCAGGTGACCCCACACGCGCGCGTCCTCGCGGTAGCGGTGGCAACCTTTTGCAGGCTACATTCCAAGTAGCCACTTGTGGAATGTACCAGTTGGTAGAGAATTCCAACAACAGTGTATGAGACCTATAAACCAAAGACGATTTGTGTCGTAAATTACATAACAGCAATAACAAATGACCAGAAAAGCATTCACACCTTTCTAATGGCATATCAGCCTTTAATCAGCACGCATTAAATAACCAGTGTTACCATTACACAATGGATATAGTTAGGATATACCAAAACATATAAACCACATAATCAACACACTTTAATAAACAATATTTACCATGATTATTCCATGGATATGATTAGGATATACCAAAATATATGTAAACTACGATATGTATTGATTATGCTCTCCCATGGACAGTGTGTACAAGTTAAAAGTTGCAAGCAAATAAAGGGGTTACCCTCTACTGAAGTGTGCAACACTTCTTCCTGTGCACACTGCCCCTTCTAGTTATAGTAATGCAAGTTTATATAAAAACTCAGCTATAAAATTTATATGATTAAAACTATCTTTAAGACCTTGATTATCGGCACACAATGAGTAATACTTAAATAGATAATAATCATATGATCAATGATATAATGATCACATGATTTGATTAGATAGTAGGGGCAGAGTCATAAAACAAAGAAATTACATCCATGGTACTAAAAAAATTGCCAGGTGCTAAGCTTCTCAATCAGAGCCTGCCAGGCCCAGTAGCTAAAAAAACCTGCAACAAACCCCCTGTCTTCTTATTTGTCAACTGGAGCCAAGATTCTTGTGTCTAGGTGCCAGTGGCAAAGACTGCAAAGGGCCAATGAGGACAGGAATGAGTTAAATTCTCATGTATGCCAGACATTCCTGGCTGATTCAGAAACATTGTGTCGTTTTGCTACTGGGTCTCATTGACTTGCCCCCACAAGATCTAATAAGCTATTTATTATTACAAATTATAACTGATTATTATTAAGCTGCAAGTGTGAGTAAAGCAGTAGCAGCCTTTAATGTACAATGAATGCACACAATGTCTAGCAGAGCAGAACCAAACTTTGTACTTATTCGACAATATTTAATCCTACTTCAGCTTCTTCTATGCACTGTTCTTCTCCCTAATACAAATTAACCATGTGTATCTAAGCCACTAAGAACAACATTTGACAACTTCATTCTTAAAAAGACAATTCATAAGACTTAACCTGCCCTCTAATACTGAAACAATTACTACGCCATACTATTATGATCCTTACACCACAATGGGATTTAAGGTCTCCCGTGACAGCTTTTCAATGCAAAAATTGCAACATTCTGAGGTCTTTTCTATTAACACAGTGTCGACTATAAAAATAATCCACACCCTTTGTTTGCAATGTTTTTTTTACAATAAAAATGACACACGTCTTGTGTTGACTAACACTCAATTAAGGCATTCATCTCCAAATTTTTAATTTTGGGGGTACGTGGGTATCCTGTGCACATCTGCCTCACCTTGTGGAAAAAAAATTACAGATAAATCAATGTTCCATAGTGAATGCACCATTTGCAAAAACAACACTGCTAGAGTTAACTTTGTGAAGACAGCTGATGTAGTGTTTCAAGCAATGGCCTGAAATTAAGGTCCCTGTTCGAGTGGTCACATTACACTGTAGAAATGAACCTCTTCAGAAGTACTTTTGTGTTGATGTCAGTATTATTTTGATTTTTCACATAAAATTAATAAACTATAACTTACACTGAACACAAGGGCCCCACTAACCCCCTTTCCTATTTTCTATTTTTCTGGTTTAATACAGTGTATCCCTAAAGTAATTGCCCCACCCTCATTACATGCATCTGCCATTCTGTCCCTGGAATATACAACTAGAAGCCTCTCGAAACTCTAAAGGAACTCTAAAGTGTGCACTAGTAGCAAACTAGATACAATATCACAACTTGTTTAAGAAAGTAAGACCAGCAGTAGTATGTTACATTGTTCCTTGAAGCCAAAAAAGTAATCAAATTGACAAAAATTAACTTCACTGTAAATCAATATTACTTTCAAGATTTTATCACTAAATGTTCATGTACAGGTGCATTTGTACATTATCACCTACAGTCACGTAATCAAGACTTCAAAACATAAAATACATGTAGTTATAATTTGAGTACTTATTGTCCTTGGGACAAACAGTGCTCAAATTTTGCTTGCCCAAGGTCATTGTATCCTTGTCTAATTTTACGGTTTAGTTAAGACTTGTCTATGCCTTTCCCCATTGGACAAGCGAGCATGAAAATCTACTTGCCCAACAAAAAATTGTTTTTTCCCCAGATGACTGGACAGGAGTTTCCCAAACCTTGCATGTTAACCGTATTAACCTGTACAATAATGCTGAAAGGTGTCTTTTACAGACTCATGTTTCATGAAAAGAAAAAAAAAACCTGCCAGTGGGCTAATGCATCTACTGCTAACAGGGAATTCCATCATGATTTTAGTTAACATACAGAGGTGCAAATACAGTCAACTTTTAATGGATCTACTGCTAACAAGTGAATTCTATCATGTTTTAGTAGCATACAGAGGTATAGTGAACTTTTGTAGGGCCTGTCATTTTCTGTAGGGCTATAGCAATTTTGAAAAATGTCCAAACCCAGAAAACCCTCCCTTTCCTCAATACGTAAATGCTTCAGGACACTTTCCATCAACCCTTGGGCCTTCTGACTGTAATAATGGCTACAGCCATTGCAGTGCCACTTTTTTCATTTATTCTTTGTCAGTGTCTTGATAAAGTTATTTAAATACAAAAAATAAATAAAAATAGATGACTTTGACTTTTCCAAACCAAAAATTTCCACTTCCCTTGAAATAGCTCCCCTGCCCTCCCAACTGGCACCCCAAAAGGACTCACTCCTCCCTGATTATAATATAACCTGAGCACTGTTTTAACGTTCTACTGTGAGTAACAAATTTAATAGCCTGTGTAGCTGACAGATTATTTATTTGAGAGCAAAGCTATGATTATGGCAAATCGTCATGTACAAGTGCAAGACGATGTTAACTTGAGAAGTTCTAGAGCATTATGCATGCAGCTAATTAGATTTTTCATTATAGATACTTCACTGTACATGTAACTTGCCAGTTACGTAGTCTACGTGTACAAGTACACTATACATACATGTACAACAAGTGTTATTTGATGGTTGTATTACTTTATCCCTGGCAATTAACGATAGTAAATCCATAAGAAGAGCAAACAGACGAGCAGCATGACACTCATGATTCGTAAGAACCATTTCAGGATTGGATCCTCTTCAGTAAACTGCACAATTGTGAGCTTGACTTTTTCGTTTGTTGCATCACTGATTGCAATTGCTTCTTCTTTCAAGGCCTTCTCCGGACCATTCTTTTCGACAATACCATGATCTCCTCCAACATCAAAAGAAGTTTCCACACGGGTTGTTGGGCTTACGTCACCTAATAAATAACAATAAAACAAGAAAAGTCAATACATTGTACACACCATACAGAGCTGTCATTATAGGGCCATAAACCTGTAACACCTGTTATGGCTGAGCTCACTTGATGTTATGGGTGATCAACGTGGAAAGCTCAAGGTGTTACCATAAATTTCACGTGAGATGAGACGGGTGAATCTTTATTTGCTATGGCTGCTCTAAAAATTAATGACAGCCCTGCCGTATACAACTAACTATTAACTAGGGGGGATGTGTGCAGAGTTCTTACTTTAATGTACATGTACTGCGCGCAGTATGGGAGTGATGAGTACTGGTCAGCAAAGAATACCATTATCTTGTTGTTGAGACAAAGACAGAATAACATTTTGAGCACTCTAAATCACTCAGCCATGCTGCCTGCTGTCCTTAATAAAGAACAAAAACAAACAAACAAACAAGAGAGGGATCTCACCATTTTTCTCAATGAGTTCCACAGCTTCATTGCTAGAGATAGTTCCATTTTCGACCTTCTGGTGGTCATGATGTTCACCAATGGCACCAAAAGCAATGGGCGCTTCATTGATGGTACTCCATGTCAGTCCTCCAAGTTCACTTCGTGGGATTTTCTTTGTGAAGAAACTGACCACAACCATCACAGTACCACTGACTCCGAAGATGATAATGGCTGACGAAAAGAAAAGAGATATATGGCAAGGATTATCAACTACTATTAATGACTTGGAATGGTCGTGGGGCAAACTTTAAACTAAGGCACAAAATATGTGACAGTTCACAGCTGAAAGACAATGCCCGGACAACATAGTGCTGGGTTTGTTACAATGTATAATGATATTGAAACAGAACAAAGTTTGACAACTGCAGACAATTAGGACTGCACATCTAAAATGCAAGGTTAAGAAATTGTGGAAGGCCCATCATAATATCTTACATTCCAGGCAATAACAGTCATGTTCGTGATCAAGAAAAATATGTTGTTTTTAAGTTTTTGAGACTTTGTCCATGGCAATGAAGATGAATTAATTTCTACAGGTCTACGGTTGTATTTAAGATAGTAGCAATTCTCACCATAATACATGAAGTGCATCTTTGCAAATCCTGGGCGATCATCAACACTGCCGCACCCAGGGCTCGGGTAGACATTTCCAACAATAAACTTGGCCATTCCCAGGATAAAACCAATGATGAGCCCTGATAATGCACCGGCAGCAGTAAGACCAGTCCACAGGATACCCAGTCCAAACACCATGGTGATAGGAGGAGCCAGGTAGGATTGAATGGTCTGAATATAAACAAACAGTTCCTTTCCAGCAGATCCTTTGATGACAGGCAGCCAGCACAAACTGACGCCAACAAGAACAGCAACAACCACTCGGCCAACGATGACCTGTTCTCTCTCTGAAGCCTACGGGATGAAAATACAGTTAAAGTTTGATCTTCTCGTGAAAATATAATGCATCCCTTTGAGGTCCTTCCAGGATCACATGCATTTCCATAACTTCATCCAACACTAAGTTTTATTTCATTATTCTGAGTCATGTGATCAGTTTACTGCTGATTGGTTTCTTCTGACAAAATGAGATTAAATAATAATATTATTATTGTAAAAGTGTTTTGAATTTTTCAGAAGGAATTAGTTATGTCCAGAAATGCACACTAATGAGACTCACATTACCTCACACTAACACAAGCTGACTCTGTCAAACATTTAGTGATATGGAAATTACAAATAATAATTATTGTGCCAATATGAAGTATTGACTTGGCTCAGCTGTGGCCGATTTAGTAGTAATGTGAACTACCCAAGGTCCAAGTTGTGTGCATTTCTGGACATAAGAGAGAGAAATGAATCACGGCTAAAAATACATGCAGACATGCAACCTAATTTTTTCCAACTGCAATGATTCCGACAGAGCTTCAAAATCCAACAAACAATGCATCTGCGTTTAACATACCCGAGGCCTTGCACGCAACCAAATATCAACAGTGAAGATGGTAGCACTGCTGTTGAAAGCTGATGAAAGTGAAGACATCAATGCTGCCATCATAACAGCCATCATGAGCCCCACCAGACCAACCGGAAGGACATTTAGAACCAGTCTAAATAAAAAGGAAAAAAAAAATTCTTCAGATGACATAATTTCTCTCTTGTCAAACTTAAGATATAACAGTGCATACTTTATACATGTTATGTCATTGGCTTATCACTAAACTGTCAAATATTGGTATTTCAACCCTTTATTTAACACCATCATCATAAACATTTCTTTGCTGTATAATGTGAGTTTCAGGATGTTTGCATAATTTACTTCTTATAGTATTAAGAAGGAATCCACTGGGAAATTGAGCAATTTTAATTCTCAGTGGACAAAAACTTTGTACCAAAATAATTTAAAGAATATTGCATTCTTTATTATATTTTTGAAGGGCTAAAGATGTAATTAGTCATCTGCATTAACACCAAAGAAAATTTCTCATGGGAGTCCGAGAAAATGAATGCCAAATTTCACAATTATTGTTGTGACAACACCGGTAAATTTCTGAAAATTTCATGTAAAAGATGTAATTTTGTGAAATTTGACTTTCATTTGCTCGAGCTCCCATACGAAATTTTTGTTGGTGTTATTACAGATGACTAATTACATCATAAGCCCTTCAAAAATATAAATTTGAATGCAATAATTATGCTTTAAATTATTCTAGTACAAGGTTGTTGTCCACTGAAAATTAAAATTACTCAATTTCCTTGTGGATTCCATCTTAACACTCTTTCAGGAGGCTTAAAACTGCACTATTACAGGTATTACAGGCAGGTGAAATACCTGACCTCCAGAAATGTCTGCATAATTTCATGAGTTCACTATATACTTAATTTTTGCAGTCTATCGGAAAGCCTGTAACTGCATAAAACAGATGGGAAAGACACTAGGAGGGAGACAAGCTAAGGCAGGTATGGTAATCAATCTAATTAACTTACTTGGGATAAGCATTGTTAGTACATCCCCACTCGTTATCACAGTGGTAAACACAGGATTCAGGGTCTGGGCAAGCAATTGAATCAGCATACAACACACGAGCAATCATACCAGGCATAACCATGATGAAAATTGGAAGGATTTTCAAGAAACCAGCCAAAATTGAGCCAGCCTTGGCATGGACGTTGTTCTTGGCACCAAGAGCTCGTTGAACAATCACCTAGGAAAAAATTTTAAAAAAAATAAAAATAAATTTAAATTTGATTATAACTACATCTAGAAATGTACATGTATTAATTAATTGCAGGCGACAAGAGGAGACTGCACTCCTAATCTACGGGTTGTTAGGGATAAACTGCACGTTTGCAGCCACCTTCGTTTGGACTTCCCCTAAGAATGAATGGAATGCATTGAACACAGTCAGATCACTCGCATTTAGAACTAATTTCTATTACTTGTATTTTTAATCACGCATGAAATATTTTTCAACACTGGAAGGGAACTTTCGTATCTCCGCGCGGCCATGTAATACCCTTTATTTTCATAGGATTTTGATTTCTACTAACAATTAACCCAATAAATGCAAAGGAGGCCATTGCAGTTAAAGATGCAACATAATAACTTATGCAGTTGGTTATTAAATGGATTAATGATATACCGAAGAAAGATGAAGATGAAATGATTAATACATAATTATGAATTTCAAGGCAACGTATGAGATGGTACACAACAGAAAAGCTGCCAAAGTGCTGTGTCTCACTGAAAAGCATGTACTTATCTGCTTCACCAGTTAATGCATTTCTGAAACACACCATGAAGGAAAAGCAAAATTCAAGTAAGCTTTTATTCATTATTATAAGTTTTACATGAAGATCACAGGTGCTTACTGTTTGACAGAAAATTTTGGAAATTCCGGATGGAAGGTAAATGGTAAGCTCACTTTTCGGAAATTCCAGAAACATTTGAGGAGTATGATTTGAGGTAGTCTATTCATTCCAGTTTGTACTAACCAAACTGAATGTTGCTTAGATGTACCATTTACCAATTTCTTGTGCTACACAAATTCACCCCTTTTTTGGATTCAAACTGTAACGGATGTGGCAATTCTGCGGTAAACTGGTAAATCATGTACCATTATGCTTTTGACATCCCAACTGGATTTTCCTGTCAAATGGTAAGCACCCTATGCCAGTACACACTAAGAACTCTTATTCTACCTGGTCAGTACACCAATACCAAACTCCCATGATGGGCAGCGTTGTCCACAGGCCAAGCCAGGGGTAGCCAGGATCATCCAGGGGTCGAAACATGTTACCCCAATATGGAGTTACTTTGAAACAGGCCTCAAGATCTGATCCGTTAGTTGGTGAGGGAGTGGTCATGTTATAGGTATTGGTAACATTGACCATACTTGTTGCAATAGTTGCAACTGTAGCTGAGATGTTGCCAGCTGTTGTTGGAGCCATTGTGGCATGAACTGATGTCCCAACAGCAGTCGCATACTTTCCCCAAAGGCCATCATATCCTCCAACTTTGACAAAGCCTTAACACATGAAAAAAAAACAAACAAACAACAAAAAAAAAAGAGTGAAATTATTAATGCATCATAATAATTATTTGAGACTGCTGTTTAACCCATCTGCACCTGGAAATTTTGCTCAAAACTCTTACAAGATGACTGATACTGGTATGGGCTGCGTAATGTTTTGTTCCTGATACCAAATTACTGTCAGAAAATGATTCATGGGATATGGGGGTGCTTTACCATTAACGAATTCATGCCAGAACAAACCACTATAAAGTATATCCTAATAAGCTGGACAGGCAAAATAGTGTAGAAAAATTGCCTTCTCTCACATTACAACCCACAATTTCTGACGAAGCTTCCCAAATGAAATTGTGCGAGCCATTTGAGTTTCCTACCCGAATTTCTGGCTTTCCAGTGTTAAATTTTAAGTACCCTTGGCTTGTCATGGCCAGTAATAGGCAGCTGAAGAACCATATCTATTAATTTTGTATAATAGTACTTACTCATGATTGCCAGCACAATAGCCCCAATAAGCATGATGGTACACTGAAGCACATCTGTGTAGATCACAGCAGTCAGGCCACCTGAGATAATAACCAAGAGTGCACAGTATGCTAAGTACAGCTGTACTCAAATACTGTAAAATTCCGAAAATAAGCCCCAGGGCTTATATTTTTCAAAGGCCCTTTTTGAGGGGCTTATTTTTGGAGGTGCTTATATTCGGAGGTGCTTATATTCGGAGGGGCTTATCTAGGGAGGGAAATTTGGGTTTCAAAATCGAATGGGCTAGCCTTATATTTGGAAGTAAATTTACCGTTTTTGCTTTGTTTTACTTTGTATTTAAGGGCAATTTTCCAAGTACAATTAAGCCCCCGAGCGTCACGAGTTTGGGGGGCTTATATTTGGAGGGGCTTATACAAGGAGGGGCTTATTTTCGGAATTTTATGGTAAGTCTTCAGGGCCCAGTTGTTCGAAAGCTGATTAGTGCTAACCCAGGGTTAAATTTTAACCTGGGTTTCTTTTTCTTTTGTTCAAAGCGTTTTCCTGGATAATTTTATCTATTCTTTTTAGACCATCCTCTAATCAAATTATAGGCTAAAAGAATAAAACTTATTTGCATTTTAAGTTTTCATATCTGGATTCAAATATCGCACTAGCCCTGGGTTATCTTAACCCTGCTTTGAACAACCCGGCCCAGCTTTGCATAAATGCACCCCCACCCCCTTGGAACTACATGAAGCAACTCCTAGATCTGAAACTTGTACATTATGGAATTTATCCCCAATTAAAGTAACTGTAAAATGCCCCTACACCTTAAGACAGAATGTCTTAACTTAAAAGTGCAGCATGGTACTCATCAGGGCTGTCACTAAGATCCTGGGGTTGGGGACTTTCCCTGGCTACTATGAGCATGAGTTGTGGCTACTTTCATAGGAAACAAAAGGAAAATAGAGCGGGATCCATGAATTGTTTTCAGGAATGACGTTGTCCTGCTATCTTGGACGTTAATACTACCACAGAGTTGGGACGAGTCAAAAAGTGTTTTTAAGGGAGAGGTAGATGGGTTTAAAATCGGGGAGGGGGAGGGGAGGAGAGGAAAAAATACTCCTCTCTCTCCTCCCTGCCTCCCCCCTTCCACTGCCCCTCCCCCTTAGTCTTTTTCGTTGCTTTTCAAGATGGCGGCCACGATCAATGTACCTCCGAGTTTTCGTTAAAAAATGCCTGCAGGCTAGAACCAAGAGTACTTCCTTACTGTGCAATTCGCCACAGCCCTGGTACTGAATAATTTATCCACGGTATAGTTTGTACAAGGCCCCTTTAACAATGGAGCTGAATGTATAAGATTACTGTACTGGTGGACGAGTGATGTGGACTATAATGTTGGGACTGCTACGACTAAGTGACAACAGAAATTGATTTTGAAACGCACAAATTACATCATATTTGTTCCACATACTTAAGTTTGCATAAATTTATGCTACACAGTCCTCTCCATGTCTTACCGTGGTGTCCAGTTTGTGTTTACTTTAAATAGAAACAGTGTCGTGCTGAGACTGTTCGTAAAAATCATTTTTTTAAGCACAAAACATTACTATCAAAAGTAACGAATAGCAGAATAAGTTTTAATACCCAGGACTGTGTAGATAGCAGTTATTGCCAAAGTGGCAGCAGCAGAGATGTAAATATTCCAACCAACAGCTTCATACAGAAACAAACTTCCAGCGTAGATATCAACCTAATGAAACATTACTTTGATATGTTACACACTGTATGCTCACTAGGGCTTCTGAGGGTTAATGTGATGGTGCAATTTCTTGCACACAATAATGAACCTACCGTAAATCCTCTATTAAGCACCTTGGGGGCTTATTTTTTTCAAACAATTTTGAATTTTTTTTTAAAAGTAGATACGGAGGGCTTATTTGAGATGGGGTGGGGGGCTTATTTGATTTAGCAAAGACGATGGTATCAGCTCTCCATAAAAACTATAATTAAAAAACCTTTTTGGACACATAATTCCCTAACTTTTTCAAATTTTTATTGAAGGGCCTTTCACTAACTTTGTTCTGAAACATTATTATTTCTTGTAAATTTAATCAGACTACAAATACATGTAATTATTTAAAAAGTTAACAAACGTAATGAAAACTCACTGAGAACTTGGTAAACACATAGGAGATCAAAGCCACAGCAGTCAAATATGTTCGGATCCATGGATTCTGGAATCTCTTTTGCAGAAATTCAGGCATTGTAAACACCTAAAAAGTTTTAAACATGAGGCATTATGTCAGATCCTACATGTATAATTCATGTACATTTAATTAAATTACACAATTGTACAAGATTAAGAGATTGTTTGTGTTTATTGAATGTTCAATGAGACACTCAGGCTACAGTCAAGCACTTTTATTTGTCACAACATTATTCAATGCTTTTCTGTAGCAGAAAAAAAAATAAGAAAAAAGAATGTTAGCGAGTGTTCCCAAACCACACCAGTACCTCATGAAATTTACTAGCTGTCTGAATGATACACTCCCCTATTCTAATGCAGCATAATATTAGTGAATTAATTGTAACTGTTTTGCTATAGGGCTCGTGAATTCTGTTTTTAACTTGCCCGACAGGCAAGTGATGTTTTTGAGGAATTCAAATTACAGAAGAACTATGAAATCAATTCTGCCAGTCAAAAAGTTTTTTGGGCCAGTTGAAATGACATCTGGGCTAGTAAATGCTATCTTCAGCTTGCCCGAATGGCAAGCTGTAAAAATGATTTTCTTTGCACCCTGAAGCATTACTGGTGTCTACCAAAGAGAAATGCTTTTTGTGGTTGGCGTGTAAAATGTTTGTGGAACAGTCTGTGCAATGAACATGCAACAAGTAATGAGTACTGTCAGTACTAACCCTGGATCGGATGTAGATTGGGACGAAAATCCAGCCAAGAAGCAGCAGAATCCAGCATGCCTACAAAAAATATACATGAATTAATACCTGCATGCAATGACAATGAATAATAATAATGATAATGATCATCATAATAATTTTATCAAGGGCCGATATATTATTAACATGGGATGAAATTGTATTACTTGAAAAAAAAGCTAACCTCTGACTTAGTCACTCAATTCCCACTATACAGTCCTCATAATTAACTTAAATATTGGAACATTCATTGAAATTTGACATTCAAATTTTTAGTGTTTCATTGACCCATCAATACTTGTCACTTGGTTTACATAGCGAAGGGGCTGTTTGCGTGGAGAGAGGAAGGTCTATATAGCACCGGGAAGATCCGTGAAGGTGGATTATACCTGTAGCGCCATGTGTTTTCTGTATTTGGTTTACATGCAAAGGGTTGTACCTTTGTAACAATTGTAACATTTCTCAAAAGTGCGTCTCAAAACTGCACCAGATAGCATCTCAGCGGCCCCCAGTAGGAAGCTTGGGGCCTCTGCCCACTTGGGACTTCTCCCCCTAACGCTAAATTCTAGATACAACCCTGGCTAGGATCTTCCTAGTACTAGGATCGTCCTCGCTGAGAGGTAGCACAACAAAGATCCAGCACCACGTAAACTGCCGTCGCTAAGAAGATCCTAGTACTAGGGACAAACCAGACCGCAAAAATGGTCACTGGCGGTTCATTCAGTGGACAATCACAGCCATAAAGGCCACGCAACCATTTTGTTTGGTGTTACCATGACCTGATAATTGTGATAATTCTGCTGAAAGTTTCTTGTTAAAGCTAGCAAAGAGAGCAGAAGGGCCCAAACTGCATTTGCCTTTTGTTGCCCACCATTTTCAATTCCCGCTCGAACCTTCTCTGCTTGGGCACTACACTGACCAAAATTTCTGCAAGTAAACTCAACAGAAAGTTCAGGGGGTTCTGCCTTCTAAGATCTTCCCTCCCTCCCTCCCTCCCTCCCTCCATGTACACAGCCCTAAACAGAATGTGCCTGTACCTGCCATTCGTAGGACACAACTCCAATGCCTGTTGCTGCACCTGATCCAGCCAGACCAACAAAATGCTCACTACCAATGTTACTGGCAAACAAACTGGGCCCAACCTAACAATTCAAGTAACATTAATACGAATTAGTGATGGTCAAAGATCCCCAAGAAATAAAGTAACTTCCAACCCTAACCTTCCAAGTGGAAACAATAATTCAATCAAGAAAGAAAATTCAAAGTTATTACAAAAGGACTGAATGTAAAATGTACTTACCGCCCACCACATCATAGACCTCCCAGCCAAGAAGTAGGTTTCCGCAGTTTCTTCCCTGCCTCTCTGTTTCCTGAATTTGGACTAAAACAAACAGTAGTATTATTTAATCCTTAAGTTATAATATAGAGTACACTTTAAATCAGACACTCAGAATTGCACCAACACAAGCATCAGAGAGTCTCATATTTTTCTTTCCCATTTTCTGTAAAAACAAACTTTACGTAAAAAAAATATAGCACCTTGAAAGAAAGACATTTCTATTACATGGACACTACGTCCACTGAGTGTTAGCGTTATAATAATCATTATATAATTATTAATAAAATAGGTGTTACTAGGGTCTAAGAGCATTGGCAATAACAGCAAGTATGATATTTTCTTCTACTGGTAATTTTCTACTTCAACCTCAATAATTATTGTTAAACATTTTTATGACACTGATCATTCATAGGGAGTTTTCACATGACGTACAACTACAGTAACTTCCTATTCTTCCTTTCACGGTGCCTATGTATTTTATTTGTTGTTGATGCTGTTGTAATTGTTATTTCTGAGATTTGACTCGGCTATCTTATGTTAAAATAATATTATCTTATGATTTCTGAATAAACCTCTATGTTGTTTTGTGTGCATACCACAATTTTAGCCCAAGTAAGAACTATTCTGTATTGTTTTTTATTTGTATTAAGCTTGGAGAAATACATATAAGCCAAAAAAACCCACAATGTATATTGTATACAGTCAGAGAATTATCTGAGTTGGAGGTATCATTTTGAGGGACACTGCATTGTATGAGGAAGTTATGGTATTGAATATAAGTACATGTCAAAATTTAAACTATGATCCGAGGGATTACTATAAGGAAGAAATTTATTTTTACATGGAAGTAAATGATTGATTCAAAATGTTGCAGCAAAAACATGTTTGGTTTCAGCGTGTTTCAACATCCAAATAAGGCCAAAAATGTTAAGAGTTCCGGCCCCTACGTACCCTGTGGGAGCACCTAACACAACCCACCCTCATGGCATCTCAAGTCTATATCTAACTCTGATTATCATCAAAATTCATTTTTACTAATATCATGATTGCTTAAATAGTCAGTGAGGTAATAAGAAAATACAAAAATAGATTATCATTTTGGCAACTTCTACCGACTTCGATCATGTACAGTGCTAAGCATAGTTCAGGAAGTACAAGAGGAAACAAGAGTTTCAAATTTTTTTATAAAAATTATGCAGGTTATATCAGCTCACCCCTGTCACAAGGGTTTCACTGCTTTAGGTCACACTCTGAATTTGAAGAGGTCTTTAGAAATATATTGGAATTTCAGCCTTTGGCAAGCAACATTCGTGTTCTGCAAGCCTCATTAACTCCCCCACTTGCTCATGCTAATAAGCTCCCTGTTATAACCCAGACAGGACAGATCAGAGATAAGTGAACAATACAGTCATGACTCACTGCACATACGACGCTGAATGGAGGCATTTTTGCTGAAATCCTGAAATTACATTTTGTTTGTTTGAATTAGATTGTTTTCAGTCCACTGAAGATTTTGTTTGATCAGATAAATGTTTACTCCTAAACTGCATCTTGGCTAAAACCAATAACACTCTTGAGAAAAAAAGGTTGAACCGCCTTGCCCGGAAGGAAAATTAATTACACCAGGTCTCGCCATGTTTCCACAAGCTTGCACATGTGAGTGATGAATTTGCAGATTCACAGAATGCACTGTTTTTCTTCAGCTAAATGAAAATAATGTCCCCTGCAAGCACTGTCTCTAGGATGACCAAAGGAAACTCTGCTTGCCAGGTAAATAGGAAGATTTTTGTGGCAAAAATGTCTCATTGGCTGAATGACTTTCTCCTACTTATACTATACAGAAGTTCCAAAAATTACCCAAAATTATATTGTAACTCCAATGACTGCCTGTGTATCTATATCATTTTTTTCCTTTCCAACCATCATTAAATTTTAGTTGTCCATGAGCATGGAAAGTCACTTGCTGGAAAAAAGATTCTCCTTGTCTGACACAGAGTCAAGAGTTTTGATATATAACTTCTTAACTTAACTATTCATAACAAAACTCATTGCTGTAGCAGTACTCCAGCAAAAATTGTAGGGATCCCTACAGATCATAAACATTACAAAATCCAGATCCAAAATCCTTATCTCATGTTGTCACCGGAAACTGCTCTTAAGGCAGTACTAGAGCATGAACGGCCCTGAATCTTAATGCCCCTGCAAAGCTGAGCAAAGGTACTCATTCAATTTTCTCCAGCTAAAAAGAGTAACCTATTTTACATGTACACAATTTATTAAGTGCATTCCTTCCAGAAAAGTGGTACACCTTGAAAAGTTCTGCACCATCTAGCTTCTCATTGGAACAAAGTGTGGCCATTATCTTCGAGGTTATTTTAATGTGAATATTTCCTCATTAGTTAAGTACCACTAGAGCAGAGTAACAATGCCCATTTAAGATCGAATTAAATATTACTCTCAGGATTGGCTTGGGGCCAGTAACTGCTGCTCACAGAGCTTATGATAAAACTTTCTATTTTTTGTAGAGGAATAAAATCTTATTTATCAATTTAATTGATAAATAAAATCTGTTTTGGCAGCCTGTAGATGTAGCTTTGGCATCATTCACTTTCCATTTTGCATGCAGGTTGTTCTGGGTAAAGATCTGACTGCTGCATATAAAATAGTCTATGATGCATTTCAACGTTTCTTGATCTACAAATTTTGCAGCTAGTAATCAACAAAATAATGTTGAACAGCGTGCCATTCCATGTCGAAATACGTTTAATGTGATTCAACTTGTTGAACACTGTTGAACAAAGTTAAGAGATGGACCCTATTCCATCCCACAAGTTGCAACTTGTTAAACGAAAGCTGAAGCATTTTTTATTTACAAACATTGAACCACGATTACAAGCAAGCTTGAAGAAAATAAACACAAAAAACACTTGGTTACTGTAGTTCCCCCATTCTTCAATCATTTTTGGACCATTTCAAGGCAGACACCTTATTTCAGAAACCCAGTGGCCAGTGTTGGTCCGTCGTAGAGATAGCTGACTGTATGAGCCAAGGAGTAGATTTTGATAGTTGTGATGAAGGTTTACACAATAGGCTATTACAGATAAGAAGTCGAACATTACTAGAATTCATGTTGTCTTATCAAGCAGTATTATCCTTGCAGAAGGTAACAATGATTTCCTTTGTTTTTCATCAAAGAATTACGGTACTTCCGTAATTCAATATGTGTAGTCACTTACACAACCATGCAGGCAAAACAGCGAGCCGATGTGTTATCGTGAAATCAAACTATTATTAGAGCTAAAGTGCATTCGCGTTTAAAATCCAGAATTGATCTCTAAATGAGCAATTAGTTTTTAAGCGAGTTAAGTAAGTAATATCCGAATTGTGAAATAAATAATCAAAACTGGTCTCGGGGGAAAAATATTTCCTGAAAAATACATGTTTACAAACGCATGCAATATTCGATTGCGGTATTCTTCGATCTAAACTTTGTTGCCGGGCGATCAACGCCAAACAAAATGAATGTTTAGCCATCGACGACAAATATTGCGAATCTTTAAAGCGAACCTTTTCAAAGTTCAACGATTAGCATAATCCACGCTGGCAGTGTTGTGTGTTTGTAAATTTGACGGTTGTAGCAGCCCGTTCTACGCATAGACAAAATTAACATAAGCCTAAGTTTGCTCAGTCATGGCTCGACGCTTCTACATCATATTTACAAGACTTGTTTTACACTTACCCACAATCCGACGATCATGCAACCAATGAAATAAATGGCTATTATCACCCAGTCAACCACCGCCAAGGACTTCGAGGATTGATCTAAACTCATCTTTACTCTTCAGCGACGCAGGAGTAAACCGACCACGTTGCGACGTATTATACAAATCACGATCAAATATCGACAAAATTTAAGGTTTTCGCTTTACAAATGCCCTTAAGAAGTAGTTTAAGACTTCTTTTAGCAGCAGAACAGATTGAGATTACGACAGGCTCCTGAAAATCCGGGAGAAACAGCAGAGAACTTCTTAACCGCTCAAATTTCACTATGGAGTGTGCTTTGGGGCTTGACGGGGGAGTGACGAGGGTGTTTGTTGACAGGTTTTTGGTGACGCTGTGACGTAAGAGCCGCTGATTGGCCCGTTGAACGTCTCCAGCTGATTATTGGTACGGCTGGAGCAAGTTTATTGATTTTTCAGTAGAAATTATTGTAATATATCTACCATCTACTTAGTTTTGGGATATAAATTCTAGTTTTTGCAAGTGATGTAATTTTTTAGTCGTATTTCAACAGATTTTGTTCTATTGTTTTGTCCTAGTTTATTGCAACACAACTCCCGGAAAGTTACATAATCAATGTGAACTTGTTGTGATATAGATTCGTAAGTTAAAAACTTGTGAAGTATTTAGCACAGTATTTTATATATTTAGCTGCAGCTTTCTCTCAACTGCTGATCAAAAACAAAACCGGGCAAGACGCCTAGCCTTGGGTGGCGGTAAATGAAATCGAGATGGGGGGATAAGTATATGCGTGGAATTTCTTTTAAACTCCTTAATTAGGGGATTTAGAAGTCACGCGCGCGTTCGTGAATAAAACTGGACTTTATTCCCCCAGAATTGAATTTCCGTGTGTGGATTTATACGATAAGTGATATGGAAGCATGCCTTTCGAACAATTGTTGTATATTCTTCACCATCAAGGCTTGGCGACCCTTTACCTCCTGACTCAAACTTATTCGACCTTGACAAAAGCATCTGAAAATATTTTTAGTTTTGAATTAATTACACCCAATATGTTGAAACCGTTTCGAAACTTCCGTACGAGGCGGGTTGCTAGTAATACTGTAACTCCAAGTGCCTTGGATTAAAAATTGGTATTGTGGGAAAAATGCAAAAAAAAAAAAAAACAGGAAAATGGGAAACTGGGAACGAACAAACTGAAATAACCTTTCAACTGTATCGGATTTTATATTTTTTGTCTTTTACATAGAGAAGATAATATTGGTCTTGCGAGAAGTTTCTCTCTGTATTATTATTTAATTCGCTTACCGAGTCTCTTCGTCCAAAGGTCGCAGTTCAGCTCAATACACGTAGGCAAGCTTATTTTGTTTTGTTTGATATGGGATACGTTTTAAGGGTCTTTTAACTTCTGAAAGGAAATGTAACATTTCAACGCGGATCACGCGAAGGGTCAAAAATGGACCGCTGAAGAGAAAACGCAAGGTAGCTTAAGTTCAAATATGAGCGTACCGTTCGAAAGTATATTTTCACTTCGGTTGCCGGTTCAAGAATTTGTATTGGAAAAATCGACATGGTTAATTAACCGAACATATAAAAGAGCTTTGAATAAAGAAAATAACTTAGATCGCTTGAGGTCGCCTTTGAAGGTGACCTCAAGTAGGTTTTCGTTCCACTTTTATGGCCAAAAACTGATCTACCAGTAAATCACACAGGAAGAAAGAAAAAATAAAACTACAATACTATAAGCATTTTTTGTTCAATATTATTTCATTTTTGCTCAAAAAATCTTAAATTTGACTCTTGCGTAGACTAGCAATGTGGGCTATCTGTTGAAAATCAGGAAAACCGGGAGTTTTACTGCAGTTAAGCTGTTTGCATCCTCAAAAGTTCTTCCGCCGTTTCCGATACGTAGTTGTGTATTTACAAAATAAGTAGAACGGACTAATCAAGTTATGCGATATATCCTTGCTCGATTGAACATAAGAAAGGCAAATTTTCCCTTAATGTTTGGTGATCAAAAAATTGATAAAACAAGGCAGTTATCACTTTTGAGAAATGTCGTGACCCGGTGGTACCCGCCGATTTGCTCAGTTCAGCCGGCGATGTGGCGGTGTTGTCGGAAGCAGAGATGAATATTAATTTGTTTACATTATTGCCGTGTCGGTACGTTACCAAGCAAACAGGCTCGTTAAAGTGTGATACAACAGTGTTTTTTAAATCTAGCTGAGCTGAATAGCTTAAAATCATCCTTTCAAAGACCACCAACCACAGTGTGAATATCTTGAGCGAAGCAGTAGATCTGGTTTAATACTTAAATCTAATTACTAGCTGTGCAGAAGTATCGGAACCGGTTCCTCGAGGCACTGAAAGACACAGTCGTTGCCTACGATGAAAATAAATAAAGTTATGCAACATTTAGAAATGCTGAGAAACAAACTGCTTAGGAATAAGCTGGGAGAATTAGCTACTAGGAAAGTTTTCGTTTTACGGTGCTGTGACATTTTATGGGTTGGGTTTAATGCAGGTTAAGGTGTTGAGGCGAGTTATATAAAATATTTAAAAAACGAAGGAGAACGCTTTCAAGTGCTAAAAGAACCAAATCAAAGAAGTTCAAGTTTATTTGCCATTGAACGACTTATTTGAACGGTTTTTAGCGAATCGGGACATGGACGACGAACTTTTTGGTTTTTTGAAATAAGGCTTCAAGCAATGAATCGCTTTAAGGTAAAAACTTGAATTGTGGCGACCAGCAGGTGATACTGATTGTCACCCGTCAGTCGATGAGTTGATATTGAGGATTATTGGCCTACAAGTAAGATATCCCGTAAGCTTAACCTTCTTTTCCGTTCCCAATTCAATGTACTTGAATAGAATTCCTTTTCAATATTTTTTGTTAGCTGGAAATGAAAGTTCTTTAAGTAGAAATATTTATTTTAAGCGGAGGGTTATTGTGTCATTGTTCACACTGATCACCGACATCATGGCCGATGGGGAAAAGAGCTCGTGGCTTCGTCACGAATTTGTTCTCGTCTTCAGTCACTTATTAATAACAAAATCACTGCATAGTGACGCAGGTTGTACTGAAGAAATAAAAACGCGAGCAGCAAGTCACAAAGCTTCAATATAAAATGCTTCATGAATAGTGGTTTAGCTGGCCTTGCGTCACCAGACTGCTTGCAGGGCGCTTTTTCTCTTCATCTCGCGGGCCACGCCGCTCGCGTGCTTGGGTTTCGCGTGCAGCAACTTTGCAAAGAATAATAAGAGACTGCTCGCAGCTCAGTCACTTTCTATTTTGGCTGTTATTCTCTCCATCACATTCCGTCTGTTCAAAATTCAATGTTTTGCGTATGCATAGTCTAGTCTGACTGAATATTTTGAGTCATCGTGACATTGACGTTAGTTATGCCTTGAATACACCCTGGATTGGCTATGTCGACACCGGCACGCGGGCGATATTTATTTTTTTGCGGTCACAAGACACTGGTGTTTTCATTACCCACTTCATCCTAGATTCCCTGGTTCTCAAAACATCGTCATCAAGGCTAAAGCCAGTGTGAAGCAATACGGATAATTACTTGTTTTAAACAGAAACTGTTTATGTTAGTGATTTAAAAGCATTTACACCTGATCGGTACGTTACGTAATCATTGTACTATCATTCGACAGAAAAAGAAAGAACCACAGTTTAAACAACGAAAGTGTTGCTTTATCCGGAAAAAAGTTCGGCTATACGTAAGCATCGTAGCATCCTACTTGTCCTGTAACAGTTGTTCAGTCTCTGAATATTGAAAGGGTATTGTGTCGGCAGAATCGCTAACAGTTGATGTTTAAATTTGGTCACTAAATTAACTTATTTCTTTGATTAGACACTCCATTTCCTTTTATGATTAGACACTCCATTTCCTTTTATGACGTCAGCTGGTAAATTTTTAATAGTCATGCATGCCAAGCAATCACGGAGTATATATAATTTAGTAAACTAGAAAAACGTGTATCGCAGAACCTCGCTTGGAGGCTCAGTTATGACGCGACATATAAGTTTATAGCCTGTGATCAGCCGGTCCTTCTTGCGCTTCCTCGAAAGAAAAAAACGTCTCATCTCAGGTTAACAAGTTTACGCCCAATGAAAAAAAAAACAAAACAAAACAAGTTGTTTAAAGCTTGGTAGCATTTTCAAGTGCGAACGATGATATTACTTTATGTGACTAATGCTCTCCGCCATCTTGGACGTTGAAACTCGTGACAGAGAGTTGGGCATGTAGAAAGAGAAGCCTGATTTAAACGTTTGGTGAAAGTTCATTAAAAAAAGTACAACTAAAGGTTTTTAAAACTTTTTTTATATTCTTATCTTTTTTATATTTTTATCATTGCAACCAATATACAGTAAACAACAGTAAACTCTTCTCGTCAAGGTTATGATACGCCTTCCTCTGAAATATAACGAAAAAGAGTAGGATCAGTGCCTCTCGAGGGCTACTCATCTAAACTGTCTCACTTGATCACGTTTACAGAATCTCCCCTCCCCTATCCCCTTAGGAAGGCCTGATACTCAGGCTAATGTAAAAAAAAAAAAACAATCATGAGTGATATTGTTGTGAGTAACTATTTTCCTTAACCCTTTAAACCCTAAAATCGAAATTTGAATTTTCCTTTGTTACCCCTATTAATTTCCTACAGAAGTAGTGGGGAGAAGTCGATAAAATAATATCGAGCAAAATCATCTTGTGTGTTCGTGTCTGTAATTCTCATGAGCACTCTGTTTTACAAAGCATTGATATTACAAGGAGAAATTTGATGCTGATCACTCTTAGGGCTTAAAGGGTTAACCCGGCTTCAATGCCAAGATTGAGGACATAGGCAGGGTCTCAAAATCAAATCTTACCTAAACCTAAACTAAACTGAGGTAATTTGCGCATTGCATATTCAGGCTACTCCACCACTACCATATGATTCTGTTGAAGAAGAAGAAAATGGTCCCTTTTTTTGCATCAAATGGAAACTCGGAAAAAGTCCGAGCCCCATATGGGATTCAACCGACTACCCTCCGTGATCTAGTCGGATGCTCTAACCACTGAGTTACTTACTGGATACTCGATGGCGAGCAAAGGTGAACGTGTCATGTTCTTCTTCTTCAAAAGACTCACTTGGTGGTTGGATGGTTGAATCTACGATATGCCTTTATGTGACTGCATGATGCAGTTATGAGCCATACGTGCTTGTCCTGGTTTGACTATGTGACTGCTCTTGATC